TAAAATTGGCTTTCATTTTTGTCCCTCTAGATTCGATGACATGCATGAAGGGACATGACCTTTTTTTAAAAAGGTTTGTCGATAGGCATCGCTATGACACTGATTTATGTCTATTAGTATCGTTTAGTTTAGATAAGTTTATTAGTTTTGCTTTCCCAAGCCCGCGGGAACGGGGGGAGGGGGTGCTGTGAGTGCTTTACATTTACCGGACGGTAAAAGAAATTGATTTTTGGGGGTTGAAAAGTTAATTGTGCTCGATGCGATGACTTCCTTGAATGATGAATGCCATTAGCACTTTTCCTGTTGGCTTCAAAACCCACCAAAAAAAGAAAATAAGTGAAAGGGGCCGCCTTTTGGGTACAGAATTGTGATTTTGTTAACCGGGCACGGCATTAACCATAAAAAAAATTCGACTGTGCTCATGCATGCTTATAAAACCTAGATCTCGAGATCAAGCTTAGAAGGTATTTTTTTTTAATGAAAATCAGTCTGTAATTTTGTTCTTATCAAAATGATTTATTTGGCCGATTAAAACAATGTAGCAGATACACCTCATTCCATGTGAGGCCATTACCAAAAGAAACCGCCACAGACAGGATTAACAAAAACAATTTGTATCAATGAAAATTGTAAAAACATTATAATCTGTATATAAACATTGTTTCAATTTGATTAAAAGTAACAAGGCAGCTTTTGCCCCCATCACATCTCACAAGACCATGATTGAGAGAAAAACCGTCTTGTTATGGGAAGAAGACAGACAATTTTCTTGTAGGAATCTGCTGGGCAAGTATACATGTACATTGTACATGCAGTTTTCTTCAAAGTTTGACTTGAAGAGTGTAAACAATCTGATTTGAACAAGTTATGAATATCTGGGTGTTTTTTTTTAGTACAAACATTCGATCGACACCCTGAGGCATAATTCTTGTGTGAAGTTATAAATCGGTCACAGACAGTGAACTGTTGAGTCTGGTCTGTAACAATAACTCGGTACATTTCCCCAGAAACATGGAAAGTTCATCGACAAAGAATAAAACATCTTGTACTGTAGTAATAATCACCACCTTCTTATGACAAACATCGTACGGCGCCATGCTGGACTACGTGCAGTGCGAGTAAACCTGACCAATAATATCCTTCCTTTCTTGGTGTCACTTTCATCTTGTAAACTCGAATTTTGTCAACAAGTTTAGTTTGCGGGAGGTCAAAATAAACGATAAAACTGTGTATCATTGTTTGAATTAATTATTACCACCACCAAATACTTTCAACACCAAATTAGCAACATGAAGTCATTAAGGAAGTCTTTTTGTGGGTAATATTACTTCAGGTGCATTTTCAGTGAGGATGTTGTACACCTAGATTACTGTTTATCCATCCTTTGGCTGAAGAGTTTCTTTAGAAATGTCATAAGTAAATGGAACTTTCTCATTATTTGCAAGCACCTTATACCCATTGTTGTCTTTTGGAAAACAGTCCATGAGATTCGGTCCTTGCTTCGCTTCAACTTGTCGCAGAAACACGTTCAGTGAAGAGACAACAATGCAAGCTGCTCCCATCATGCAGATGACGCAAGTAGATCCAAACAGGTAGGAGGCAAGGAGGGGTCCAATGAGATATGAAGCCGCCCAGCCCACGTTGAGCATAGAAAAGACGAGACCGTTAGCTGTGGGATAGCGTCTAGTTGCAAGGGTGGCACACATTGACAGCAACGTTAAACGCGCTGCGGCGGCAAAGATGAAGTGAGCACACAGTACAGCACCGGCTGCTAAGATGCTGGGGGAGAAGTTCACAAGAAGCAAGAGTAGACCTGTCATACAGAGAGTTGCAATGCAGAAGATCCAGGATCGATCCAGCAGGACAGATAAGATCTGAGCGGCCGCAATGCTGCCAGTAATGGTTGCCACTCCACACAATCCAAGAACGAATCCCATCATGTCTGGGCCCGCCCCGAAGGTAGATTGCATCCACACAGCAACCGATGGTTCCAAGGAAGACTGGCCAAGATTTGCAAAGACGAAGCAAAAGGACACGATCATGAGCTGGACGTCGCAGATTACCCTCCGCCGAACAGATGAAGATGATATTTGCTCGCATTTGTCCTCTGGCTCTCCGTACGATTCGTCTTTTGAATGGAAATTGTCTGTTCTGAATGTTATCAATACGCCGATGATGAGAAGTAAAGAGATGGGTAGAAACAGGAGGAACACTCGGTACTTCAAATATCCGTACAATTCTCCAATGAAAAGTCCCGCAAAAAAAGTGAATGCCAATTTGAACATGGCTATCGCCATAACGTTGGCGCACTCTGGCGATGCCTCGGCGTACACATCTCTTATACGAGCTATTGCTATGGTCTGTGTACAGGCACTCACGACGCCTTGAAGAACACGATTGATTGAAACAATCCAGATGGATGTGCTGAGGAATCCAAAAAGAAGACACTTTAAGACACCCACCAGTAGGCCTGCAATGATCACCACGTCGAACCCACACTTGTCGGCAACCATTCCGGTAAGAGGTGATAAAATCATCTCTACAAGTCCGGTCGTAAGGAAAATGGCCCCGATTGCGAAACTGGCTCTTGTTTCTAATTCTTCGTCTGCATCGGTTTCTGATTCCGTAGAGTCCAAAATGACGTCAGTGGCTGACCATTCCCACTCGGTAACAATCGGCACGACGGCTCCGTGCAGACAGCTTTCCAGATATAACGCTCCGATGCTAGTGATAATCCTCAGCCACTTTGTCTCTGGTGCAATATTTGCCATGATGTTCTTTTTAAAGAAAGTTGAGAGCAGTCGGTCGCTGGAAGAGTTTTGGAAAAGATTCAGATTCAGTAGCTTGGTTAGTGGACGCCTATACGTGCATAAAGCTTGAGATCACCTGGAGTATGTGCAGGACACGCTGACAGTAACATCTAACGTCACACCTGACAGTCAAAGCTCTGTGACAAAAAGTGAGAATCCTTAATTGTTGTAGCCTACTAACACAAGGTGACATCACCAATCTTCAGGCCAACGCCGCGAGTGAGCGGCTAGTACAATGCGAGGGAGGTAGAATACGGAATAGAGGTCAATGGGTATAGTGCCCCGCCATTACAATGACCATAGATCTAAAGCTATGACCATGGATCTAAAGCTTACCATGGATCTAAAGCTATGACCATGGCGGGATCAAAAGCTATGACCATGGAGCAGTTCCTTGCTCTTCCGTTGATCGTGACCACTGCCAGGCGACGCGATGCGGGATTGGTGCTGGTATAAGTTACACCTAACAAAATAGTCCAAGTATAGTAAAGCCGGCCTCCGGGTCGACCCACGATTTGCTTTCGCCACGACGGAACCGCCAGCATCAAGCAGAAAAATAATGCTCAGGTCACAAAACTGAGAAATCGTCACGGTGATGGTCGCGGAACACGATTTCTTTTTTGTGTGGCTTTTCCGGGGGGCCGCTTCCCCCCCCCCCCCCCCCCCCCCCCCCCTCGCGACGCCCATGGTCGTTCCATGGAGATTATATCAATAACAAAAAGGGTTTTGGCGAAGAAAAACCCGGGCGACGAACCACTTTTTGCACAAGCAGTTATATTAAGTCATGCGTGTATGTCACAAGAGGAACGCACCCTCAGGGTTTTTGGTCAATTCTTTAGATCTTTGGGGTTCTTTTTTCATTGCAAAGGTTAGTTTAGCCAAACCGAACAAACATTACGATTTTTTAATTTTTTTTATAACAGATTGGCACGTTTTAAGGGCCAGCTCCCCCTTTTCAAATATGGAAGGTGCCACAGTGATGCAGGCGAACTTTATGAGGTTATTTCTAGGGTGATGGAAAGTGCAAAATAGAGTCGTATCTATGGTCGATTAAAAAACTAAAATCCATGCAACCACTACCACCAGGCATAACATGCATATTCGGTGCCATAATCTAAAAAGCATATCTTGGATGAGGCATGTCATTTTAAGGACAGAGAGAAAAGCTGTTGACAAAGACAGTTATAAAATCTTTAAAAAGAAAAAAAAAGGGTTTTAATTAACACGTGGTCAACCAATGTCGGTCTCATAGTACACATTTCTTTCGGAAACTCAGTCGAGAAATAACCTAAATCCGACACTAAAACTGAACTGAAAATGATCCACAAATTCTTACCAGTATGAGGCAGGGGTGCCTCCTATACCATTGTTACCCAACACGCCCCCCCCCCCCCCCTCGGATATCTCAAAAGAATTCCTGAGATTACGGGAACACGATGACCAACACGAAAGAGGGAGGGTGTGGGGGTGAAGTATGCCCTCCTACGCGTATATATTGCTTCAACTGCAAGGTCACTTGCAGTGCCCATTTGCCTATAATACCATTATCGATCACCTGCCAAGGATTTTTACCTTTTTGTTACTATTCACGAATATTTGTGAGTGTTCCAGTTCATATGAAGCAGGCCACTTGCATAAACACCCACCCTTTATCATCTTCAATAACTTTTGTACCAAAGCTCTTTTATCTTTTTGTCAGTTTCCCATCCCGAGTCCGCAAAGTTGCATTATGATTGATACCTGCTTGATTGTTGATCCGTCAATTTACACAGAGGCCCCCCGGCCCTCCCCCCCCCCCCGAAAAAAAACCCGCAATCATGAAAAAAATGGCTCCGTGTAAACGTTTGAACGTCAACATAACTCTCACATCGTTTCTCGACAGCATTCATGTGTGTAGATTCTACACATTTTGATTGGCTCTAAGATTGGCCTCCATGTCTTAGAGGAAATGCCAGTGACCCCCCCCCCAACCAGTACCACCAAATGCATTTTACCATACGTTTATACACAATCTGTTCAGACTCCATCTAAAATTATGCTCATTTACATATTGCACATCAACCACCTTTTTACTGTAAATATTGCACATCCATAATTATTTTGAGCAAAACACTTCATCCTTCCTTTCTGACTCAGAAACAAATTCAAATTTTGTTAGAAAATACACATGACAATGCACTCGACTCTCCATTGACTTTGTACACAACCAAATAAGTTGCGTCTGGATACTACATTCTTGCCTTTATTGTTTAACATACTACATCCTCTTAGAAGTCATTTCTCCGTAAGAATCACATTAACATACATGAAAGTTTTCAATTCCACTTCTCATATCGTTTTCTTTTTACTAGAACATGTAACTGTGAGAGCAACCACTCACTTGGTGGAGAGTCCAAGAGCAGTGACCTCGGCCCTCTCACTTTAATTTGATTCAGACAATGGGTAGGGGAACAAAATCTCCATTTTCCCCCAGTTTATCAGAAGTTCTCAGAGCATCACACTGCATTAAAATTTCCACGTTGTTTTCATCTTACAGATTGCTTGGAACAAAACTGTCTCGCGTGACACGGCCCTATGGATCTGTGCGCCAACAAGAGAGGGCGCGTTTTACCACTTTTGAGAGCCCCATGGACGGGAAAACAGCGTGTGCGTACTGTACTGGTTTCACACGCAAAGTACGCACGACTTCCTGAATGTGCCAAAGCTTTTAGGTCACAGCGTCTTCGCGTGAGCATCGTTGGCGCGCAAATACGTTTGAATTTAACTAGACTAATCCCCGCCCCCCAATAACTTTGGATCCTTCCAAATCGGAGTGGATGGACCAGGAACCAGTCTAGGTCTCCCCCAACTCTCCTTTTCTGGCCTTGAAATGGCACTTGTGCACGGACCCCATATGGAGTTCTCACTCACTTAACCTATAGTCAAAGCCATAGAAATGTTCCACTGCAAGGCACAATTATGAAACCGAGTCACTCAAAGGTCATTTTGGTTTGCCTCGGTGAACACCAAAGAAACTTATACAAACGTCCAAACCTTGCCAGGCACCACTGAAGGCAGTAACCCGAGCAGGGCCAACAAAATCTCCAATTGTTTTCTTTACTACAACGGCAATGAAAATGGGTGCAGGAAAGGGTGAAAATCCTGGGGTCAGGGTTGATTTATATTATCCCTAAATGTTGGCAGAGGAATATATGGTCCGTGGGATCAGTGAAAACTGGCTTGGGATTTTCAAAATAAAAAATGAAACACTTTTAGGAGTAAATGTTTTGTAAAAAAAAGTGCTATTTTCAGCAACCCGCACTCGGGAGCTAGACAATGGGAGACTTTTTAAACGTTGCTGGCAGCAAATACACCAGTCCTTCTCAATAGTTTACGTCATGTTTAAGCTAAAACCCGCATGCTCAATATAACGCAAACAATGGAAAAACCACCAGTGTGTTTGCTGCCATCAACGTCTCAAATTACTCCTATTTTGAAGGAATAAGGAATATAACTTTAAGACCATGTCACAAGAGGCAATTTTCTCACCTAACTTTAAGGCAACCAAATTGGACTACACTTATACAGCCTAAAGGAACCCTCCAGGACAACACAGTGCATTTTCCAATAATTTTTATCAGAAGTCCACAGAGCATGACACTGAATGAAAATTTATATGTTGTGTTCATTTTGGAGATTATTTGGAACAAATTGCCTCGGGCGACGCGGCCATAAAGCTCTGTCGCTGTGGGGTCTATGCATTATAGATGGCAAGGGGTGATCCATCAAGGAAGAGCCATATGCCTGACACTGACTCCCACAGGCAGGCCACAAAGAACTCACAAACAACTGCACCTGAATTTGCAAAACCCTGTCGAAATTCTTTGCATGGGCTTCTGACCTAGATTTGTAAAAAAATATCTTTTCTGTTTGACATTATTTGAGGGAGAACTTCTTGATAGAGTGCTTTGCTTTACATGGGGCAGCGGCATAGCCTGGGGGTGGGGGTGGAGGGGCGCATGCCACCCCATACAAAAATAGTCACCCTCCCCAATGACCCCACACCCCCCAACTGGAAATCCACTCGCCCAGCCCAGTCTGTGGAATATCCCAGTGCACAGCAAGAACTATACATTATGCAAAAGTGAACAAGACTGCGTCTTGACCTCGAGATTCCGACCATTCAGCAGAATTCTATCAGGTCTTCCTTAACCCGTTGTACATGTATTACAAAAACATGTCAGCCAAATGGACCAATCAACAGATTAGTCCACATTTCTGATCGAAATGATGTCATCATTTCTAAAGTCGACTCCTATTGGCTGGTGCACGAAGTCGCATAAAATTTGCTTTGCTCAGATATACAGATATATCAACGATTGGTTACGTAGAAAGCTCTGTATTGGACAACAGGTGATACCCACACTACCACTCGCACCCCCCCCCCCCCCCCCCCCCCCATGGTAAGAACCCTGGCTATGCTGCTACACATAATTGGTTTCCAAAAGACTTGAGGGTTCGGAAGGACCAAAAAAGGTCTCTTAAAACAAAATGCAAGGAATTCAGATGTTGCATATCTGACCCATCATGTGTGTGAAGACGTCCATGATTTGTAGGTACTCATCAGCACCATCGCACAGCCTCTTATCGATTATCGCCATGCGTTCCATTATGGCCGACTTCTGCGTATCTGTTAAGTCACCTCTGTCCACCACAAGGTCAAATAACTGTGGAAATTGAGAAAAAATGACGGCCGTTTTGAGAAAATACTTTTTATGTTGGATATCCACCGGTGCTCACTGTTGCATCTCTTTTGAAATTAATTTGTAGTAAGTTATCCTTTACAACTAACGACCTGGAACAAATGGTCACCGAAGATAATAACATCAAGGACTGAGCCCAAGTCCTTGGAAGTATAGAATAAAAAATTCCCAACAATAGGAACAAAGGAAGCGGTCAGTGCGAGTTTCCGATGGTAGAGTAAAACCAGACTGTGGGCGTGTGTGTTGAGAGGGGATTGTTGAGGCTTACCTGTGTAACTACCTGTGTTGCTGCATAGCCTTCCCTTAGGAGATCTTGAACAGTCCTCTCCAACTTCTCATAGGAGCCAGAGGAACAGGTTATCATCAAGTTGGACATGACTTCATCTGGAACCACCTGAAGACAAATAATGGAAATTGTCAAGAGGTTTCATAGAGAAGGTCATCACAAGTCCTCAAGAGTCACTCAGTCACAAGCTATTCAAATGAACTCTGACAAATGCATTGCACTGTTATTGTCATTAATGTAAAACAATAACTTGTCTAGAGGTACTGCCTAGGCCTTCTACACGTCTAGGTCATAAACATAGCCATTAATCTGGAAGCCTGATTTGGACACAGGCTTAACCACAGACAAAGGTGTTTGACCCAGTGACTTACCCCTCCTATCTCATAGATGTCTTGAACTGTGATGTCATCCTCCCCTCTGAGTCTGTATGCACTCTGCAGATACGTGATTGCTTTCCTCAAGTCTCCTTCCGATGTGCTGATGATGGTGTTCATTGCCTAAAATTTATGAATGCACATAAACATGAATATTCATACTGAGTTAAAATATTCATTTTGACTATGATGAATATTCAAATTGATTTGAATAATTTCTGGATTGAGCTCGTTTTTGGCTAGTTATGGTCCAAATGAAAAACAAACAAGGGAACTAATCATGAGAAAATCACGATACATGTTTATGAAATTCAAATGTTCACACCTCCTCGCCACATTTGATTCCCTCCTTTTCACAGATTTCCAGAAGTCTTTTCCGCTGCACGTCTTCAGAGAGGGGCTTGAAACGAAACTTGGAACAACGAGACGTCAATGGCTCAATGATTCTAAAATTGAAAACATAATTCAAATTGAATTTTCATGGTATCACTGCTCACAACAGTGTCAACATTAAAACCGGGGAAAAGTCACCTTACCTGCTGACATAGTTGCAAATCAAGCAGAACCGTGTGTTTTTGGATTGTTTCTCCATCGTACGACGCAAGGCTGACTGTTGGCGAGAAAACAAAACATCAAACCTCAAGGCTTGTATCCAAGAATAAGAAACTCTCAGTGGAGATCGACCATATGTAGCTTTAGTACTTAATATTCTGAATAAAAAGCCAACAGAAAACCCTGCATGCCTTGATTAGTCTTGTGGATTTCTGCATATGGCACAGCTTTCCAAGTGCTGCATTATTTATGAAATTAAAATCAATTAAAATTTACCCCAAACATACCAATGAACACAAAATCGGTCAAGTACCTGTGCAGCATTCGTCATCGAGTCTGCTTCATCGAGAATAATGATCTTGAAAGGTGGGCAGGGGCGTCCACTGTGAAGTTAAATTCCAACAAAGTGTTCATTAATTCTACAAGTTGTTACGTAAATTTTTAGTAAAACCAAAGATACTGAAAATAACTAATTGATGATGGTTTTGGTGTCATTGTTTTATGTTCATGTCCCATATGTTCCAACTATCAGTGCAATTCACATCCCACAATTTAACAGAATAATGCTTCCATTTCTGATTATGGTCAGTCTTTTAACAATTTTTAAAATATTTTTCTTAATTATATTTTTTTGTAAATAAAACAAAATTTACAAAAAGAAGCTTCAAAAAAGATTTTACTCGGGCCTGGTTCCTCCTGCAGCCAGCTGCGCAAACGTCTTGACTTTATTTCGGATGACATCTATGCCTCTTTCGTCTGATGCATTGAGCTCCAGCACTCGCAACCGATACATATCCCTGAATGTATCCCCAAAAGTACAAAAAAAGCCAGTTAAGGTAAAAATCTTGTTAAGTAAGGTAAACTTCAGGTAAACTTGTGTCAGAATGGTTTAGTAACGGCCTTATTTCTTTCCTTACCCAAACAGTTCTCTTGACGCAGCTAAGATGGTGGATGTCTTGCCGGTACCTGGTGGACCATAGAATAACATGTTGGGAAGCTGGAAGAAAAAAACGGAAGAAAAATTGGAATGGTCGCATTAATGTATATTTTGTGTTTATTCTTTTCTTTTTGATGTATGAGAGACAAATTTTACTGGGTCACTAGTTGGTCAATTTTTTCAGACCTAAGACCAACTCCAAAAGCACTCACAGCCCAATTACAGGTAAAGTAATTTTATGTTCTACGTGTGCCTTCATCAATCCTGCATAATCCTACAGTTGTCGATGCAAAATTTCAAGATAAAATACATTTTCCTCATTGTAAGGTGAAAATTAAACTCTTTACTTTATTTTTTTTCAATTTATTTCATGAAAATTTCACAAGTTGTTAAAATTTTCAAACTTACATCAGACCCTTCCAGAGACTTTTTGAGCATGGCAACCACCTCCTCTTGATAAGCAACATCATCCACACACCGAGGGCGACTGAGGAAAGGAGAGGACAAAAGTGCAGTTCAATGAATTCCCCAACGAGAAGAATTCCAAATATGGACATCACTTCTTTTCCCTGCAGTGACCAATCAGTCATTAGAAAGCGACAACATGTCCTGAAAAGTCAAATTTAGCAGGGAAAATATTGAAGCATTTCTGAAGAAAAAAAAAAAACTTGAATTTTTTTAGACCAGTTCAAAGGGTTTGTGCACAGGGTGTCAAGTGATGGCCAGGCTTGCAACTCTTTCTATTTCCTGTTAAGCTTTTCGATTCACCCTTTTTCAAAATCATGGCTTCTGAGAAGCTTCTCAAGACGACAAAGTATTGACGTACTATTTCTCCACCCAAGGGACGAGTCTCTCTCTGGTTTTGCCCGTCTCTCCGCTACTTCCTGCCTTCTCTTTAGCAGCTGGCTTCGATGACACTCCTCCTTTGAGAAAGGCGTGCATTGTGTGCTAGGAAGTGATCAAGTACAGCAATTATAATCAATCTAGAAGACATTAATATTTGTTTCAGTGTATTTTGACACATAGCATCCATCATATATGAATGATATGAATGATGACTTAAGTCTTAGATTTTTCAAGGCAAAAGTTTCGAAGTCCCAAAAAACAGTCACTATGCATGTTCAGTGCCTATCAGGCAAAATATTGTTTACCTAAAGTAAAAGAAAGCCAGAACCGGCTAAATGTCCTCTGCCAGTAGGCCTATAACACAGTATATGAATCAAGTAAAAGTCTAAACCAAACTTGAAATGAGCTAGCTGACAATGCGCATGGGGGTACAAGAATGTAGGATGGGTCGCTGTATTTATCGCGGTACTTATCACGTTTCTCGTTCGGAATAGAGATTGCCCACTAACCTTCCCGAATTGTACTGTCTTTTGTTTTGTGTAGTATAAATAACTCTTCCTTTTCAAATTGATATATATAAAAAATCATACATTCCAAAATCTTTGAAGCCCTCAGCAGTGAAGTGCGCCCTCTTGTGTGCGCTCTTCATCCGCGTTCGCGCATTGCATCCGGGCACTTCACAGAGCGCCAAAGATTTTGGAATGACAGGCAACAGCCGCGGTGCCAAATTTGACGCACGCTCAGTAGATGATTAAAGCTCTTGTTTGGTTCCCTGACCCCATTGGCCTCTTGACTATTATTAGGGTGGCCGGGAAACAGTCTGGTAAATATCAGAGACGCCATGCTTGTTCAAAACCGTCTGCATTCTTTGACAAATTACCATGATTTTTGGATAACTAGACCTCTGAAGGTACCGAATTCAACTTTTTTGTGCTATTTATTTTTGGCAGTCATAGGCCTACTACAGCTGGGTTGATTTTCTGCTCACAAAATAATTTCGATCTTTAATTAATTTTTGGCTCCCCTAGCAACGGGATGCGCGCTCCGCTCACAGGCTGTACATAGCTCTGTGACTGATATACGGAGGTAGTCGTCCAGTATTTCAGTCACATTTATGGGACTACTGTTGACTAGGCCCTATGCTATATACGCGTATATAGAGCAAACGGCACGAGTTTTGACATAGGCCTACATGTAATCATATGTCATGCATGTAGGCCCCATATCAAAATGAAATTTATCCAGAGAAAAACCGAACTCAACAAACAACAGTCGACCCGGATTCAGTATATTTATATTATTAAAACAATAAGAACAAAACAATGCTCCACTATTCCACCGCTTACCGCTCTTTCTTAAAGCTAGGGAAAGGTGATTTATCCCAAAACCACAGTGGATCTCTCACACACGTTTTTCCGCAATGGCGCGAAACACGAACAGTGTTTACGCGCACAGCGCCCTCTATAAACGTACAAGTCAAAAATAATCAGGCAGAGAAAAACATCGACAGCCTGCAGCCTGCTTGAAGCCTATAAAGAGGTTAGAATGGCGCATGTTTTACTTTTTGAAAAGAATTGACCCTTAAGTAGTCTGATGGCATATGACCTGATGACTATGCCGAGAATGTGTAGAAACAGACAAGTGTTCCGCCCCCTTCCAGCCCCGTTGCGCATGCGACGCCCATGCTGGCACGTTCTGGCTGCCACACTGGCCCCGCCCCCTGGCTACGCCACTGAAATAAAAATGTAAGCTATGTAGAAGTGGGATTTTTTTCAGAGAAAAACAAATACAAGGATCGAAAGACATATTAGGGCGACAACATGAAACAATCCCCAAGAGATATAAATTAATTTCTTGGTCAGCGTCTGTTGCGTGTACTAAACTCCTGTGTTAAGGCCTGTTGGATGGAGGTTAATTATCTCCTCCCAAACAACATGCTTGTTCAGCGCCCTCGTACTTGTATGAATTTCCAGAATTTATCGAGCAGTTCGATAGCTCATACAAAATCGCTTTGATTTCCGAATGAACTGGTACTTAATAATATGTGAACACAATTGCACAACAGGACGTACAATAGTGTGACCTAAGTTTCAAATCTTGATCATATTTTTTTTCAGGGGATTGGAGATTTTGTTGGCCCTGCTCAGGTTACTGAATACTTCAATGGTGCCTGGCAAGGTTTGGACGTTTGTAGAAGTCTCTTTAGTGTTGACTGAGGCAAATCAAAATGACCTTTGAGTGATTGTGTTCCATATTTGTGCCTTGCAGCGGACCATTTCTATGGCTTTGACTATTGTCAAATGAGTGAGAACTCCCATATGACCGTGTCACCCGAGGCAATTTTTGTTCCATCTGTATAAGATGTAAAAAAAAACATGGAAATTTTAATTCAGTGTCACTCTCTGAGGATTTCTGATAAACTGGTGAAATATGGAGATTGTGCTGGTCGGCGCTGGTCAGGTCACTGCATGCGCTTATACCTGACAAAGTTTGGACTTCAAGGTGAACTTAGTGTTGCAAACTTTTCTTGTTAACTGACTGGATTGACGTAATAAAAATACAAATAAAAAAAAATTAAGTGGCCTTAATCAGCATACTGGTAAGAATTTGTCCATAATTTTCAGTTCAGTTTTAGTGTCGGATTTAGGTTATTTCTCGACTTAGTTTCCGAAAGAAATGAGACCGACATTGGTTGACCACATGTATTTATTAAAATCCTGCTCGATGGAAACACATTTTCTTTTCTTTTTAAAGATTTATAAATGTCTTTGTCAACAGCTTTTTGCCTGTCCTTAACAATCCAAGATATGCTTTCTAGGTTATGCCGCCGTCTGGCCTTAATTGCCTCGTGGGTTGCACGGATTTTTTTATCGACCATAGATACGATTCCATTTTTCCTCACGCGTTTTGCACGTACCATCCTAGAAATAACCTCATAAAGTTCGCCGGCATCCCAAGTGGCACCTTCCATTTTGAAAAGGGGGAGCTGGCACTTAAAACGTGCCAATCTGATATAAAAAAAAACCCACACAATTTTGTAATGTTTATTGATCGTTTTTGTTAAAAAACCTCTGCAATGAAAAAAAACAACCGAAGATCTAAAGAACTCAGTGGCCCCAAAACCCGAGGGTACGGTGCGCGCTGCCGCGCTCCTCTTGTGACGGACACGCATGACTTAATATTTGAATGGGCAACAAATGTGCAACAAATGGTTCGCCAAGTTGCCCGTGCTTTTCTTCACCAAAACCCTTTTTGTCATTGATATAATCTCCATGGATGCACTGCTCTGGTCATGGCTGTCACCTTGAACTGTACTATTATAATGACGGATTCAAGCTAGAGCTAGAGGTGTAGTCTATACTATAGACTACACTACTCAGTCTTGTTCGGGACGTGTGTGTTTATGGACGGCTATCGGACCTATAATCGCTGGCCAAATAAGGATTCAACTCGTTTCTGTTCCTTGCCTTAAGTGGAAATAATGTGAGTATAACCGTATTTTTATTTCTGGTAATGCATAATGAAACCAAGGATTCCACAAAAGCGCCCCATATGCACTGTAACTCGCAAGCCTCAAGAAACCTGTAAAGAAGAGACAATTAATGAGAGGAAATTGCAGTTTTATAAATATGGGAGGAAAACCCCAGAAGAATATTCTGGGGAAACCCACGGGGGTGAAGGCACTGAAATTGAAAACCCAATCCACATGTTGGCCCAGGCGGGATTCAAACCCGGGTCACAGCGGTGGAAGGTGAGAAAAAAAACCTCTCAGTGCCAAACCTGACTCCCGTCGACCACCATGGAGCACACTTCCGCCAACTTCACCTTAATGGTCAGAGTTTCTTCATGGTGCATGAGACACGCACACCACAAAGTGATCAGATTATGTGTAATCGAAAACTTTTCCACCGAGCCGTATTAATATTATACACAACTCCTGGCAGTGGTCTCTTAACCTGTGGTCAGACCATAGCTCCATGGCGGGCCACCAAACTCAGTGATCTCCATTCCCGTATACTACCTCCCTCGCATGATGGTCATAGCCGCTCGCTCGCGCCGGCATGCATGCGCAGCGTTGTGCTCGGCATGACGTTGAAGACTGATGATGTCACGATTCTCACTTTTTGTCACAGAGCTTCATACTGTCGGGTGTGACGTTACTGTCGGCGTGTCCTGCACATACTCCCGGTGATCTCAAGCTTTATGCACGTATAGGCGTCTATTAACCAAGCTACTGAATCTGAATCTTCTTCAAAACTCTTCCAGCGACTGACTGTTCTCAACTTTCTTTAAAAAGAAAATGGCAAATATTGCGCCAGAGACAAAGTGGCTGAGGATTATCACTAGCATCGGAGCGTTATATCTGGACAGCTGTCTGCACGGAGCCGTCGTGCCGATTGTTACCGAGTGGGAATGGTCAGCCACTGACGTCATTTTGGACTCTACGGAATCAGAAACCGGTGAAAACGAAGAATTAGAAACAAGAGCCAGTTTCGCAATCGGGGCCATTTTCCTTACGACCGGACTTGTAGAGATGATTTTATCACCTCTTACCGGAATGGTTGCCGACAAGTGTGGGTTCGACGTGGTGATCATTGCAGGCCTACTGGTGGGTGTCTTAAAGTGTCTTCTTTTTGGATTCCTCAGCACATCCATCTGGATTGTTTCAATCAATCGTGTTCTTCAAGGCGTCGTGAGTGCCTGTACACAGACCATAGCAATAGCTCGTATAAGAGATGTGTACGCCGAGGCATCGCCAGAGTGCGCCAACGTTATGGCGATAGCCATGTGGAAAATGGCATTTAATTTCTTTGCGGGACTTTTCATTGGAGAATTGTACGGATATTTGAAGTATCGAGTGTTCCTCCTGTTTCTACCCATCTCTTTGCTACTCATCATCGGCGTATTGGTAACATTCAGAACAGACAATTTCCATTCAAAAGACGAATCGTACGGAGAGCCAGAGGACAAATGCGAGCAAATCTCATCTTCAGCTGTTCGGCGGAGGGTAATCTGCGACGTGCAGCTCATGATCGTGTCCATTTGCTTCGTCTTTGCAAATCTTGGCCAGTCTTCCTTGGAACCATCGGTTGCTGTGTGGATGAAATCTACCTTCGGGGCGGGCCCAGACATGATGGGATTCGTTCTTGGATTGTGTGGAGTGGCAACCATTACTGGCAGCATTGCCGCCGCTCAGATCTTATCTGTCCTGCTGGATCGATCCTGGATCTTCTGCATTGCAACTCTCTGTATGACAGGTCTACTCTTGCTTCTTGTGAACTTCTCCCCCAGCATCTTAGCAGCCGGTGCTGTACTGTGTACTCACTTCATCTTTGCCACCGCAGCGCGTTTCACGTTGCTGTCAATGTGTGCCACCCTTGCAACTAGACGCTATCCCACAGCCAACGGTCTCGTCTTTTCTATGCTCAACGTGGGCTGGGCGGCTTCATTTCTCATTGGACCCCTCCTTGCCTCCTACCTGTTTGGATCTACTTGCGTCATCTGCATGATGGGAGCAGCTTGCATTGTCGTCTCTTCACTGAACGTGTTTCTGCGACAACTTGAAGCGAAGCAAGGACCGAATCTCATGGACTGTTTTCCAAAGGACAACAATGGGTATAAGGTGCTTGCAAATAATGAGAAAGTTCCATTTACTTATGAAATTTCTAAAGAAACTCTTCAGCCAAAGGATGGAGAGTTATCAGGTATACAACATCCTCACTGAAAATGCATCTGAACTAATGACCCACAATAAGAAAACCTAATGACTTCATGTCTCTACTTTGGTGTTGAAAAATCTCGTGTAAGCTTGATATCGAGATTTAAGTTTTAAAAGCATGCATGAGCACACTCGAAGAATTTTTTTGGGGTTAATGTTGTGCCCGGTTAACAAAATCACATTTCTGTACCAAAAAGGCGGCCCCTTTCATGTTTTCTTTTGGGGGGGGGGGGGTTTGACTTAAAGCCAACAGAAAAAGTGCTCATGACATTCATCATCTGAGGACATGTCATCGCATCGAGCACAATGCGCTTCTGACGGATTCAAAAAAGGAGTCGAAAACGCACTGCCGCTGGAACAAACGTTTGCCAGGGGGTGCTGGAATTTCTAAAAGATTGACATCGCATGTAAATATCATTGTTGCAAGGCTACTTTCTTACATTTAGTAAATTCCTTCGTGTATGCTTTGTTTTATTTTCCGAGCCCTTACGGCGTGGGGCCACAGGGCCAGGGGCCCGCTTTAAGGTCCCGGAAAATGTTGGATTCTGGATGCACTGTTATGAAATATACTGAAGTATACTGAAACTTATAAAACCCGAAAGGAAGTTTTTTGGTTCAAGTTAAAACAAACGGTTCCACTGGAAGCGGATGAATTTCTGTTCATAAAAATATTCACACAGTTCTAACTCACCAAACGATGTAGCTCTCGATATATTTGCAGTGTTATTTTGTTTGTTACAGGGAATGGCAAATATAAAAGACTAAAAGACCTAAATGCATCTTTATGTTTATGATCGCAAATGGCAAGTTTTGGGCTAGACAAGGATTTATCAGTCTATACTGAGTTTTATGAGGAAAAACTTGCAGAGGGTGAAACATGAATAGCTTTTTTTATTAAAACGAAACTACACTGCAACAGTATGTCATCGAATCTAGGGGGACAAAAATGAAAGCCAATTTTCAACCCCCAAAAAAATCCTGTCCAACTTCCTTCATCGTCCTGTCGTGTTCCCGACCTACATCAGGGTGAAGTCCATGTAAATAGGCCCGAAAAAATGTTGCCTACGCTGGCCAAATCACGATTCGCCGTGCTCTCAATGTTTTTTGCTATTAGAATATTTTGTGGGCCATGAACTCAAGTTGAGGGCTAATTGTATAACAAAGAAGGGTGGAAGCTGTGAACAGGACTGCGAGCTCGTATTTCTGTGAAATTCGGATGAAACTTTGGGTCCTAAAACTGCTCTATTTTGCAATGGAGCGCGCTAGGCTCCTTTTTCAAAAACGGTGATGGGCTTCAGGACAACTTTTTAGGGGTGCCGGATCATTTTTGGATGGAAATTTCTCCCCAAAAGACATAGTTAACCTCCCCCCCCCCAAAAAAAAAATGAACAGGAAATGAAAGATGGAATAAGCTTAAAATTGATGTGTGTCACAAACGCCTTGGAGAATTGTATTTTTCCTAATTTTTGGCAGTTGTAGTTACATCATTGAGGTCTAGTATTACCGTTTATTTACTGGTGGTCTGCAACCATCCGTCTTTGAGGCAGAAACAAACACACAAACGTTTTTCATTCACATAAAAAAAATCCTTTCCGTGATGTCACTCAGTTTGGAAAATAAAGGCCGACAGACAGTGTGGGCCAAGCAAAAAAAAAAACATTCTTGTTCCCTGACCTTGACGATACCCTGACGTTTCTTACTGACCGTACCGCCATACAAAAACAAGATTTGCGCCCTGCCAATAAACCGCTCGAGTGGGGGCGCTATTTACCGTTCCCTAATGGCGACGATAGCAAAACCAATACGGAAGCACTTTTGTAAGCTGTCCTTTTCAAGAATGAGTTCCAAAATTGTGCGCAAGACGTACACGACCACGAACATTTGTACAAAGAAGTCATCTATAGTTCTAATATGGTATTCTCTATATGATCGAAACAGCGAAACCTTTTTTGAATATATTATAAAGATGTTTTTACTTTGCGATTGCAGCCCGATCTTTTTGGATGAATGGGCCATGGTCAAGAAATGAAGTCCCCCCCCAACACCTCCGTTTCAAACACAATGACTACGAATAGAGTAACTAGCATATATATATTTTTATACATGTATTTATTAAATCTAGACGAAAATACACATAGTACAACATAATCAGGATCACTGACTGAACAAATGGATATCATGTGTCTATGACCAACATCGATAAAGACTGGAACGTGCAACAAAATTAGTGGCCTTTTACAATGCCGTAAAGACAGCTGTTTCGTTATAGTTTTCATCATGTGCGTATTAATTAATGATAATGAGCATACATTTATGTTTAAATCTTGTTTACATGGCATCAGGTGCAAACATAAATTAATTAATGGTTCCGACTTTCTCTCACAAAATTGCCTAAGTTTCCTGAAATACAGTAAAGACAAATGCATCTGAGTATATCTCCCCGTAAGTATTGTCGATTGTGCAGGAATGCCGCTACAAGTTAAGTCAGTCAACAGCCAGCAAAAAGAAAATGAATCTGTGTAGGAAAAGAACTCTTCGTAAATATTTTCATCAGAAATTTTTAGACTTCTTGGCATCTGCTGTGGTAATTTGCATGAAATAACCCCTTCACATTGCTGGCTACAATAAATGTCAACAGATTTTGTGTCAATAGTAAAGCCAACAATCACATGGCAGTTGGATAATTCCATTGCTGTAATAATCATCATTTTGGTTTTTGCCTTAAATTTTTTTAATCTTAATACACGTACAGCTTTAGCCGTGCAGCAAATGTCTACACAGGAACAGCTGTAACCTCTTAGGTTTTAACGCGATTTTTTTTTGTTTTTATAATATATATTAACAAAATGCTCAAAGGAAAATAATTCTGTTTTAAGGTAAATGGCTACCAATACAACTACATAAGCTCACAAGTAATGCTCGCTTTAAATACTTAAAATATTAATATCGTCAATAGTTTTACAAGTAAACACTAGTTGGCCCACAAGGGGTGGGCCCCCCTTAATAAAGGGGGGAGGAGGATAGCCCCCCTTTGAGTTTGCCCTGTCGAGCTTATCGCAGTCAATGACTTGATCCTAAACGGACGATCAACAAAAATCTCAGGTACTCGTGGACCCGATATTTAAATGTCACATTGAAACAACAAAATAAAACTCGCTTTTGGTCACTAGGCTCAGATGGCTTAGCTCTGCAGCGAAGTTAAGTCACGCTGGTTATCGTCACACTGTGAACAGGACCAATCAGGCACTGCGAATGGCGTCGTCACGGCGACTTGTCGACAGGAATTAAATCAGATCGGCCACGTTCATGGGCATCTCGGCGATTTCAGTGTTATAAAACTCGGTTAATTCCTTGAGTGCTCTGATGTCCTCTTGGGTAACGAAATTGATAGCTACACCCTTACGACCGAAGCGGCCACCACGGCCAATCCTGAAGGATGAAAAGGAGAAATAATCAATGCAAAAATGAATTGGACTTCAATTCAATCCACAGATGTATAGCAGAGTTGTCCATGAATGTCAGACTAAATGTTTTTAGCCTCACAACCATGGCTAAATGTTTTTAGCGTCGCAACCATGAAGTATATTACAAAATCCTTTTGATAAAGTCGTTTATGATTACTAATCAATCTCAGTCATGTCAGCCTCAGATTACTTGATACAGTATTTACAATGAAGTACGTGATGCTATAATTAAAGATTCTTCAGTTTTGCAGTGTTGACTGTAGCTATGCATCTTGAGATGTTCAGGAGATGGAAACAACTCCTCCATCCCACCCATAATGCATTGCCGAGTTTACTCTTCTTCCTCTGACGACCGCAAGTGACATGATCGTGACATCACGGTGCTTTTTGGGAAGTTTTAAAACAAGTTCAGAAATCACAGACCACATCAAAACTGTGATCAGGCCAATTCTTGTAATTGTTGTACTTGTAACTTATTCAAACCAGGCAGTACACAATATTCTTGCAAACTATATATAATCAACCTATTGAAATAAAAATAATGGTTTTTTTTTTAATACTGCCCTCTACCGTCAAAGCGGATGGGCTCGGACCAAGACTAGGACCGGGAGGGTTGACTGACCTGTGAATATAATTCTCTCTGTTAGAGGGCAGGTCATAGTTGATGACCAGTGAGATCTGCTGGACGTCAATCCCACGCGCCAGCAAGTCAGTAGTAATCAGCACTCGGCTGGAGCCAGAACGGAATTCCTTCATGATGATGTCTCGATCCTTCTGCTCCATGTCTCCATGCTATACACAGGGAGGAGATTCAATATTTTCATAACACTTCTTCATAACACTTCTTCAAAGTCATCAAGTAAAAGGGGCTAATCTGTGTGGGCGAGTATAATTTATCAGGAAGTCAATCAGGAGTTACCATTTGTAGTAATCATGTCTCTGTGCTTTATTTCCTGTGGTTTAATTTCCTGAAATGAAACTTGTCAATTATGCGTGCACAATTGAAATATCACACTGATTTGATCTGTTCCTCGCATGGTTTACCCCCTCAGTCACCGCCACAGAGTGGCTCAGAGAAGACGCAGGAATATGCGAGGAGCCTATCCACATCAATGCCGGAACATTGGGGACAGGGGTTGCTCTCCAACGTCGTGGAAAGGGAATATACATCAGAACCCTGGATGAGGGTTCAGCTCCCGTACGCCACACTGGCAGAGCTAAGTGATGTGTTAAGTCACTCAGATACCATCGTTGGTTGGAATTAAAGTTGGAATTACCCAAGCTTAGGAAAGTCAAGTTCCAGTAAAAAAATGTTTTTCACGTGGTTTTGCTTTTCCTTGTCCAACTTTCACTTCCGGTTTTTAAGAAGACCATTATTAGGTGAATGCAGATTCAGTCAAAGACCATGGAGCACACTGGTGGATGTTCCAGATATTTATATTCGTCTGTGTCCAAAAAATAATAATAATAAAAATAATGGAAGGCCAAGTTCCATGAAATCAGTCAGAAATTTGAACTTACCATGCTGGAGACGGTGAAGTCTCTCTTGGTCATGCTCTCATGTAGCCACATCACTTTCCGTCTGGTATTGCAAAAAATGACTGCTTGTGTGATAGTCAGTGTCTCGTACAAATCACACAGAGTGTCAAACTTCCATTCCTTCCAAATCAAAAGAAAGAACAAGAGGGTCAATTCAGCCTGTACTGCAGCATACTACATTGTTTTGATTCACTTGAGAATCCATTGGTTTGGGGCGATACAAGGCAGGGACTAACGGGTTAAAAGTGACGGATCAACCCTGATCCCCTTCAGTGATTTACTAGGAACTTTCCTCACTCTTGCAAAATCCAACACCATGTGGTAAACTCTACACCCAAACTGTTGGACTCTGATTATGGTATGCCTGACCCCATGTAAAGCATAATCAGTTTACTAGTGCAGTCCTCACTCCAACAGAATCAAACAGAACATGCAGTTGGATTTTGAAGGGCTGGGGTTGGTTAGGGTTAAGCGGACTCCGTAACTCGATTGCAGCTGTCCACGCATGGCACTCACGCTAAGATGCCTTGGACTTTTCCAAATCCAGACGAACACTGGTAATGTGCCTACCATGTGATGCAAACCAACGCATGTACCATGCAGCATGCCCCACACACCGTGCTGGCAAGAGTAATCATGAGGCACCATTGAGCAAGTCCATAATGATAAAATCAAAACGAAACAATCTGAGACGCCATACCTCTTTCTCTACGTTGACGTAGAACTGCTTGATGCCCTCAAGGGACAATTCCTCCTTCTTGACCAGGATGCGGATCGGGTTGACCATAAACTTGGTGGTCACGTCCAGTACATCTGGAGGCATGGTGGCCGACAACAGGACCACCTGGCACACAAGTGGTTATGGATTGCTTTGTTATTATCCATGAAAATCAAGTTCTACCATTGTAATATATTCAGTAGGATTTATGAAAGGTTTTATTATATTTATGTTTAATCCTCCTAAAATTGATCAGTCGCAGACAGTCGCAAATTTTTCTTCCACTTCCAGTGCCATGAATTTGGTTACAGACTAGTAAAAAACAGTTAGATCACATTGGGGTAAACACTGTGACTAGACAAATTTCATTAACAAACAAAAGAGGTAACTGGTAGGTACAGCTGGCATAGCAATCACCTCCAGTCAAAGCATGGCTATATCAGGGAATTCTTAACTGTTCCGAACAGCCACTTGATTGATTTTGACAGCTGTGATGGCGTAGCTGAATTTGCCAGCCAGACAGGGAGGGTTAAATGCGTGTGTAGAAGGCACTGACCTGGAGGACATCATGATTCAGCTGCCTGAACACATCGTAGATCTGATCCTTGAAGCCTCTAGACAACATCTCATCTGCCTCGTCCAAGACAAAAATCTTGATGTATTCAGTATCTGTCCGAGACAAAGAATTAGAAAGGTTTATCATGAAGGAAAACTGAGAAAAGTGTCACAGATAATAAGTTCATAATACATGTTTGCTTTGTTCTACAAATTCTGTCACTAGTACACACTGTTTAAAGTGCAGGAAAAGAAAGTACAACAATGACTACTTTGCTGAACTAAGGCGTCAATGTTACAGAATGTTCCTCGCATGGTTTACCCCCTCAGTCACCGCCACAGAGTGGCTCAGAGAAGACGCAGGAATATGCGAGGAGCCTATCCACATCAATGCCGGAACATTGGGGACAGGGGTTGCTCTCCAACGTCGTGGAAAGGGAATATACATCAGAACCCTGGATGAGGGTTCAGCTCCCGTACGCCACACTGGCAGAGCTAAGTGATGTGTTAAGTCACTCAGATACCATCGTTGGTTATGATAAAGGGATCAATTTCAATTTCCCAAAAGGACAAAAGACACAACCATTACAATCCCCTCCCTACCCTTCGATGTTTTGACCAATTAGTTGTGATTAATGTCGGACAAAAATCTGGCATGCGTACACTTGCATGAACCCTAACGCCATTTGGTCATTTACTAGGAACTTTCCTCACTTTTGCAAAATCCAACACCATGTCAACTCATACACCTGTTGGACGCTGATTATTGTGGTATGCCTGACCCCATGTAAAGCATAATCAGTTTACTAGAGCAGTACTCACTCCAACAGAATCAAACAAAACATGCAGTTGGATTTAAAGATTGGGTATGGTTAGCGTTCACATGTGTGGTTGGAACATGCAGAGTTGCATTGGATAGGCGCGCATGTTTCCCACGTGTGGAATGGGTAGGGACTAACGGACCTGTCCTTTCCCTACGCACATGATGGTATATTAACTCACTCAGGGCTTTTCTGCCGATCATGTCAAAGACTCTGCCGGGAGTGCCGACAACGATGTGCATCCCGGCTGCAAGCTTGGCAATATTACTCTGCACGTTGGTGCCACCGATGCAGGCCATGCATTCTGCGTTCATGTAGTCTCCGAGGGCCAGAAACACCTTCTGGATCTGTTCATCAAAAAATAATTAATTATTGGAAGTGACAAATGCACTGTGCTAAGCTAGACTGTTACATTTCTTTTTAAACATTTGAAGAGCCTTTAAGATATTGCATTGTAATTACATTATTTATGCAAAATCAGAATTATCAAAAACGTTGTTTTGTTTACTTAAAAAAGAAAAGTCAGAAAAAACATCCCCAATTAACCTTTTGATGAATGGTGGACAAAATAAGAGAGGGCCATTTTTTTTTTTTGGGGGGGGGGGGGGGTGTTAAACTTGTTGAATTTACCTGGGTAGCCAGCTCTCTGGTGGGAGCGAGCACCAGAGCCTGACATTCTTTTTTACTAGTGTCAATCTGGTGCAGAATGGAGATGGCAAACGTGGCCGTCTTTCCGGTGCCCGATTGGGCCTGAGCAATGACATCTTTGCCTGGAAAATCAGAAAGAAAATGGAGATTAAGCGGTGAAAGATAACCATTTTAAAAAACTAGAAATGTACTTTTGCAATGCAACTTTGTCACCAATAAACAGCAATTATATTGAAAATCACAAAGCTATTTTGGTCTTCAAATGTTAGGGATTGCATAAGCACTTATCTTTTCCACATCCTAACGGCACTTCATTTGCAGTTTGGACAACTCAGGTAAAACAACTTGAAATGCATTTGTCAGGAAATATTGGCATACATTCAGACAAGGGGCTTAACTTACCATGGCAACAAGGTACTATAGCAAGCTGCTGAATTGCAGAGGGCTTTTCAAATCCGTAAGCGTAGATTCCTCTAAGCAACGGATCAGGTAAGTTCATATCATCGAAACTCACAAAACTGTCCACTTGGGAGACATTCTGAGGAAAATCAAAATACAACGGAAAAAAAAGTTAAGAAATCTGTTTATATCATTGTTCTAAAGATTCATACGGCATAAGGCCATGTAAAAAAAAATAAACCAGTTTCTCATCCCCGCCCGCTTCCTTTTTCCCCGGCCGGCTTTTTTTTCTCTCTTTTAAAAAAAAAAAAAACTGTATACATTTGAAGTATATTTTGCATATATATATAGTCAATATAATGTCTTTTTATTCGTTTCCAACAAAATTGTAGCTATGAAAAAAGGGTTGTGGCTCCTTTGGACACAATTTTGTATTAAACAACACAGTTGAAAACATTGAAGAATCTATCCGCCATCTTGGGGAAAAAAAAAGGAAAACAAAACGCCCGCCTCCTTCATTTCTCAAAAAAAAAAGCCAGACGGGAAATATATACATATTTGTTTTACTGGGCCTTATTTACTGAATGGCATGCAACTATCACTGAATACTTTCATAGTGTTTTGCTTACTTCGATTTCTGCAGCCTGGTCTCCGATGTAAGGTTCCTGTTCCTTATTCTCTTTGGCAGACTCACCAGCATTTCCAGAACCTTCGGAGGTTTTCTGGGGTCTACAATGTCAAAGAGAGGACAGTAGGTGGATTAACAATTTTTTTGGGGGGGGGGGGGGTGTAGAATGGGAGCAATGCATCCATTATTGCCCTTTCAACATAAACGAACAGAAGCCAATCACAGTGTTGCTAGTTTGTCACATGACAAATAAAAATCAAAATCCATTAGGAACACATCTATGGGCTCCGTGTGCCGACAAAAGAGGGCGCCCTTCTACCTAGCAACGACGTCCCATGGGTGGGACTTTTCGCTGGTTGACGTGCACCGTTCCTTGTGTGTGACGCACGTACACCAGGGGATTTGTACTATGTACACGCAGTGGCCGCGCTTTGCGGCAAATGAATTGCAGTCAAGCAAGATGGCGTCGGTTGGTCACCCCCAACTGTACTTCCTATGCTGGTGAGGGGCTACTTGTGAACGGAGCGGATAGTGTACGTCAACATAAAAGACACTATGTAAAATGCTAAATGCAATTTAACAAACTAAATTTATGATCGTTCACAAGTTAATATTAAAATCAAAGTTAACTATCACACACCACACCATAACAGAATTAAATTTCCTTTTGTTGACGGTGTCTCGCAGTTAAAACAATTTTAGAAAAGTTGAACAAAGAAATTGACTGGAGCAGGGTTTGAACCTGCGACCTCTGGATTGCCATTCCAGTGTTGTTGGCGGTTCCCCAAATTGACAAATCTTTGTTCAAGGGCTGCTAGTCAGAAGCCATAAACCTGTATGTGCCATACAGCCAGGGGTCACGCCCACGCCACGATGCAGACTTGGGAAATAGCAAATGGGGATCACTCAGAGAGGATATGACTTTTTATTACGAATTTTCAAATGTACCACAAAGGGAAACTGACTAGGAGTAGGAGTAGGTGAATTATAGCAATGGCATGAACAGGTTTGATCAAATGATAAGAGGCTACTAGACAACACTGGCTCCGCCTGCCCTGATTTTCAAGCCCGCCCCAACATGTTTTTTTTATATTTTGTATTTTTTCTGCAAGTGTTTTTTCCCCTCCATTAACCCTCCTGCTATTTAAACAGTCACAGACAGTCAAAATTTCCATCTACTTCCCCTGCTATACTTTTAACACAGTCTAGTCACCAGCAGTCAGATCATATGTCAAGCAAGCACTGTGACTAGTCAAACTCAGTCAAGAGACCGTGAACAGACATAGCAGGCAAGTTGTGGGCACAGCTGGCTTATCAATCACTCCACTAGTCAAAGGTCAAAGCCAAGCTGTATCAAGTTACATAAACAGTCACAGCCAGTCAATCCTGCTTTACTAGGCTGGGAATTAACTGTTTAAAACAGTTACTTGACTAATTTTGACTGAAAGGACTCCTTGGCACAGAATCGCAAGGTTCGCAAACAGTGCTTTTTCAACACCGCGAACATTGCACACACGCTTGATGTGGTTGCCTGCTTGCACTAACATATTTCATGGGGCGGCTCAACCATTTTGTTAAGAGGGGGATTTTTTTATTTTAAGCGTGCGCGCGCCAGCCACATTGATATCATTGTTGCCTAGTGAATCAAAGATAACCCCCTCTTTAGAAAATGGTCAAGCTGCCCTACAAAATACTGTTACTGCAAAAAAAGTGCAAGCAGACGATCGCATCAAGTGTGTGTGCAACGTTCGTGGTGCTGAAAAAGCGATGTTGGTGAGTAAAAACTGATTTATCGAATCAGAAAAAGCAAATGTAGGCCTAATACTGCAATTAAATGTTGGAGTCAATTTGGAAAGAATGTTGCAGCCCGACGCCACTTTTTTCTTCATATAGCCTATCATCTCCATTAAAGGTCAGTCATTGCAAAAACGTTGAAAAGACATAAATCTGGGACTGAGAAACGTTTCAAATTTTGTAAGGAAATAGGGCTTACTCAGAAAATTTTCTTGACTCTCCATAGACTTTGTACACAACAGCTGAAGTGGCATCAGGTTGAAACATTCTTTCCGAAAGCTGGCTAAATCTAGCCGGCTAAATATTCACTTCCAGTTCCATAAAATTAAAAATATAAATTTCCCTCCCTCCGATTTTTTTTCAATCCGAGTGATGTAAACCCCAAAAAAGAAGAAAGTAGCTGGCCTTGCATTGTAATCATGGTAGGCCTAATGTTACATGAAATATTTTACATTATTGTTCACTTCAAATTGGTGGGTTAAAAAATTTGCAATAAAAAAACTGAATTGCTGCTCAAAACTTCAGTCACATGTCACTGGCATGACTGGGGAAAACAAAAGTTAAAATGCAGATTGCTGATATAGGCCCCCTAAATGTAGGCATATAACACAATTTAATAGGCATATCTTGATGGACATGCTGATCTGCGAGTTTCAAGATACATACATGCGCACGACACATGATCCATGTCCATGATGACGATCATTTATTCTTTCCAAATCCGTTCAAGATCACTTGCCATGCCAGCTATTGTGAACATATTTGTTAAATAAAGAATTCATTCCCCTGGAATACTTCACCATCCTTGTAAATCAATGATTAGAGATTCTATTTGCCGATTAAAAACCGCAAAATATTGTAAAGAACAACATTTTTAGAGTGATATCGTGGACCAGTTGGGAACACTTTTGTTGAACACGTGCTGCAGTCGTAGGCAGGAAATCGACCATATCGCCATCTTACCTCCAACTTTTGTTCAAAAAACCAACACAAAATCATAGATTTAAGTCTTCTTTTCACTCATAACTTGTGGAAGGAACGTTAATACAATCGATGAAATGTTTCTAAAGCAGATTTCAGAAGAAAATAGAAGGAAATACCTACCCTGGGATAGAATCTTCGTATTCGTTTGACATTCTTCTAGTACGCACAGCGGGAAAAAGACCGATGGAGGAATGAACAGTGCGAACGTGCTTTTAATCAATGTATCATTCCGCTATCCGGAAGTAGAGCCGATGGCTAATGAACTCGAAAAATTCTACGTAAATTCACGAATAAAAATTATTGAAAACATTAAGAAATAGTCAAAATAGTTATTTGTACAATATTAATAGAATATATATGCTTCAAAGTTAAATTAATACGAAGTAAACTATAAGCGGCTTGATATTTGAATACTTAACACAGTGAAAAAAAGTGCCGGGTGTCGTGCACATGCGGTGGCGACATTGCGCAATGTCAGAAATTTACATAACATTATCGTGCGATGACGTACGTACGAAGTACCGGCGCGGCCCGATTCGTAGAAGGCATTGTTCTTATTATTTAGGCGGAAAATAAATTCTTGACTTAAATCATTTTGGTAAATAACCAACCACATTTTATGATGATTCACAAAAAGAGAATGACTTCCGTCAAAGATCTGCTGTTCATGTTATGTCCGCCTTGCCTGTGTCATGACCAGATTGCTGTTTTGAAATCATGTTGCCGGGGCGGGACCGCCCGGTTAATTGCCAGAATGTTAAAAAAAAGTTCACCATTTTCAAGGAAAGGAGATGGTTGAATACTTGTCCAGTTATTAAAATCATGTGCTCGGAATCAAGATATGACAAAACTTTAAATCCTGGCCCGTCATTAAGATTTTTTTGGTTGTTGTTGCACTTGACATGTTTGGAGGTTTTTTAAATTTTTATTTGGCCTAACTACAATATAAAAATTCAGCTCATTATAAGCGCCAATGCTTTTAATTCGCAAAATTGAATACACTTTAAAATATTTACAAAGGGCATTGAAAAAATGGTTTCCCGTCACTAAAATGACAAAATTAAAACTACGCAAAAACCAGGATTAGTACACTTATTTCAAATTATTGACACTGTTTCTTTTTGTATATTATCAAGCTTTTGTTTGACATCGAGAAATTAATTCAATTTCCAATTCAATGTAACATTTATTTCAATGATGCCATCCTTATGCAGTATGTACAAACATGCATATACATAACATAAGGAGTACAATAATATGATATTTGATATGCACACAGTGATTAATAATAAAGTAGCAAATTAAATGACAACATTTAGGTATAAGATAAAGCAGAACGCTTCTGTGCCCTTTACACCTATGGTCAGACAAACATACAACCAAAATACCGTAACGTGGACATGGGACAAACAAAACACAACGTGAAACGGACAAGTGTGAGACAAAGCCTAATTATTAGTTCATAAAAAACAAAGACAGACAATATCGGCCCTTGTTTGAGTTCCACATTTTTTTTTCGCAAAAATATCTGTATTGGCATAATAGTCCTTCATTTTTGTTTGGATTTAATTGTTTAATTTCACCTGTAAACATTTACCGCAATCATGAATCATTGTGATTGGTCAAAAGTCCCCAAAAAGTTACACCGAAAAAGGTGAATAGCGCCCTCAGTTCTTTTAACCAGCGAATTGTATAGTCGGGTAGCACACCCTTTACATATACACGTTCACATTGTGTTGATATCGCGTCAAGGTTCCTTACTTCAATAGCGCAGGTGTATTTTTATACGTGCACCGTCACGCGTCCGCGTTTATTGATCAGTAAGTAAAAGGCACTACTGGTTTTAACAAGTTTATAACTTGGAAGTTTTGTACTTAGCAGAGTTACGGGATAGAAATTGAAGCATCGGTCACTTCAAAGAGATATGTACGAATAAGTTTTAATCTCCTAGCTGTTTCAGTCTTCTACAAGTTTATGAATAGGCCTAGGTGAGTAAAACTAAGTTTTTGCATAAACATGTACGCGGTCGGTGCAGCTCAGACTCCGCACGTTTACAATGTCAATGCATGTAAAATGCTCAGGTGGAACTTTTTAAAAGTTTTTTCATTTCGCTGAATTTGAAATATTTGTGTAGTCGTGTACTCGGTGTTAATATTCAAAGTAAGTAAGAATTGAAGTTAGTGAACTATTTTACTGATTTCAAACACAAAGTGGCTTTTTCTGTTTGTATCAATTGCCAAATGTTTGGGCATGTTGGGTAGGCTTTAGCTTGAGTAACTCCAGCTGACATGCTCCATATTCATGAATATGGAGCATGTCAGCTGGAGTTACTCAAGCTAGTGGTCAAGGTAGTATTTTTTGATGGTTTTCAGGGTTCCCCCCCCCCAAAAAAAATTAGGGTAGGGGCTGTAAAAATAGTGTAGGTATCGTAGGGTAACCGGAAGCAGAACTAATTGTTTTTGGCCTTAGTATGAAGTCCAAAAACATCAAGGTCATTTACTCTCTCATAATGGAACGGGATCCTATACTGCACGATTACTGAAATATTAAACAATGGGCGCTCAAATAAAGATTTGCTCCACAAGCATCAACAGTTGTAAACCCAAAGTGTCGTTAGCATTTTGTAGCCTTTGCCTACTCTAAATAAACTGTCACTTGTCAGACTCAGACTCGGACTAGAGTGTCAATTTTTTCCCCTGTATATCACGATGCAAGGTGGCTGTTTCAAGTTACTTCTTTATTAGGCCAGTTGGTTGGTTGGTTTGTTTTTATGACTGATATTTTACAAAAACAATACGAATTATGATTGACATCAAATTACAAATCAAATTAAAAACACACTATGAGTACACATGAATTATACAATGTCCGAGCATGCCAAATCGTTGTCGAGGGTAACACAAAAAGCTGACAACTCACATGTATTTCCACTGTAGTCCTCTGCAATCATAAAAATACAGTGGTTAAAACTAATTTCATAAAATCATAATACAAAATCAATTGCACATGAGGCGTTACTGTATACAATTTTCAGATAAAACACCTAATTAATATCTGACCAACAGTTGTAAAAAGTAAAACATTAGGACAAGACAACACATTTATTGTCATACAAAAAAATTTGAAGTTTTTTTTTCAAGCAGATCAAATAATTCGAGATTTAAGGTTCTTGTTTTTTATTTATTTATTTATTTATTTTGGTAGTGGATATTTGGCCAACGTCAGTTTTCTTTTTTTTAAATGTTTTTTTTTTGCATGAAGGCTGTGTCTGATTAGCTCATACATAATTATGTCATATTAGCCATCGGCGCACCCAGGATTTGGCTTGGGGAAGGGCTCACAATTTTTTGCCCAAAATTTTTGGCCGCAGAAAAAAATTGGGTTGTTTGTTTGTTTGTTTGGTTTTTTTTTTTTGGGGGGGGGGGACTGTTTTAACGTTGGTGGCGCCACTTACACCCCTATGCCACACTGGGTTTCTATAAATATAAATTTACCAGAGGTAGTGTTTGATTCCTTCAGCAAACTAACGTTAATACATGTACTAAAAGATAGCTAAGTAAGATTTGAGGCTTTGCATGGTGGAGATACTAAATAATGAAAGGTTTGCGGAATTACCATGTGCGAATAATTTCTCAACTAAGAGAATGGTTCTGAAATGAACCAGAGGTATAAACTCAACGTCATTATTTAAAGGATAGCTGGCGCAGCCAATATGAAGTAAAATAGGAGTCAATTCGGGAAACCTACATGTACGTGAAAATTACTAACAGTTACTTGTACTAAAACTTGAAAGAAAACCAATATCCATGCAGTGTACCATGTTGAATAGAGAAAAACCTGATTAGAATAACGAACTACCATCGACAAATAAAGTGGCATCTGACGTTAAAGCACCGCAACTTGATGGTTAAAATAACATCACAGTCGTGCGTAGTCTTTTTTTCCTTCTTCAAAGAATATCCAAACCGGCAAAAAGCTATTCGAATATTTGGTTGATGATCAAATATCCAAATATCAGTATATTCAGGACAGCCCTAAATAACTTTACTCCCATACTTAAAGGGAATATACATCATTTGCTTTTGCTGTAATTTTCAGAAATGGATGGAATTGGGGGGTTGGAAATATAAAGCAAATATAGTTACACTGACTTTTTGGAGGTTTTGGGTTCGAAAGTGCTATAAAAACCAAGAAAAACGATCATTTTCCTGTAGTCTGGTCCCCTGACTCCATATAAGAAGAAACAGAGCAGTTTACATACATTGGGGAATTGTAAGGTCAGGGAACCAGTCTAGCTGGCTCGTACCCGTTCATAGGTTTGTAATCGATTGCAAACAAGTGCAATGGTCAATTGGGGCCAGTATTTGAAAAAAAGCCAGTTGTTTCCAACGCTGATCGGCCGATCAGCGTTGGAAATTGATACAAAAATACCACTTTTCTTGAAAATGACAGTATACCAGGTGCCATAATTTTACAGGATGCTTTAGACTGTCATTTACCAACATCCTATTAAGGTATTTCGCAAAAACTTGGTAGTTTTATTTTTCGATGTTTGCAAATGTTGTATATTCCCTTTAACCAGAACAATGACAGCTACTCTCTTTCCAAGAGTTGCCTTCAATTCAGAGTCCCAGGAAAATCACTGTTAAGCCAAAGAAAAACAAACAAGCATACATTTGCCCAGAGTTGAAAAATATGAAGTGTTGCGTTTTTCATGATAAATCCATTATCAGGGTGGATCCTGATTTGGAAAGCCCAATCTATCAGTACATGTTTGTCCATTGGATTTACAATGGGTTACAATTTGCTCAAAGTAAAGACTGATTATCAGTAAAGTACTTATAAATACTAGTACACTTTAACTCTATTGTAAGAGTTATATAACCTCTGTCCTTCTAACAAGTTTGACAACTCCCAACAATATGCGCTAGTACGTCATGCTTAAATCTAGTATGCACCAGCGTGTATCTGCGTGTACAGTCTAACACCCCTTCACTCCCGGATTTATGACTAATGCATGATTCACTCCATTCAGATTGCACACACTGATTGACTTTCGTATCTTCACTTTATGCTCCTACACAAAGCTATGGTATGCGTAGACACACAAGCAGTTCCATGCATGTTAACAAACTTTTGACAGAAGAAAGCGCAACTTCAGTGGATTGATTACGCACTGCAGAATGAATTGGATTGTTTATCATTGTCGTAGAATAAATTGGGTGCAATAAGAGTCAGGTACTGTATTCACTTTTCTTTTGAAGTAAATTTTGAAATCAGTGTTGATCTTGATGTTTTGTGTCCACTTGTGAAGTTTGTAGAAACATGTCATTCAAATAATTATGTCTTGAGAATTTTATTTGCGGTAAAATTGCCCACTACTACATGTACTACACCACTTGTGAGCATACATGTATGTAAGCATAATTGATCAGTTCGTGCATTGATTTTTTTTGGGGGGGGGGGGGTGATGTCTTTGTGGACATATGGATACAACTTATAAATAATGTAGGCTGTTAAGCCAGTGTGTGAAATGTATGGTAATGAGTATTTGTAAATATTAAAGTGATTGGTAATGCAAAGGCATGCTGTGTTAATATTTGTATATCCACATGGTTAATTGCAAAGTCCATTTTACATTTCCTGTTGATTAAAATGAATCACTTGTAAAAGTTGGAGAGGGGATTGGACATTACCTTTGGCATTTGGATTCCGTAATAAAAAAGAGAAAAAGTATTGGTGTCATGGGTGGGAAATATCCCTCCCCCATCCTCAAAAGTCAAAGCATCATCACTCATTAAATGCTTGTTAGTTATTAAGAGGAGATACATTTTTTTCTGCTTGGAGACTAGTTTTAGATAGAAGTGGACCTAATTTTTTTTTTGGGGGGGGGGGAGGGGAGATGCAGTTGGGGACAAAAAAGGAGGAAATATCTTCCAACCCCAAATTAATTTATCATTGATAAGACCAGGATGTATTACTCTACACTCATTCAACGTAATGTTAGATGCAGAAACAACACGTCAGAAACAATAAATAGAAAACTGCTAATGTCATGCGGAGATTTATCCGTCTAAGTTTCTTTTGGGTGCTATTTATTATTTCCAGTTTACGTAGATTATGTCAAAATGTAAAGTAGGATCCCTGTGACTTTTACTGACAACAATCGCTGGTGTATAAATGCCCATACATGGTTGTTTGTGGTGAGCATTTGCTGAGCCGTTTACTCAGCCATCCCGTCCTGCTTTCTGACGACCTATTCATCAGAGCCATTCAGGTGGCTCGTAAGGGTACAAATACTGGGGCTGAGTCACTAGACTGCAGTAGGGTTTATTGTTGCGCGCTGGTTGTATTGTGTCGTCGTCGGCAAGATAGCTGGGGGAATTTGATGGGGTCGAGTGGCTTTAAAGGAGCTTGGTGGCCCATTGGATTACTATAGAGTGGGTGGAACTACTCCAGTGACTGTATTCAAAACATACACGTACATCTACATGTGATTATTTGTTCTAGTTTTTTGCTGCAAATCTGGAAGGTCAGCATGAACATGTCATGAATGTATTAAAAGTGGTGTTTTTTGCAGTTCACTTTTAAACATTTGACTTTTTTTGAGGTCATTGTCAACTGTTGTTGATATGTACAGGGGGTATGGGACATTACTTTTACCCTGTGAGGGGCATGTACCGAGTAGTCCTGAAGGTTAGGTGAGGTGATCGAATGCCTAAATTTGAAAAAAAACACCAGATATGAAAAAAATATTGAAAAATGTTTGTCATGAAGACTCTGTTGGGCAGGGAGAAGTGCTACTAATTTTTGAATGCTTGGGGTTGGACCGGGGGGGGGGGGGGGGGGGGGGGGGTGAGGGGGGAGGGGGTTGACACATAGTGACACATGTAAGTGTTTGTATTCCCTTTAATACACGTAAGCGCACTATTTTGAGGTGAATGAACACTAGTACGGAGAATTCATGCATGTAAGTCATTGTCATGAGCTGTACAATTTGTATTTAGATTTGCCTCTGAACTTTGTCACAATGAGACGTCGCAAGGAAAAGTAATAAATACTGGTGTCTCGGGCATAAAGCAGCTTTCACATGAGGCAACACACAGTAGCAGACACAGAACTACAACTGTGCCGACACTTTGAAGTTTGTTTTTCACGTCACAAGTTGCTGGAACTTACCATTTCAACAAGGCAAATTTGCTGGTGGAGTCTGATTGAAATTACAGAGCCGACCACTTGTTGCTGAGGAATCGTACAGTTGGCAAAAAAGATTGACACTCTCTGCTGATGGGAACGCTACAAGTGGAAGACTGTTTGGAAAACCAAGGAGATTCACTTTACCATGACAGGTGTTTGAGGGCTCTGCTCTATCATGAGTTCCTGCTTTTTCCTCCAGACTATTTTGATTATTTGGGGACAGAAATTTTGGTTGCGTGCTCTTGAAGTGAAGGGTTTGAGTACTGAAATGGTTTGATTTTTAAAACCCTTGTCTTTTCCGGTTCTGCTGATGTAAGTGCGAAACGGACTTGGGAGAGGATTGGAAAGTTCCACTTTCTTTATACACAAAGAGTGCACAAAGAACTTTACTTCTCCTGGCAAATTGATGTGATCAACAAGATTTTGCCAATCATCAACAGCTGGAGCCACAATGGAAAACATAAGGAAAGTACTGTCTGACAATTTGAACGCCTGTAAGTTATGCTTTGAAAAAAATCCAGTTATTGCAGTCGTTAATTATTATTTATTTGAGGGAGTTGGGATTACACTGCAGTGTTAGTATGAAGGTGATTGCACAAAAAGTTTGAAGGCTGTTATTATAATGATCATACCTGATTGGCTCCAGGTACAGATATTCAACGCTTCATTGATTGGTGTTTACTACTTGTGCATCACAGGCTGTAGAGAGAGGCATCTATAGAGACACAGTCATCGCATGAGAGCATTTGAAGAGAATGGATATTACAAAGGCGGAGATTTGTTTTCATGGGAAAGACCTTGAGAGTCTATGTCTATTGGAAGGGGATTTTTTTCAGAGGTTTATGTGATTTGTGCCATTGTAAACTTTGTCATGAATAGGTAAAGATAGAGTCTTCATTGTGCAATTCAAATTTGGGAACTTGAATATTTGAATTCACAAAGTGGATTTTTTTCACACTGCCCTTGATGTACTTGAAACACAAAATTATCATATTTGGAAAATTAATTTGCTCTTAAGGTGAATATCAACACAGCTGGTCTGGCAGAAAGTAAATAAACCCAAATACCAAAAATGCACATAAAAATACTCCAGTCCACTGCAAATATTAAACCATCATACATGCATGCTCTCTCAGTTTTCTGTTCTGGGGGCTGTGCATGTATACATGTACATTAGCTACATGTATCTGATCTCTTGAGATAGGCCTACATGTAGCAGTATAACTTATATAAACACAACCTGTATAGCATCATGGAGGTAGAATTAACCCTCCTATGCAAGCATACATTCTGTACCAATTTGTTGTCTCAGTCAAAATCAGTCGAGTGACTGTTTTTAACAGTTATGAGCTCCCAGCCTACATAAAGCAGGATTGACTGACTGTGACTGTTCATGTAACTTGATACAGCTATGCTTTGACTGTAGGTGATTGATAAGCCAGCTGTGCCTACCACTTGCCCAGTTTTATCGGCTGACTGAATTTGACTACATGTAGTCAAAGTGCTTGCTAGAAATATGATCTGACTGTTGGTGACTAGCCAATGTAAAAGGCATGGCAGGGGAAGAGGATTGATTTTTTGACTGTCTGTGACTGTTCAGATGAGGATTATTCAATCAATGTAATCAGTATGGGAGGAACCGAGGCATTAAGTTCCCAGACTATGATCCAGGCTTGATGGCCCAGCCCATGATGAGAGCTTAGGCCTGATCCACAGTAGAACTTTAAAGCCCATTTCAGTCGGACGTTCATAGTCTGGCATTCCACCTGTTCCAGACTTGGCTTTCCAGCCAAAAGCAAAGTAGGAGCAACTCAGATTGTCCAAATGGGTTTGGCTTTCAAACAGGCAAACTTTACTTATTAATTTTCTATTGACCACATTTTGGAGTTGTTCCAAACGACTGCAACGATGTTGTAGCTAGGCGTACAACTTTTCAAGCACCTAATTGAATCTTCTGAGTAATTTAGTTTACCCCGACTCTGGTCTGAAACGGCTGTTATCTTCTGTCCCCTGATCTGCTCCCAAATCCAGGTTAGCATTTAAGGGCCGGAACCGTGAATTTCTCCTTTTTTAAGGTTGGGTTAAAAACAAGTGGTTCCTGCCAAGGGCTGTGAACAGGAGGTAATGATAGTACTGTTTCCTTCCTCTATGATTTCCATGGAAAAATATTTGGGTTGAATACTTAAATGGCTTTATTTATGCTACATGTGTATGAAAGTCTTTTTTTTTTTACAGGGGGCAAGACTGTTTTGAAGCTTTCTGGTTGTTTGTTTGCCCTGTTTAGCAAATCATGTACTTTACTCTCACAGAGTTCTTGTGTCCAGTCATAGAAAAAACGGTTGAAAATCAGGAAGTTCTTGCCAAAAAGCAGGAAATTGAATCCACCGTGTTCCTTGGAGATTGTCCAACATTCTAGTAATGCATGGGTTTAATGTTTGTTTCTTGTATGTCAAGCCGTGCATTGCAAGTTTAGGAACAGTTTTTGGTGGTCCAAAGTGGCAGTTTTTTCTTCATTTCATAGCCCTTTGAATCCTCTTGCGCAGTAAAATTTTACTGATTTACAACATAACAAACATAAAAAAAATGTAAAATGCAGATAAAAGTTGCAGACTGTAAACATGGACTGTGAAAAGGGGCAATTGTACCTGAGCGTGCCTCCAGGGGCTGTTGTAAATTTATTCCTGTGCATGAATGCCGACAGAAACCAAAAGGCGCTGTAGTTGTGTTATTAGCACAATTTCTATTTCATCCAGGGGCCAAAAAATCAGTCGGCGATCTCTCTTGATATAAAACACAAAATGCGAGGAAATTTGAAGTGTTTGCTCAATAGAATGTCAAAGATTACCGTAGAGACATGTCCTTTGTACAGATTCGTAAATGCTTAGCTGTGTGCTATGCACAATTTTTAACAACACCTCTCACTGAAAATGCGCTGGCCTAAATAAAATTGTTAAAATATTTCCTTTGATTGAAAAAAAAATCATGGTGTTATTGTAATATGTACTTTTGTAATATACATATTTTGCGGTCTTTTGTTTACTTTTTTTGTTCTTCCTGGAAAAATAGGGCACTGAACCCAGGAAAATAAAATCACCACTTCCTGAAAATATAGCAATGACAAGCAAAATTTCCACCTGATTGCCAGTAAGCAGGAAGTACCACTATCTTTGATTTCCCGCTGAATTCTGCAATTTCAGACAAAAACCAGGATCCTTCCCCAAGAATGACTTGTTGATGACATTTACCTGAACAGGGGTTCCCCCTATTTCACCCCTGAGCCTCACCAAAAAAAACTCTTGTTTATTGCTGGGTTTTTTTACCTTTATAAAAGCTGTTCCTTCAGCTAGTCAGATATTTCGGAAGATTTTCTGGGCTGATGTTATTCGGAGGGCAAAGTTTGTTAATTTTCTTCCCCGAAATTCTTCTTGATTTTTCTCATAATGTGAAGAAGAAAAATCACAATTAATTCATTGAATCTGAATTGACGACACCAGGTAAACTTGGTAAAGAAGAGTTTTTGTAATCATGGTTTTGTTCCTTTTGTAAAATACTGAGGTAATCTGCTACATTTCAAGCGTTTATTGTGAAACCTTGTTTTGCCGAACCGAGGTCACGCTTTTGTTACTTTTATTTTTTCCCACAATGAAATCTCAGCTATTTATCCTTCATGCCTTGTGCAGACGTTGTTGTGGTGATGGCATTGTAAAAAATCATCCATCTGTGGGGGGATAGACTCTATTTCTCCTCCAAAAAAGGATTTGCACTTTGCAGTGGAGAGTGGTGCTTGCCAGAAATAAAAGAGAAAAAAAAAAGGGAAAAAAAACTGGCCAGTTTTTCATTCATGTACGAATGTCTGTACTGGTACAACGTGTACATGGGCGTTGGTTAAAAATGCTCGCCGATTAACATTGATTGACTGCAATGGTTGTTAGAATGACTTTTTTATTTTAAATTTTGACACTATTGATGTACCAAAAAACCCCGAAAATTGTTTCCTACTTTTCTTCACAGTGCTAGGCAAGATGTCCAACACAATTGAAATCGACCAGTCTACATTCGATGCACTCCCCCGCACTCAGCGTCTCAAGCTAGCCAAGAAAGCTCGTCAGGAGCAACTGCGTAAGTACTACGCCAGAGAGAGGGAGGAACAGAGGAACAGACCTGTCGACAGTGGGCCACGGACGCCCAACAAGAAGGGGACAAGGGTCAACTTCCAGCTAGCCAATAAGCTCCGAAATGCGATCACAAGATTTGATGTTAAAGAAGGTGAGATCAAGTTTGGTTTGCTTCATCACTCTAACCAAAAGTCTCGTTTCACGAAATCTCATCAATTTTACCTAAAACTTTCTTGAGTGTATGACAAAGTCAGATGAATTTCACCTTAGCAACTTAACACAATGTTTTCCTTGTTTTGTTTGTTCACAGTGCTTGCATTATTAGATCAGGGAGCTGATCCCAACACATCGTCAGAGAGTAGGGTCACCGTCCTACATCAGGTGAGGCTGCTGTTGCCATGACAAGTTTCAAAATTTAAGATGCATGAGCCGTAAGAGATGTCTAATGTAGATGTGAAATTTTGGCAAAATTTGGAATTATTTGGAAAGGCTGGGGCATCTTTTGGATTAACTTGTGTAATTCTGTAAAATAGGTCTCTTTTTCTTTTTATTCCTAATTCGGTTACCAGTGTGCTCTTGATGACAACCTAGCAGCAGCAGAGATCCTGGTATCCCGCGGTGCCATTGTTAATGCACAGGATGATGACTGGTGGACGCCGCTCCATGCAGCATGTGCCTGCGACTTTGCCGAAGTCACACAGCTTCTCCTAAATGTACGTAGCTCATTCTTGCACTAGTGTATGTGCTTAAAAGTTAGAGTACCAACAAAAGAGTGACAATAGGACGTCCACGATCGACGGTGAACACACGTTTGTGTGTGCACATGAGGTGTGTCGTAGGCCACAGCACCATGTACAATTCCTGCATATAGAATCCATAATGCAACCTTCTTTACTACGTCTAATTACAGAATGGTGCTGACGTGACGCTCCTAGACATTGATGGTAATGTTGCTCTGGACCATGCAGCAGAAGGCAGCGAGACCAGACTGGTTATGGACCAACACATGCAGCAAGTTGGTAAGTCCATCGCAGGTGACTTCCCAGCTAATTCCAGTACCCATTTATACTCCCAGGAGAATGGAAGCGGGTTGGAGTGAAGTTGCTTGCCTAAAGACACAAACACTGGCCAGCAGCAGGATTCAAACCCCTGATTAACAGACCCTAACCCTGCAAGCTACCAACAGCAGCTAACCTCTTTTTTCTAATGTCATCAATTTCTTCTGATCGCAGGAGTTGACAGTAACACACTGAAGGGTGTCAAGCAGCGAGATGCTGAGAGAATGCTGAGTGACATCAAGGAGTTCTTACTGACTGGAGGAAACGTCAACGCAACAAATGACAGAAACACATCATTGGTAAGATCATACTTAATCTGGTTTATTTTCACATGTTGACCCTGATTGGACTCGAACCTGGGTCACATTTCACAAGGAAAGAACCACTCTGCAAACTTTACTGCCCATTGGAGTGCAATTTTTCAAATGGACGTTGTTTATAATCTTCAAATCTTATTGTGTGACAGCTCCACATAGCAGCAGCGAACAACTACCGGGCGGTGGCCAAGCATCTTTTGGATCGTCATGCCGACGTGGATACAGAAGATGACGAGGGGATGACGCCGTTGCATCTAGCAGCAAGGTTCGGCCATACGAAGATGGTCAAACTACTGACCAGGAGAAACGCTAACCCGAAAATCATCAATATCAATGAGGAAAGACCAGTTGGTATGTACAGAGTTCAGTTCATTCTTTGTTAAATCATACGTTTATCACAAGTATATAAGTCTATCACGAGTCAAATTTTTCATTGTTCAAAAAGGATGAACAATGAAAAAGAAATTCATTTGTCAGTTCTTTGGATTGACTTTTGATTGACTTGTGATTGACTTGTGATTGGATTGTGATTGACTTGTGATTGGCTTGTGATTGACTTGTGATTTACTGGTGATTGACTTGTGATTTACTTGAGATTGACTTGAGATTGACTTGTGATTGACTTTTGATGACTTGTGATTGACTTGTGAGTTGGCTTGTGATTGACTTGTGGTTGACTTGGGATTGGCTTGCGAACGCTTTAGTAAAAAAAGTCCTTATTGTTGGTTGTTTGTTACAGACCTAGCTGCCACAGAACTCATTCAAGAAATGCTGAAGACAGCTATGCAGGAATATCTACCCAACCGTCTCAAATCCATCTCGGCAACCAGCAACGAAGAGGAAATCTATGAAGAACTTTCTGGAACCACTCCAGATGGAGTGGCCCGAATCAACAGTAAAAATCTGTAAGATATCTGGAAGAGGGGTAGAAAAAGAAGCGGGAAAACGAGGATGGATAACTCAAAATTATATTAGTCATGGTTCGTCCATCTTCAAGAATTGAAAGTTTAGTCGTCATATTTAATTCAAAGTCTGAACTTGAGGCCATTCAAAATAAAAAAGAGTAATAAATAAAATGCATTAACATTGTTTTTTTCTTGCTCCTATAGACGTGCCAGGTCATCATCTTTATCTAAGACGGAGGAGATTTTCGAGGCCCAGACGAGAATTCCGGACGATAACAGAAGATTCAGTCAAGAAATGAACGAATCAATCAAGTGCATTGGTCTGAAGATAGTGCCTGAAGATGAATCTGTAAGTCAGCACGCAATTATTGTGTGTTTGGTTTTAGTTTATTCATTGCTCTTTATTCTGGGCCCAGTAATCAGGGAGATGCTTAACAAAAAAGTATTATTTAGAAAAGTTATGAGAGAAATATCTCACCTTAATTTGCTTACTTGGTATTCTAAAGTAAACTGTTAATTGATTGACTCCCCAATCTAACAGGTGTATCTACCAGGCACCAGCTCCACAGACGATCTGACCTCCATGTCTGAGTTATCACAGAACATGATCCTGCAGGAGCTGATGCTGAGATATAGCAAGGATATCATCTATGTAAGTCTCGTAATGGAGTTTTCAAAGTAGGGAGGTGTTGGAGACAAAAAGCCGAGATTTGCAAAATGAAATTATTTCAAGAAAGGTTGGTTAAATCTGTCTAATAAATTAACACATAGATGGAAAGAGGGTGGAAAGCAACCCCATTCATCCCCCTAAATCCAACGCCGAACTCTTCCTGGCCCTCGGTTTTGTAGTGTTTTGGTGGATTTAGACCTGTTCCCTCAGACACTGGCTGTCAGTCACATCCCTGTCTTGCATCTCTCTTCTCTACCTCTGGACATAACATAAAATGGACCCCTTTGCCATATTTCATAGCCTTTTTCCTTCATGACCCCCAGACCTACGTGGGTGACATCCTGATCGCCGTCAACCCCTTCAAGACACTCCCCATCTACTCCTGCCGTGCCTCCCGCCAATACTGCGATCTTGCTGACCGTCGTGCCCTGACGCCGCACATCTTCTGCGTAGCCGACGGGGCGTATCGGGCCATGCTGAGGGAAGGCAAGTCCCAATGCTGTATCATCAGTGGAGAGAGCGGTGCCGGCAAGACGGAGTCCGCCAAATACTTCGTCCAGCATTTGCTGCTAAGGGCTCAGAGTGAAGAGAGCCTGCTGAACGAAAAGATCCAACAGGTAACGCTAAGCTGATCTTGATTTCAGAATTATGCTAAGTGCAGAGAATGCTTGCTTGACCCAACAGATAACGCTACAGCAAATTTCAAGGCGTTGTCTAATTCAGAAAATGTACTAAATGCAGGAGAAAAGGCTCACAAACCAAAATATAATGCATTCCAAACTTTTAAGTTGCTCCAATTATTTGCTGGCCGATTTTATGATGATTTGATTGTTGATCAATTGCAGGTGAATCCATTACTGGAGTGTTTCGGCAATGCTCAGACAGAGATGAATGACAACTCCAGCCGTTTTGGCAAGTACCTGTCCCTCCTCTTCTGCCACGATGGGCGGGTCCAGGGGGCGACGTTGTCCGAGTATCTCCTGGAGAAGTCCAGAGTTGTGTATCAGGGACAGAGAGAGAGGAACTTCCATATCTTCTACCTGATGTATGCGGGTCTGTCTGAAGAAGAGAAGATTGAGTTTGGCCTCTCCAGTGCAGAGAATCACAGGTATTTCTTATGTCAATTTGGAGCAAGTTGGAGATACGTGGGGTTTTTTCCAAAGCGCAAATCTGTCTGTGGTTTTATCCTCGCATCTGGCTTCAGAATTATTTGAAGTCTTTAAGGTTCTTATGACAAATTATATGAATTTTTGGTAAACTTACGGTGTTTGTTTTTTGAAGGTACTTGAACAAAGGTCATGATGTGAGGAAGGCCGTTAACACAGCCTGCAAGCTGAAGTTCCAATCCGTCCGAGATTGTCTCCATCTTATTGGTTTCTCCAAGGACGTAAGTCATATCTCATCAACTTTGATGCCATTCCGTGCCCTTGTAACCCTTGTTCCCTGGGCATTAATTACATCCTACAAATTAAAAATAGACAATTTTACCAACTAATCTTTACTCTTGTTAGAGCATGTCATTGCCCAACTCACAGCTCTGTTTTTGAGATAAACAATAGCTGTTTTATGTTTGACAAAATTTTGAGAGTTGCTGCCCAATTCCAAAAAGTAACCAAAAAAGATTTTCGAAATGGCAGGCTGAGCTGATTCTACAACTGTTTTGTGACCAATGTGGAATCAAACACAAAACAGCTGTCATAAAGCTGTGATCATCCTTGCCAAACTGTTTAGAATATTTAAAATATCGTACCGCTTCGCCAAGTTTTGTGACATCGATAGCTGATTCTAGAGTCTGATCATTTTCTCCTCAGGATGAAGACAGTCTATTCCGTACCCTCGCTGCCGTCTTGCATCTCGGTGATCTAGACTTTGCCCAGTCTGACAAGGACATGGCGCGCCTCGTCAACCAGGAGGTGCTGGACAAAGTGTCCCTCCTCCTACAAGTCTCTGCCGATGAGCTGGGAAGCGCTATCATGTCAGAGACGACATATACAAGAGGTAAAGACCAATACGTGTGGCAGGATCTGAATTACGTGGCTACGGCTGGAATTAACTTATGTGTCTATAGCAAGTGACTGCAGCCGCTTCAATAGACGCTCAAGCCGTACCAAGTAATTCAGACACGGCCTTTCTTAAAATTGTTCAGTTAGTAGATCACTGGTACTGTATTCTAAAGGTTTCTTTTAGTCAGTTTTCTTTGTTAAACCAAACATCTTGTCTTGGAGGGTGATAACATAGGGCCTGTTGGTCACAGGTTCAAACCCAGCTCCTGTCAATTTCATCAGATGGAATGTTTGTTCTACACTCAGGTGAAGCCATCACCAAGCTTCGAACCGTAACCCAAGCTGAGGAGTGCCGTGATGCTCTAGCCAAGGCCATCTACAGCCGTCTCTTCAGCTGGGTAGTCAATAACATCAACCAACTCCTGCAACCCGTGGAGGAAGTCGAGACTGCCTTTGAGATTGGAGTCCTGGACATCTTTGGTTTTGAGAATTTCAACAGGAACAGCTTTGAGCAGGTGGGAGAACACGCCGTTTTGCTAACCTGCAAAATACATGAACTGTGTCAAAGGATTCTGATGTTGTTAGTTCATGACAATCACCTCCCCTCCCAGATAATAAACCGAAGCAGCATTCATATCAGCCACTTCTCAACCCCCCCCCTCCCCAAATAAAAATATATGAATAAATATAAAAATAAAAACCCAAAACGAAATTGCAAATTTGTTTTAGTTTGATTCCTACTTGAGTCAACTACTTTTTGTTTTCAACAAGTGATTTCAATTTGCTTACATCCTGACAGACTTGCATCAATCTTGCCAACGAGCAACTCCAGAATTTCTTCAACGAGCACATCTTCATGAAGGAGCAAGACGACTGCGAGAGAGAAGGCATCAAGCTGGAACGGATCAACTTCACCAACAACAAACCTTGTCTCGACCTCTTCCTAGAGGTGGTTTATTTGCTTTATATTTCTTTCTAATAATGAAACTAACGACTCTCAAAAAGTGCGCCAGTTTTGCCGCAAGGAAATCATGATACCTGAAGAAACCTAGAGCCGGAAGATGATGTAAAAATGTTCAGTTATAGAGGTGGGAGGAAAACCTGGAACGATATTCCATGGAAAACCAACGGAATCAGGCAAGGATTAAAACAAGTCCTATCAACCTCATTGCCAGTCAATATTTGTATAATATTGCCCATGTTGTCAGTCAGTAAAGATGTAATATTTCTCATTATCGTTTCGGTTTTGCGGTAACACCATGTGGTAATAACTACTCCTTAGAAGATATTAGTTCTGAGAAGAACTTGTCCTGCTTATTATCAACTTGCCAAGTAGTTTTTGTTCTGTTTAGAACAAAAGACAAGTTCTTTTAGAACTTACAGCAGGACTGTTCTAAACAGAACAAAAACTACTTAGCAAGTTGATAATAAGCAGGACAAGTTCTTCTCAGAACTAATATCTTCTAAGCAGTAGTTATTACCACATGGTGTTACCGCAAAACCGAAACGATACCGATACCCCACCATGCAAAGCCTCAAATCTTATAATATTTCTCAATCTTTCAAAGTTGTATTTATTTTGTTTTGTCCTTTCTTTGTACCCTTTATATATCCTCTGTATTTATGTTTCTAAAACCATGTTAACTAATTGGTTTGACCTGTCCAAACCTTGCCACAGAGACACACAGGAATCATTGCACTTGTTGATGAGGAGAGCCATTTCCCAAGAGGGACAGATAAATCACTGGCCACCAAGCTTCATAGCGGACTGGGCACTAAGGCTAAGAATATCTACTTTGCTCCTAAAGATGGTGGGCTGACGTTTGGCATTCTGCACTATGCTGGCATCGTAAGTTAAACAGGTTTTTTTTTGACAACCACTCAATGTTTGTCTTCTAGTCAGAGTTGTAGGACCCAAGTCCTCCCAAAGTCAATCACAAGTCAACCTGTCGTTTACTGGAGATGACTTGTGATGATCTTTTAATTGCCTTATGAGGACTTTGGTTAAATATTTTAATCTTAGTGCTGCTACTTGACCTTTAGTTTTTGTTGTTATTCAGGTGAACTATGACCTCTCTGGTTTCCTGGAGAAGAACCGAGACACGCTGGCCAAGTCTGTTCAGTTTACCATGAAAAGTAAGAATCCTGCTAATCATCTCTGCTTACCATCAAATTCTTTATTGATTTAATATCCTTCTCTTCCAATAAAGAACAGCCTAAAATGGAATCCAGATTAGCAGATATTTGTTATATTTCAATTTGGTCTTTTTGTAATCTGACAGCAAGTACCAGTCATGTTACAAATTTCTTTACATTTTCATGTCTATTTCTAAAAAAATTCTTGTGACTTTTGTTTGTTAGCGAGCTACAGTCCTCTGATTCGTGAGATGTTTCAGAGTAAAGTGACGCGGACCGGATCAATTGCTCCCAGTGTCAGGCAGCGAGCAACGAGAAAATCTCGCAAGCAATCTACCAAGAACACCAAGGATGCCTTTGCTTTCTTCCGTCAGCAACGCATGTCAGAAAGAGGAAGCCAGGTATTAAAGTCATCACAACTTCTATTTTCAATCAGCGGCCAATTTAACGATACAAGATTTTGGTAAATGATGGGAATAATTGGAAAATTAATTGATTGGAAATGATTTTTTTGTCAACAGAAGAGGAAGAAAGTTGAAAGACCTGTCACAGGAACGGAAAGGAAAGGAGCTGCCACAGTCTTGTTCCATTTTAAGGTAGTGGTCGTCATTTTGAAGAAAACTTCTCCTTCTTCCACTGTTGTTTCTGTAAATAAAGGAATAATAGATAATTTGAATGAATATTGATGAAATCATTTTAACGAACATTCTGAAACCGGTTGAATAAATATTTTATGAAATGGAATTGTTTAAGGGAGATGTAAATCTCACATTGGGTTTTGCCTTTGCCGACGTATTTTTAAAATAAATTTGGTTTAGAATGATCAAACTGTCAATCTGTGATCGGGTGATATTGTTGATCAAGTGAACAATTGTTTGGTGATTCAGATGGATTTGTGTATTGATTCAAATTGATCAATCAACAGATCCATGATTGTGCACTTGGAGGAATCCTTGTTTTCATTACCAAAAGTAAATAAAAAAATCAATCATTTCATTCATACCTGATATGACAGAATTCCCTAGCGGAGCTGATCAGCAAGATGACCGACGCTTCGCCTCATTTCGTCCGTTGCATCAAACCTAACACTGCCAAGCTGCCTGATAAGTTCACTCCAGAGTATGTTATAGCTCAGCTGCGTTACACCGGCATCATGGAGACGACTAGAATCAGACAGCAGGGCTTCCCCCTACGCCTCATGCCACAGGAATTCATGCAAAGGTGTTTGTCCTCAAATTTAATTTGATTACTTTATTTTGTTTTAAGTTTCTAAGTTTTAAAGATGTTGCATTTGGCAAGTAGGAGCGTCGGTTATTACCAGGAAACAGACCCACCAATTTCAAGAGTAAATCCTTGCTCAAAGTGAAGATCGGACTGGTACAAAATACCCTGTAAAATTATTTCGCCTGAAACAGTATTGTTTAGAGGTAAACCCCACTTGATTTTTTGAGCAATTTTGTTGCTTAAAACGGGGAATAAATAGGCACAAAAAAGGAAATTGATCTTTGGGGAGACACTTCTGTTAGTAGGCCAGAATACATTGGTGCAGTGGCGTTATTCGGACGGGGCAGGTATACTTATTGGTATCTTTAGATACCAATAATATGAAAGTTTACTGAAATTTTGTTAGACGAATCAATGAAAATTTAATCACTTCAAGTGGAACATACGTTTGTCACAACTTTCTTTTTCAGTGTATGTTTAGTGCAAAACAACCTCGTTCGCCAAACATGATAGCCTTTCAGAATCATTTTTGTTTTTCGCTGCCTGTTGTTATTCAGGTACACTGCCCTGGTGGAGTTCTCCACTGACCGTAAACTGAATCAAACAGACCTACAGAGATGTAAGGACACACTCAAGCATCACAACATCGCTGAATGGAAGGTAGGTGGAATAAAGCAACTTACCAATTATTTACATTCAAACTAAAGTCTGTGTGTTTTGCAAAGAGTGACTTTAAAGTCCGAATTTGTATATAAAGAAAAACAATTTTTTTTATGCGTTTTAAAAATGTATTAACTGCAATGCATAAATGGTTGTATGAGGAATAGCCACAGAAAATTCTGTATGCTTGAATCAATGATAGCAGGCCCTTTAGAAGCTTCCGGCTTTCATCCAAATCGGAGGCCCCCCCACCAACTCAGTGCACCCCCACACAATGACCTCATTCTAAACACCCCCTGCAACATTTACATCCCAGGCAAATCCTTTCAAGGTAACACAGCCGTATCGACGACGGCCCCAAAGATTAACAAACACTCAGGAGATGACTAAACACGCTATAACCAGATCCTACTGGACATTGTCTATAAATTAATCCCATGTCACTCTTACCCAATCACTAAGGCATGTATTTAATTGCTTTATCTTTAACACCCCCCCCCCCACCAGACTGACAAAAACCTACACACACCTGATTTCGTCAGTCCAAATCTGAATCAGGATCATCATGGGTGTGTGTGTGCGCACGCCATGAATCATAACTATGCAAGGAAGTCCCAATTTTACTGACTTAATAATAGCCTCCACCTGTGCTCATTCAGACTCACGTAAGGAACTGTTTGTCTTCCGTTCTGTTCTATCTTCAGCTGGGCAAGTCGTTCAAGTTCTTCTTCCGACACTGGCACGCGGAGAAGCTCCAGGAGCTTAGCAGCCCATTGGAGAAGAAGATTGTAACGTGTCAGAAAGGTATGTAGGCCATCGGCATTCTTGCATTGTCAAAGTTGTGAGAGGATGAGTTTTTTTCTGGACGCCTGTTTGAGAGGTCAAAGATGACAAAACAAGACAAGTTTTAGAGGACTTTTGTCATGTGACACTGAATGGAAGAAGTAAGACGCTAGCAGCTTATTTTTTTGATTTGCATTCTAGTCAATCACATAATATAAGATCCTAAATAACAGTAGTCTTTGGAGTTCATCTTGCACAGCAAGGGTCTAAGATATGCTTGCATGATTCGGTGATCAATTATGCAAATCAAGACTGCGTCTTGACCTTGAGATTCTGACCATTCAGGGGGCATCTTCAATCGGGTCTTCAGAACCTGTTGCCAAAGACATCTAATGAAACCTAGACATGACATCTATTATGTTTTTACGTTGTGAATTGTGTTGGCAAAGAATAGGCTGCGTCGCGTGGCTTTGAACGATCATCAATTTTGCTACGTAAATACATGAAAAAATATAAAACCTAGTGCAAATAGGACGCCCACTCTCCAAATGTTAAGCACACCATTGCTGGCGCAGAGCCAATTATGAAAATGAAAATTTGAAAAATATTTTGAAAGGGGATGCAGATAGGGTCAATGACCTGTAGCATATCCTTCTCAAGCATGTAAGGAGTTCTCTTCTCAGCAGGAAATGAGACAATTTTTTGTTGTTTAGTAATTGAGCCATCATTTACTGTGTCATCAATACATGTTACTCGACGCCCTTTTCCTTGTGCAGTGCCCTTTATTATTTATAAAGCCACTGACAGTATTTCTTTTATTACAGCTTTTCTTCAAGTGGTAAAGAAGAGTTTATGTTTTTTACCGAGTAGAAAAACATGCCGACTGACATGTGCTCTTGATTGGTTTTTAAAATTAAAGTTCTTTTTTTTTCTTAGTGAAGTTTTTCCCCCTAACAGTATAATATAAAGTTCATGGATAGGGTTCTTATGTGTTGTATTTGAAATTACATTCTGTGTGTGGGTGATTGTTTTTTTCTTCAGTTGTGCGCGGCTTTCTGAGCCGGCAGGGAATGAAAAGTCTTCTTACGAGATGGAAACGACAGAAGGATTGCGTAGCGGTCTTCTTGAATGAAATACAGCGCAAGGGCGACTTGGTGTTTGAGGTAAGACTTTCTCAGTTTTCCTATTCACTTTTAAATTTTCAAACGAGAATGTTTTCATAAATTTAAGAAGTGAGAATTCTCGCAAACACTGCATTTCTTTCCAAGAGGCAGCAATAAAAGAAAAACTTCATGACTTCATCTACAGTGGCCAGAAATTGGATTGCTTTTATCCTCAGTTGCCAGTGTTTTGTAGAAACAGTGTTGTTAAAAATCTGGATTTTCTTTAAAAAAAATTTTTTGGATTTTTTAAAATTTATATCAGATTTGTTTTTATTTAAATAGATTTTAAAATTGTTTATAATTGTATCTCAAGTCATGATTTGAATGTTTGATTTAAATCAAGTTATTTAAATCAAACAACCCCTGTGTACAAAAGATTGAAGTTGCACTGCAACTGGGATAGAAATATGCAAAGGGTTTACTACCATGGCTCTGAGCTCCGGGTGGGGGGGGGGGGGGGGGTAAGGATCGGGTAGAATGACCCATAAGGCCAAAAAAAAAAATAATCGGTCTCTGGTCAGACCAAAGATCTGGAATTGACGCGGCCACGCGGCTTTTTTTTTTTTTTTTTTGCTTTTTTTTTTTTCTTCAAGCTTGGACTGTACAGACAAGGTGGGGTACTATTTTGCTTTTTTGGTGTCCTCATGTACATTGGTGTCCTCCATAATTTGCCTTGGTGCTTTCGATCATTTGCCTTGGTGCAATTTCCCATTCCTTGGTGCTCTTTGGTAAAAAAAAATTGAGGAGGTGCGGAAATAGAGGGCGCTGTTGGAGCTACCGCGGATTAAAATCGACGCGCGCGCTGACTAGAGACCGACTCATTTTTTTTTTATGATATGGGTCCATTTTCAACCTGTCCATTTTAATTTCAATAATTACCAGAATAAATACTAATTCTTTCATTCTTGGATTTCTTGTGTTCTAAAAGATATTGTAACTTAAGTTTGAATGTTTCTATGTGTAATAACAATTTCCAATCATATTCAAAGCTTTTAGAAAGGTTCATAAACAGTGAAGGAATATTTCTATGAAACATTTTTACTATGGAATATTTTTACAAAAGGGTAACACTACAGTCCCTAAACAAGAATTTTGAGATCGTTTTTTTTTTCAACTTTTACTATACCACGAAAAAAAAACCCCTAAAAAACAACTAATAGTATTAACCACTATCTGTGGAAATTGTCATATTGGTAAATTTTATTCACTATAATCAGTATAAGTGTGACTTTATCAAGGGTGCATGCTACCGGTAATTGTTGCCTTATAAAATTAGTCATTTTTAGTTTTGCACTCTGAAGAAAACAAAGTAGGAAATGATGTTTCCATGATGGTCAAGTACATGTACATTCAGTCAGAGTAAATGTCTTTGAGGAAATTTGGATTTAATGATTGCCGACTGTTGAACTGTTATATTATGTTGAACTTTTCCCTGATAAGCTGTAACTAACGTACATCATATTATACAATATAAATGTACTGCAGTTTACAATTTAGCTATGCTTGTATATGGATGAGGAATCAGTCCTTCTGATTTGAGGCGTGTGATCACACCCCCACACCATCGCACACCTTAAAGCTTCCCAAGAAGTGTGAATAATTGCACGCCTGAATTTCCCTGGACCACAAATCACACACCTAGAAAACCACACACCTAGAAAAAACACACACCTAAAAAAATCCAGGTGTGCCTTTTTCCACACACCTGTGATTTTCAAATAAGGACTGAGGAATATAAATATTTTAAATCCCTTCAATTTTTTATTTCAGAAAAATAATAGTACACTGCACTTGCAAAGTAAAACTCGAATAAGGGGTACATTCAATCTGCTTCTCTCTGCATAGCCTTATAAGGAGATTCTTCAGCCACAGAAAAACCCTCCCAGCAATCATGACTAGCTTTTAAATTGCTTGACGTTCTTCTGTTTGTTGAAAACATCCTCCCCGTGTACAGATTGTATACACATTCTCTGTTCTTCACAATTCCTAATAAGGAATGTTGCGCATCGCTAAATTGCTGCCCATGAAAATCATCTTGAAGTGTAATATAGGCATCCCTTTAAAAAGCACTGAGACATATCCACAAGTTGATGGCTTTCCAATCTGAACTGTTACCATGACAACACCTCTTACCCTCAAATGACCTCACCGCATGTTAACCAAAGACATGAGCAATAAGCAATTATTCATGCGAATTGGTGTGGTTCAATGGTCCCCTGGCTCATTCGTACATACAATATAATGGATATCAATTTCATGCTGTGTCGTCACAAGTCATTGCTTGGTTTATCAGGAATATGAGGCAGGATTCCTCAGTGTGTGTCGTTGGTTCACTGAACTGGCCTTGGTTCGACTTCCAGGATGATTTCCTGGGATTAGTAGACTTGCCAAGTCTGTTGAGCAACTCAGGGAAATACATGTACAATGTACGTACATTATTTCTTCATTGTGACTTCAGTAACAAGATGATAATAAAAATATTGAATCAAATTTTGTTGGCCATTAAAGTATCAACTGAATTTACTGAAGAGCACTCAACAGTCGTCAATCAGGAAAAAAAGTTCTTGATCTAAAGTCCTATCACCCACATATATTTTGTGATGGTTGGTTGAAATAAACCAAAACATAAAAATAAATTATGAATTAATTAAATAAAAAAAAAACCAATCTGTCCAACACCCTTGATAACATTACCAGTTTCAGGAATTACAACCAAGCACTGAGAGATGTACAGTTTATCAGAGTCTGTGTAGCACCAGCACAAGTCTACTTTCCCTAAGTACAGGATATAACCTTGATTAAATATATAGCCATACCACAGTAGCTGATCATTGTCCAATTAGAACTTGATCAGTACAGCTCAACAAAAGAACACAGAATACTGCATTTGTTTTTCGTCCAAGTTTACTAGAGCGTGGGAATGATTAATGTTCCCCGCGGAGGGCCTCTGCACTGGAAACTGATATCTCAGGCATCACTCAGCCAGTAACAAATGTGGAGCGGACATATCATTAGAATTGATGAGCAGCTGCTGAAAGCTGGATACAGTTTCTCTCTCAGTAATGAAAGGCGGATCGTTGTCCCCTGGTTGGTTTACCCAGTTTGTGTTACATCAGGATTTCCGTCATCAGAGTGGCCATCAATCCAGATGACCTGGACCCAGAGTTGACCGATATTTGATGCAGCTTAGGACACCCATCTTGGAAGTCTGGAGTATTGGACTTGCGCGGTCTTAAATCTTCACGCACTGTGAATGAGATAATTTATTGAGTGCATTGCTGAAATAACTTTCTTTTTCGGGTTTGCGGAATGAACTCATAAATCAACTGTGTTTGTATGTTCCCCTGTCCAGGCCAATTTCATCCCTCCACTCTTCAAATATCAGGCAAATTCTTTTGTCTACAATCAGCAAAGAAAGATTCCTTTTTCTTTTGTGATTTACACTTAAAAACCATCAGCCATAAGGTACAATTTTGCTAAAAGGAATCTGCTTCGCTGTCGCTGATGATAAGTGACAGTTGGAGTACTCCAGGGTTATCAAGGGACATTGGAAATTACTCCCGCAGTCATTGCCATTTTTTATGCGGATTTTCCCCAAGGCTTTTGGACAGTTCTTCTGACTGTGTGTTTCTGAAGGACATCTAGACTGCGTGTCTACAGGCAGTGTATAAAATCTGCAAAAGTGGATATTTTTGTCACTCTGTCTTTGTCATCAGGAAGAGCTGAGCTTGTTCAGATATTTCCTCCAGATGTGGCATTGATCGCTTCCAAATACAACTTTTGTTTGTGCCTTTGAAACACAGTGTGCCATTTCAACTGCGACACATTAAGCTGTCATCTGCTTGCCTCAACCGTTGTTTCACATCGTAGACATTTTTTTTAAGGGGACTTTCACAGACAGTCGTCAGTGAACCGCACGGACAATTACGATCTGCAGGCCAAACAAAGAATACGTTGACCTTGAGGAATCCTTTGTTGATGTCAGCACATTGACATTGCGTTTATCTATTGAGGAAACCCACAGAGTTGAACAGCTCACACGACCGCCTCACAGCTTGACTTCATTTAACGCTTCGCTGCTCGAGCGTATCATTATAAGCAAAGCCAACCCTTGTGCGATATCATCCAGCCAGACGTGTGGATCTTTCTATACACATTTTTTTATTTTGGTAATTTGACTCATGATGGAGACTGATGTTTGTGACTCGCCTTGTACCGCTCAGGTTCAGGAGACGTGTAATAATCACGACGAGGCCCGAGGGCTGGAGAAGGAGCTGTTGGATGCGGCAGCGACGGGCGTGAATGGAGAGGACGGGGGACAAAGAGACGGGGAGAATGGCGACATCCAGTCAGACATAGAAAGGTAAGATTCTCTTCTACCATATGTGATGTGCTGTTGGCAAAACCAGGCAGTTCACAGAATCCATAAAATGCCATTCATCTAATGCAAAATAATTCAGTTTAGAACTCGGTACAGTATGTAAATGTAAAATTTTGCTCAAATTATATGAAATTATTTCTGAAAAACACACTTGGCTCAGATTTTAACTTTGGAAATATCATGTATTCCAGGTTTAAAAACTTCCAGACTAATTTGTTCATTAAATGAATTTCCCCCAGTAATTTACTAATTAAAACATTTCAATTATTTGACAATTCAAACAAATTTTGAAAACACTGACGTTTTGCCCAAATTTTTCTATAAGAAACTTCCACATGTATTACAAGGAGGATGAAAATAACATCTAAAAAAGGCACCATGAATTCTGTTATATTTTTAGTCATTTCTGTAAATGTTAATTCCCAACCTGCTCAACCTTATATGTCCTTATGAAATTGGACAGATGGCACGTTGGAATGTTTTACATTTTTGTTCAGACGCAACAAGCGTCAGTTTCACATAATTGCCTTTGTTCAAAACATGAACGCCATATATGGTGAACATTTTGTACAAATCCAAAACACCCTCGCTCCCCTCCCCCCCAAAAAATGTAATGCTTGGCTACTTTTTTATTCATGATAAAAGCCTACATGGGTTACAATTAGAAATTGGTATAATACTCTTGTGTTGAAAAAAAAAAAAACAAGCTAAATATTAAGAAGGCAAACACACAGTGTACTTTTTTAAGCCAGCAATCAGTTGATTGATAGTCAAGGAAATTCAATTTTTTGGTTCGGAATCTCAGACTAGTGCACAAATCCTCATGAAATGTCACACCATATAATGACCTAAATGAGCTCAATATACGTGCAATGTATCACATATGAAGCTGGTTTCCTGTGAAATTATGTGCAATGGATCACACGGTAGCGTGTATCCTTGCCTTCAAAATGTCGTCCACGTTGGCCTCTGTGCTCACATCCTGACAGGATCTGCCTGCAGCCCGAGGGTTCCTGCCTGACAGGAAGTTGGGGTCGGGTTATAGGTCATAGGTCATATTACCAGTATCTGGCTTGTTAAAATATTCATTGTTTAGATTTCCTGTTCCACAATTCTGTGCTGAATTTCCTTGAAAAAGTGTGTCTACTCTTTGACATGAGATCCAATGTCAAGCTTTCAACCTCGGCCAATATCCGCTAAGTACAGAATATATCTCAGCGGGAGTGTGGCCTAGTGGTTAGGGTTTGTGACTCATGATCAGAGGGTCAGGGGTTCCAATCCAGCTGCTGGTCATATGTTGTGTCCTTGGGCAAGCCACTTCACCCCCACTTGCCTCTTTCCACACAGGAGAACTATAAATGGGTACCGGCATTAGCTGGGGAGTAACCTGCAATGGACTGGCATCCCATCCAAGGGGAATAGAAATATCCTCAGTCATTTCATGCTACTAAAACCTAAGATAAATGCTGGTCTGATGGGCCACATTGGCTCCTGACAGACTTTACTTACTACTGAGGATATCTAAACACAGAATTGTGTTTGCTGAGAAAAAATGGATTAAAAGCAAAAATGTTCAACAAGGTTTCTTCTTGTAGCTTGCTGGGAGTGGCTCCCTTAATACTAAACAAGCAAACTGACTGAATTTATTTACTGTAAAGAAGCTGTATGGAATTTGGCCCTGATCTTTTTTTGTCATAAAAAATACCACAGTCATTGTCAACACTAACGAAACATTGTTTTTAAATTTGTAATTTTAGACAAAGTCAAATGTTACTCAGATATTATTAAGTTAAAGGCAGATTCATTTTTTTACAAGATTTGTTTTCTGTTTTTGGCATTGTTTACAGAAATTGTCAGACACTCTCAGTTGAGTCTGACTATGCTGAGATGACCGGGGGCATTAGAACCTCTAGCTCCTTCCAAGACACTTCTTATGAGTCCATGATATTGGATGATGATGCCTATGACGACCAGAGCATTTACGTCAAAGATGATCTAGACCGTCGCCCCTCTGTCCTGCCTTACCAGTTGACGACTGAACAGATTAAGATCAATAAATCTAAGTATACTTCTCAACCTTTTGACACTGGTGCTGAGGAGGCAAAAAAGCCAGACTCGAGTGAGGTGTTTGACGACCCTATTTATTCCACGAAGATCGCCATCACGGTAGATTTGGACATCGGTGGTCAAGGCTCGGGGCCTCCACAAGAACCACCACCACGGTCTAGCTCGCTAAGCGGTATGGATGGATTGATTGGTCAACCAGGTGTTATGGCTCCTCCCCCTCCTGCCCCTCCCAATGGTCATGTGACCTCCAGAGAACCACATTCTGAGGACCATCTACCGCCACCACCATCCCCTCCACCTATTGCCGATTTGGAGGATGCCAATATTCCAAGTGACTTGCCGCCTCCCCCACCAATGGCAGACGTCAGTGGTGAAACCAAACAGAAGATCTCCAACATCCGAGCCATGTTTCTCCAGGAGGAGAAGAACACGGATGTCCCAGCTGAACAGAAGAGATGGAGTAACCCGCCAAGGTTTGAGGAGGGAGAAGGTGGGAGTCCAAACAAAGCACGCATCGCTGCCTTCAAAGCCAAGCTGGAGTCCACTGAGAAGGAACAATCTGTTCAGTCAGTCCCAGAGAAACGATGGAGTAGACCGCTGTCAGACATCCAGGCCCAGTTCTCACCGTCTCCCGAGCCAACGAAGGAGAACATTGCTTCAAGTTCAGGCGGGGTCAAGAAGCGACCCCCAGCCCCTACTCGAGATCCAAACACACGTCTGACGATGGGCACTGAACAAATGGTGGCATTCCACGAACAGAAACAACGTTGCGTGTCCAGCTCGGATGCACCAACGAGTCAATTTGTCTTCCCTTCAGGTGACTCCAGACAAATTTCAGATTCTTACGGGATGAGCATTCCCCCTCCACCAGCTATGCCTGCCCCTCAACCACCTCAACAACTGAACTATGGCAACGACTACCCAAGCCATGGTAGTCATACTGAACCTCGCTATGGTAACGTCAACCAGCCAATCTATGGTAACGTGGACCAACCAGGCTACAGTACCAACCAACCAATTTACGGAAACGTCAACCAGCCAGGATTTGATTATGACCCGTCACCGTTTGCCGACTTCTATCAGAACATTCCACCCCCTCCGACAGAGGCCCCGCCCCCTCCACCACCAAACTCCAACAATGTCTTCACTCAGATTCCTGGAGCCATAAGATCGTCCAAGGTGCCTGTTCCACCTCCTGCATCGGCACCCCCACCTCCTCCTGGCCCGGCACCCCCACCACCCCCAGGGTTACCCCAGGCCCCTATGGCACCCCCTCCCCCGCCACCACCTGCGGCACCAGTAGGGGGTCTATTGGATGGCATCAAGAATATGAAGTTGTCATCAGTGCCAGCTAACAATGGTGAGTATTGCTGTTAATTATCACAAAAGTGTGACGACCTGTCACATTTCTTGTATAAAAATACAGATTTGTGTTGCCCTTCTAGGAGACCTGCCATCAATGTCTTCACTTAAAAGCCCTAACTAATTTCTCCTTGAATGACAACATTCTTGCCCTCATTATTAAAATGATACCTTTTGTCATGGCCACTGGCAATTTCTTTTTACAAATGTTGAAATGTTATGCTCAGTTAAGTATTGAAGACCATAAAGATCAGCATGCTAAATTTGTATGCAGTTTTTTTTTCAGGCAGCACTACTTAGAACATAAGAGCCTATCAAAATATCCTCTGTCAGACAGAAAATAGAGTCGGCTTCATAAAATGAAAAAAAGTTTTGCTGAAAGTCAAACTTGTCATTTTCTGGTATTTTCCCCACCTATTTTAGGTGCGGAGAGACAACGTAAGAAGTCGGAGGCGCCCATGGATAACTTGATGGCTGAGCTGTCTCAGGGAACCCACAGGCTACGACCAACGCCTAAACCCATCAAGGGTCCAACTACTGAGGGACAAGGTAAGGGGAGGGAGAGGGGTCCAGCTGGAGTCTTGGTTCAAAACTAGAAGAAACTTGTGTGGCATCCCGGCAAAATGAGACAGAACTGGGCAGAGGTTGAAATAAGGGTTTGCAGATATTAGGGAAGAGAACAAAATTCTCCTTACTGTACTGTTTGTTGCACTTCAATCGGACATTCAGTTGACAAGTTATGGCTGTTTAGAAATTGCACTTATCGACGTGTCAAAAAGTAAAAAAAACTGAGAAAAAGGAATTTCTGGGGTCCAAGTGCCGAGATTCCTAAGACTGTAGAAACTCTGGTTCCTGTTAAACTGGTTCCTGGATAGACCATTGCAAGCAAGTGATCATTGTACATTTATATGGGGAGATTCATGCTTTTTGAAACTATAGACTATAATCGGTAAAGAGCTTGGATTAGTGTATACCATTTATATGTCTCACCCTCAACCTCGACCTTGATCTGCAGTCACAGATTCTGACGAGCCAGCCAAGATAGTCAATAAGCGTCAACCTCCCCCTGTCAGTCCCAAAGCCCCACCCAGCCCCGCCCCCAAGACCGCTCCCAAGAGCCCGGCCCATGTTCCACAGTCGCCAGGGAAGGCTATCCCGTCCGTAGCACCCAAACCGAAGAAGTCAGCTGGAACAACGCCCCCTAGAGAAGAGTTTATCCAACCACCGCCGCCGCCGACAGGACATCAAGGTGTCAAGAAGGCAGCTGTGGCGCCCCCACCTAGTCAAGCTCCCCCAGCCGGAGCCAATGGCGTTGATCCTGAGGAGGAACTTCCTCCATGGAAGAAAGCAATGAGGGATAAGAAATTAAAAGAGCAACAGGTGAGATATGTTAAGAGTTAATTGAAGTTACCTTCATTGTTTCTTAGTAAAATAGTTGCAGTTTCCATGACGCTTCTTACACCATTCTTTCAAAAATGTTATTTAAAATGTAAGGCTAACCCCTTGCATTTTTTTCAATTTTGGCCAAAAAATGAAATTGCTGGAAACTTGCTGGAAAGATGCCTAAAGGGCCCTGGAACACATTCCAACTCGACTCCTGGACAGATATACTATTTTGGGAAAAAATTTGCAGTAAAATCACTAAAAAAAAAAGTTATTAAAATGTAAGGCTAACCCCTTGTGTTTTTTTCTTCAATTTTTTGCCAAAAAATGAAATTGCTGGAAAGTTGCTGGAAAGATGTCTAAAGGGCCCTGGAACACATTCCAACTCGACTCCTGGACAGATATACTATTTTGGGCAAACATTTGCAGTAAAATCACTAAAAAAAAAAGTTATTAAAATGTAAGGCTATTTAATAGCCTTACATTTTAATAACACAAGGGGTTAAACCCCTTGTGTTTTTTTTTCTTCTAATTTTTTGCCAAAAAATGAAATTGCTGGAAAGTTGCTGGAAAGATGTCTAAAGGGCCCTGGAACACATTCCAACTCGACTTCTGGACAGATATACTATTTAAAATTAAATTTCGGGCTAAATTTGCGGTACAATCAGTTGAAAAAAAAAAAAAACCCAAAACACAATTTCAACGCATCTCATCTGTTTGTGTTGTTTATGAAATCCCCCAGGAAAAGGAACAGCAAGAATCCGCTAAGAAGCAAGAGGAACAAGCAAAATGGAAGGACGTCCCAGAGTGGAAGAGGAAGATGATCATTGAGAAAGAGAAGAAGAAAGCAGAGGAGGCAGCCGCTGCCGTGGATCATGAGAAGGAAGAACGAGAGGCCAAGCTGAAGTCAATGCCCACGTGGAAACGGAACCTCGTCAAGAAGAAGACAGAAGGAGAAGTAGATAACAACAATGGTATCTAGTAGGCCCAAGTACGAATGTAGTCCCATTTGAGAATTGACACCTGTTTGAGAAGACGGAGAGAGAGAGGAAGATACTAAATGTGTGTAGTAGGTGATGGGTGCAATCAGACCAAGTAGGAATTCAGTCCCATTTGGGAATAGGCAGCCTGGTCTGGAATGAATCATCGAAGAGAAAGTAAAGGTAACAAAACATGCAATCATGGAAGAGTGAAAACAGAGAAGACGATTGTTCCATTTATGGAATAAAAGCTACGAAAAGATAATACAAAAATACGTTCAATGATACTTTCACTTTTTAAGTTCTTTCAGTTTACAGTTATGACAGCTTTAACTTGTGCAGCATTTACATGAAAATGACACTGTTTTTGGTCCTTCATTTATGTCTTTCCCCTAAAGTTATACATGTATGTTATTTAACAATAAATGATTACAAACATATTAACGAAATTATCTTTTATATATATCGGGGTTTTTTCCCAGCCGCTTTTGTGTGTATAATTTGTATTAATGAGCTGTTCCATGGCCAACAATAACTGGTGCTTAGCAAGTATTAATCTGAAATTGAAATCAAAGCGAGTGGAAATCACATACATGAAACGTTTGTATGATTTCGACCTTCCAGTTACCCACTCAATATTCCAAATGCTAAATTCCAGACAAGAGGGTGAAATTAAACCACGAATGTGTACAGATAAAATACCTACTAGTAAAAATAAATTCCTAGCTGTGGCATGCACTTTACATGTTCGAATGATGCGCTTACAGTGCAAAATTTGTTTGTACAAACAAGGAATTTTGGGGGGTAAATGTCTGACAACTGACTGTAATTTCACCGTGTGTTACATTCCATATTTCCTCCCCATTTGCTTCTTTAATTGAAGCTTCTCATCCATGTACATATTAATTCCATTTACATATTAATTCCATGTACAAGTAGGCTGGCCCTACTGTAACACATTTCAGCATGCACTTCCATGTAAATGTACATTATACTATGCAGATTTTCACTACAAATTAAAAAAAAAAATTGAACATTACCACAAAATCCATTTTGATAGGTTTTGTACAGTATTATGTTTTTCTCCCTCTCGCTGTTTTTTGTGTGAGGTTTGCAACAACAACAAAATGTACAATACTGTTATTATCCTTTACTTGTATTCTAGATTTGAAACTGCTTTTTTTGACTATACGTGTATGCTTGTTTAATCATGCAGTTTCTAAGCATTATTGTGGTCTGAGTTTTTACCAAGATTTGAAATTGATTATAGTATGTTAATTTTTGAATGCGTAAAATCGGGCTCGCAAATTATGCAAATTATGCAAATACTTATGCAAATGAATTACTAGTACATTGTGAACAGAGGGAAGTATTTTGCAAAGGTTGTAAGCTGTAAAAAAATTGTGTTGCTTATAAAATGTATAAGCAACACAAATGCATTGTATTAATAATACACTGCCTTTTTTTTTCTCAGCCGCAATTTGGTTGTGCATGTTATTACTTGTAATTATAAGTCACCTAAAAATAAAATATACTTTCCATTCCCATTTTTTTGTAAAGATTAATTAAAAAACTTTTTAACAAACGATGGTGACCATTCCTAATGAATTAGTCTAGATAATAACTTATGTACGTGAACTAAGACATAGGTACATGTGTAAATATATACGCACGTTACAAATTCTGATATTTCTGTAATTACATGTCAAGGACAAAATTTACAGACGAAACTGAAACTAATTATGTGCAAAGGTATAAAAATAATCATGGCAGTGTTCATTGTAGAGTGTGAAATAATGTACATTGATACTGATCATGCACATATATACATGTATAATTGAAAAGGTGTTGTGTACACAGATAAATTATTTTTCAGAGGTTTCCGACTTTATGCCGAAAAAAAGGTGGTAGATTGAATACTGAGATTTTAATTTTGAAGTAAATAATATTAAAATGGAATAGGTTTCTGCACAGATTGAGGAAGTGTTTTACATGCTATGGATAATTAATTAATTTACTACTTTGGAAATGTCTCCTTTTGTTTTAATTTCTTTGATTATTAACACATTAAGCGGGCTGGTCCCTCTTTCACATTGTAGTATGTACCCAATTTATTTTTGTAAGCTTCATCATGAATTTGTTTAATTTCCTGGTAATTTTTCCTGATTTTTTATTTGTTTTTGGTGGACAAAAATTATGACCACAAAATACTTGTGCCCGATGTAATTATGAAAGTGAAATACTTAAATTAACGAGACTATCAAAAACTCGGTATACATTTCTTGCATTAGGAGATATTTTCATGTGCTGTATTGAATGATCCCACATTTATATTAAAACATTTCGGGGGAAAATGCAATTTTGAGTCTGGAGTCTAGAAGTTTTTTGTTTCAAGAGTTGAAAATCATTGGCCAAATTCGTGCAGCTTTTTAAGCTTGAAATATTGCTTAGAAATGTTACGTGCTTAGCAAAAACAACCGCGAAATACCAGTCAATGGCAAGATACATTTCATGACATTTGTGAGGCTTTCTTGCAAAATGAGATGGAACTGGGCAGAGGTCGAACTGAGGGTTTGTGGATGTAAGGAAATAGAAAAACAAATTCCATACAATACTTTTTGTTTCACTTCAATCGGACATTGCGTTGACAAGGAATGGTTGTTTAAAGTTTGCATTTATGGACATGTCAAAATAGTAAAATACTGAGAAAAAGGCCTTTGAAGTTTCGAGTTTTGTATTCGTGAAAATTAAAAGTGCCAATTGTTCCATACAAACACCATCATTTTCGTGATTTTTGTATTATTTCTGTAAAATATGTGTAGTAGACATATCACAGATTACAAATAGTAGTAAAGCTGAAAAATCTAAAAAAAAAAAAAATCCCCCACCTTTTTTTTTGCTTCATTTTTTCTGTTTCATTTTGCCAGAATGCCTCATATTTTCCCTGGTAACCTGTTTTTTTCTTAGCGAATCCTTTTTCATGCTTAGCATAATTCTGAGGCTCCATGAAATTAGTCTAAGATCCTCAGAAACCAAGGTAAATATTCTTTTGCCTTTTTTCAGTTTAAGATTATCTCTGTTGAACTGTGTCTGATGCAGATGGCCGCTTACCTGTGTTTTGTGGAACAGCAGGATAGCAGGTTATGTCTTCATGGCTTTGAAGGCTTGCGGCAGGGCAGGTGAACAAGCCAACTCCAAGGTTTCCTTATCTGCTCGCACCTGAAAATAAACAATTTAGAAAAAAAAAATTAATTGGTATGGAAAATGGCCCTCCAAAAAACTGTTACAATAAGCGCATGAGTGTTGTCATTGAATCCTCTGAGTTTTGGCAAAAGGTCCTTATTTACAAACTTTTGTTTTAATTTTCAATTCAGCAGCCAAAAAAAAAAAAAAAAAAATTTGCAAAATCTATAGAAATTCCTAGGAAACAAATATTGAACAAAATTAATTTATTGTCCAGGAGATACCTGAGCTTCAATTTTTTTGGTTAAAATCTGAGCAAAGAGTCTGACACTAAGTGATAATGAGTTGTATGGAAAAGAAAGAGAGTACCAAATATTGAGGACTAACTTACCATGTATCTGGAGACTTTCCTGTGAGTTTTCTTGATGAGTTTCAGAAGTCGTCTGTAGCTGCTCTGATGGATTTGCAGCTTGGTCTGGAAGGCTGTCAGGCATAACCTGAAAAGAAAAACAACACCAACAGAAATTGTAAACAAAGTAATTAAATGCGAAACATTTTTTTTATTTTTAGGCATTTTTTTAAAACCATGTTTTCATCAAGGCTTCAGTTTCATCGCTGACGTCTTCATAATTAAGAAGCTTTTCAGGTCTGAGGCAAATTGAATGTGAAATAAATCTTGACAGCAACTCATTATGTGACAAGTACCCAAAGCTGTACTGCTGTGACTCTTACAGAACTAAGCATCACTTTCTTCTACAAACAGCCGACCTATTTCTTTGGGAGAGGGTTGAATTTTAACGAGTTCACTTAATGAGAACGGGGAACCTTACCATTTTGTTTCTGACTTCTTGAGAGGACATCCAACTCTGTGCATCTTGTCAATCAGCCTGAAGATGACACCTGGAAGAAAAGAGATCAAAATATGATCAATTGAATAACCCATACCAACCATTTACCATATCTGTCCATCTTTTGTAATATTAAGTGCCTTCTTTGCACATGTAACAACTTGAAATTTATTGCATGGATAATTTTTTTTGTCTTTTCTCTTTTGAGTTATGGCAGAGGAAACAAAACTGTCAAACGATGACAAAAGATAGCATAAACAAAACTGATGGAGAATTATCAACTAACCCAGTAGTTCCCTTGAGACATTTTTGCTTGTCTTGAAGTGATGCGGCAGTGCTCTGAGCAGACTATGGAATCTGAATGCACACATCAGCAGCATCTCGTAACAGTTTCTCCGGACGGTAAGAAAGGAATTGATCTGAATGAAAAAAACAAACAAATTTTTAAAAGGCTTCTTGCACAACAATTTTCAAAAATCAATTTTAAATGAGTAAAAAAAAGTAAAGTCAAACCAAATATGGAAGTAGAGGTCACAAAACACAAAGTATTAATAGTAATTTTTTTGAGAAAAAAATAGTCACATGAAGCACCTTTTCCACTGAAAGTCAGTGAAGCTTTTTATATGAAATTTAAGTAAAGTATTGGTCATGCATTTTATTAGCCTTTCATGTTTCTTTTTAATGGCATAAGTGTGAAGTGAAAAATGAGGAATCCACAGATCCGAGGAAAAGTTGCATGCCTGATGAAAGTGAAGTTGAATTTGGATCAGAGTCCAAGACCAAAAATAATTCACTGCAAATGCAAAGCACGCCCTCTATAGTTTGAAAAACTCACCTGTGGATCCAGAAAGAAACCTGCACACTTGGCCTGCATAGCTCTAAAGTAAAAAAAAATAAATAATAATAATAAATAAATGACACAAAGCAACCTCATCGCAAAGGAACCACAACATTTGACCAAAAAAGTAATATCAGAAGGTTTTGTTAATTTTAATCTACATGTAGTGAAAAAAACCAACACTTTTAATGGCCTGTAATTGTATGGACTCCCAACAGTACCTATAAGTACACTGCTGTAAATTTTGTGATAATACAGGAAGTTTTGTGTACAAAGTAAATTTCATACAAACAGCATATAATTAAAAACTGATGGCACAGATAGTGAACATGTGAGGCTTTCTGTCAAAATGAGACAGAACTGGGTAGAGATTAAAATGAGGGTTTGCAGGTATTAGGAAAGAGAATAAAATCCTTCTTATAATACTGATTGTTGCACTTCAATCGGACATTCCGTTGACAAGTTATGGCTGTTTAAAGTTTGCATTTAGGTTGACATGTCAAAAGTAAAATACTGAGAAAAAGGCGTGTAAAGTTTTGAGATTTGTATGAATGAAAGATGCCACTTTTCTCTCCGATTTTTGTTTTTGTTTTTCTTACTATTACTTCAAAATATGTGAAGTAGACATATGGAAGATTACAAATATCAATAAATCTGGAAACGAAGGGAAACAAATCGCCCAATTCATGTTTTTAAATTTATTTCTCCACTAAGGCCCGTGCCCAGTTCCGTCTCATTTTGCCAGAACGCCTCACAAATGTGAATGAACCTACTGGATCAGCTTGGTTTTGACTTTACTTATGACATCCCCTGAACTATCCAAGGACATGGTGTACCGTATGCCTGCAGAGAAAAGAAAAGAGAATCAAGCTGAATGACTTTGGCTACGGCTACAGTAACACACATGTCTTTGAGGAGTGAACTCAGCCACATCCATTGGGGCATGTGGTATGGTAAGCCGTAACCATGTCATTCAAATAAAGCCATGCTTTGTAATTAAAACCCTGGGTATATGACTACTTGATAACTTCCAACTGAGAAAGAAATATAAGAATTGCAAAAAGTTAATAAGAAAGCTATGCACACAACTTAGACAAAGAGAAACAATAATAGACAGACTGACCAACAGGCTAGTAACTTACTGACATCTTTGTAGCGAGTAAAGTCGTTACAGACTTCCAGATTTTCTGTATTGAACAGAAGTCCACACCATGGGAACAGTTCTGTAAAAAAAAACACCAAGTTGAACCACTCTCACCAAATAATGAAACCCAAGGGGATAACGAGGGACACAGTCTTGCTAAAGCAAAACATTTTTAATAAAAAACACTTTGAGGGCCCATTTTTAAAACATTTTGTTACCTGACTGGCCAATGCTCTGGATCTGTTGGCCGTCGAACACAAAGGGGAAATTCGTCAACGTCTTGGTCCGGTTGGTCTGGCAGCCGTACTTTGGCAAACCTGAATAAAAGAACAAAGCAACAAAAATCAATTTTTTGTACCAAAACAAACATCACGTTTATTGTCACGTTTACATACCAAACTGTATTTCAATTACAATAATCAAATAAACCACTAAGGTACACATGAATACAGTCACTATTAATCAATACAAAAAAACAAAGAAATTCAGTGCAGTCAATTGATTTAAACAATTCTAAACTACAAAAGATGTTTTGTTACATTATACCATTCAGTAAGACGGTGAGGAAACCTTTTGCTTTCTCAAGATTTGGCGTCACTAGCAAGAAGTCATCAATCAGTCGCAACATCAACTGTGTAGAAAAAAAAACAGGAAACAATTTGACATTTGTGACATCTTAAGTAGTCTGAGCTTCAATGTTCCAGCAAAGGCAGCAAAATTGGGGGACCTTTTTTTGGGGGGGGGGGGGGGGGTGTCTGGAGGGGGATCTGAGGTGTCAATTTCAACACATAAAGAGAACAAAGACTGGCAACATTTTCTGACATTATTTTAAGAAATGATATTTGGAATCTTTCCAGTGATAATTAACATGGTCAGACAGAAGGATCGAGTCTGGAGGGAGGGGGGGGGGTGTCAGCCCTTGCACACGCACCTCATCTTGTCCAATTGGAGGCAGGCATTCGGTTTCCATGGCAGCATAGAAGTAGTTGCAGAGCAGAGATGAAACGATAGACCCCTGAGGAATTCCCTTCTTCCTCAAGTAATGACGACCACCAAACTGGATACATAGAGAGGAAAAAATATAAAATGCCCCAACGACTATTTATATAAATTCTGTTTATTTATCAATTATTTAGGATTTAGGGGCTAAACATTATAGACTTGGTACTTTTATTTTGGTAAGTAAATTTATTTTGAGCTTCAAAAAAGTACAGTTATAAATGATTCATTTAAAGCGAAAGCTAAGGTATCACATTTGGAAAAAATCCAAAATTGCCCATTAAAATGAATTTCAATTTTATTTGGCCATCTTCAACAGAGATATAAAAATTGATACACATTTTGGATTATGCATAGAAACAAAACAAAACATGTTTGTAGATTTGTCAAGTCATACTTTTAAGTTTCCTGTATACAATTCAGAAGCTGTCATTTCCTTGTTTATGCTCCTTTTTATATCGAGGCTTTCCCAAACAGAATATAAGACAAACATCAGGCACTCAACATCACACTAAGTGGCACTGCCAAGTTCCTGTAACCTACTGGAAGCGGACGTGTGGCAAACCGCAGATAGCTGTGGAGGAATGTTCACACCAGCATTTCCTGTTGGTAAGTGAGACACTGTGATTGCACAAGCTTCCTCCAACCTGGAACATAAGAGCTCTAGTCTCTCCTTTACCTTGTGCATGAGTACTGTTGAGGAGTTAGGTGCTATCAACGGAGAAACCTGTTGCTTATTGCGTGGGGAAGCAACATCTTGACGGTGCATCAGACAATCAACTCTTGGTTGCAGATAGTTCAAAGGTAACTTTGCTTTGGTGTAAATTTCAATTGAATGCAAATTTCAAGATAATTGGGCTATACCTCTTTTTAGTGTTGCTAGCATCATGTTACATGTGTGACAGTGAATGTATCCTGCAGTAGTACATGCATTATGTTCTTTTTCATTTAAAGTTACATGTATGTGTTTCACAATGTACTAGGAGGATAAGAAAGTGGAATTGGGCTAAGTTGGCAAACGGCGAGACAGCCTGGCCTAGCTTGTAGAATTCCTTTGTAATAATATTTTCACTTCACTCCATTTTGGTCTGTTTTGTTGTTTTGTTTTAGGAAGGCTTGCAAAAAAAAAATTTGGACTGCAAAATGGACAGTGACGGAATCGGTAAGGAGCCAGGTCATGAGGTCAAAGCAGGTGATCCTGGAGGTCAAAATGGATTGACGATTCCAGACAAGAAGTGGACATTGAAGACGGACATCAAGCAAGCCGGTTGCCATGGTGATGATGGCTTGGTAGGATACTGCACGGATGTTGCCGTGTACGCAGATGGCAGTATTGTCATTGCGGACACAGAGGGCAATAGGCTGGTCACTCTTGGTCCTGAGGGTCAGTTCATCCGTGTCCATCCGTCCAATGACCGGCCAGGCTGTGTGGACAACCCCACTGGGGTAGCAATAGACAAGGATGACCAGCTGCTGGTACTGGACGACAACATCTCACTCAAGTTTCTCAACCGGGATGAGAAACTCGTCCGCCAATTCACGCCATTTGCGGAGTCCGGTGGTGTCCCATCATGCATTGCAGTGGATGGCGATGGACAGACAGCTATTGGTGACGAAGAAAACGAAATCATCTCGATCTTCACTTCAGACGGATCAGCCGTAAAAACTATCCAGGCCCCTATGATCGGAGATTATCTGACCATTGACAGTAAAAACAACCTCCTCTATACAAACTTCTCCGAGAAGAAACTGCTGTCGCTGGATTACCATGGCAACCCGGTCATCTCCATGGATACAGTAGGAGAGGACGGTAAGCCCATTCACCCATCAGGGGTGTGCTGTGATAGCGCCGGTGACATTTATGTCTCGGCCCAGTCCAGCCCTGAGATAGAATGCGGTGAGATTCACCACTATGACCCCGAGGGCAGATACAAAGGTCGGGTCATCCAGGGGTTATGTAACCCATTTGGGGTCATCTTCACTCCTAGTGGGGACTTAGTGGTCGCCGATGGCGTCTCTGTGAAAATATTTCACTTTGCCTGAAAATTGAACCCTGATAATTAAGGCCAACAGGAAAAGACATCTGCTACTTATTTTGTACTTAAATTATTCAATTTAACAATTATGTACTAACGTTTCACTTTATAACATTCCTTTAGAAAACATATTTTATAATGCCAAAAAATCAACTTAAAATGTATTTTAGTACTTTTCCATTTTTTAGAACTTACAAGTACTTGCTAATTTTTAGAGACCTAATCGTACTTGGCAGCAACTAATCTAGGGTTACAGAAATTGAAATGACACACATGTAATAGCCACATTTTTGTCTATTTATTCTTTTAATGTAACAGTTATGCAATTTTGTGAATAAACATGAACTAATTAGACTTTCCTATATATGACAAGTATAAAAACTTGTAATACTTGATTGTAGTTTCCCAGCCTGAACAAACGTTAGCTAAAAACATAGGAACGGAATCTAACCTTCACTATGTCACAGCCGACGTGTTTCTTCAGTAGCGCCATCGCATGCTGTGCAGTTGTAGACTGGCTCCATACCTATGAATTGAAAAATGACCCCCCCCCCCAAAAAGAAAAGAAAAAAAAAAACTCTTGAGTTGCATTACATTCTCTGTACATGTGACAAAAATACAGGCAGCTAGTTTATGCAACTTTGGCACCCTGAACCAGTCCAAATTTTCATTTTTGCCCTTCTAATTTGTATACTTCCATTTCGAACGGCCAAACACAATATTCAAACCACGGCTTACCCGGTTGACAAGAACTGCATTCTTCCAACGTTCCTCCTGAGCCTGCTGCAGTAATATCTGATGACAGGTCATGTGACAGCCTTCCTCCAAGTAGGTGCGTCTACAGTATGTCCTCCTCAGGTTGCAGGTCACTGCAGCGTAACGGTGGATGGTGAACAGTTGATTCTTGGACTGAACAGTCAGGGTAAAACAACAAAAAAATATGTTAATAGGCTGATTTATTCATTCTATTCTTCTACACAATCGGAAAGTGTCAGTCAAAGCAAATATGAGTTGTCACATTTCGTAGTGTTAAAAATCTTTCACTTACTATAAGATTGTTCTCTGACAAATAGAGCTATGTTTAAAGAAACTCCTAGCCCTTCTAAATTTTCCCCCAAAAAGCAGCAGTCTCCAGCCAACAAAAACGATGTGGCCTGCTGACCAATAGAATTTCAACAAATCTTCCAATACTGGTGAAACAATTAAAATGGCTGCACATAGTGTGGACAAGGGTCCTGCCTCACTGAAATGACATACCGGCAATTTGAGAAGTTGAGTAATGACGTCGTACAAGGCAAGATGGGGAATAGAATCATAGCTCTGATTGATGTCCACCTTGACGAAGTATAAAGGTCTGGAATTTAAACAGAAAATACTTGTTTTAATGATCAGGCCATTGGATAAAAAAAACTTGTATAACAATGTGTTTTTTTTTTAACCCTTTAAAGTCACTGTAGTATCCCAAACAGCCCAAGCACTCTATGGTTGTATTGATTCTTCAATGAATAAACACAATGTAATACAATGTAGTACAAGTGATAATGGGTTGATATTGGGTGTTGCCCTTCATTGAATTATAGCAAATTTAAGCAAAACTTTTGGATTTGTTCTGAGCCACAAGTCATCCAATCTCAAGGGATGTTGAAACGAACTGTGATAAAACAATCCTGTTCTGTCATTTGGCCTCTGTTTCTCGTGGCAAGACTTGTGATTGATTGTGATTGACTTGTGATTGACTTTTGATTGACTTGTGGTTGACGTGTGATTTGACTTGTGATTGATTGTGATGAACTTGTGATTGATTGTGATTGACTTGTGATTGACGTTTGATTGACTTGCGACGGACTTTTGATTGACTTGTGATTGACTTGTGATTTGACTTGTGATTGATTGTGATGGACTTGTGATTGACTTGTGATTGACTTGTGATGGAGTTGTGATGAACTTGTGATTGTCTTGTGATGGACTTGTGATTGAGTTGTGATGGAGTTGTGATGGACTTTTGATTGACTTGTGATTGATATCCTGCCACACCTTGCATCCTGCTGCCTATATTCCACAACAAACTGCTTCCATTTCTCGTAAGCTTCATTGACACTGAAGAGAGACGAGCCCAGACATGATGGTTCCTGTGATCGATGGAAACTCAAGACATCACAAACGTCTTCAAGTAGATTGTTGATGGTGATACCCTGAGCAAAAAATTACAGGATAAAACTTGTAATTTGCAAGTAGAGCACACAATTTTTGCTGATAGTCAAATTCTATCTTATAAAAAGCCAATGTAAATTTACATCCCTGTGATGCAAAAGTTCGCCTCATAAAAATTGTTTTACCTGTTTGCCTGCCGCTGGTTGCCTCATATTGGTGATAGGTCTCAGTCCCTTTGGCTTGGGCACTAAGCGTAGAGATGAGCAGCCTAACGTGGCTTCTGAGGAGATTAAATTCTCTGCCAGCTTCTGTAAAGAGAGATAATTATCAGGCCATTTTCAAATCGGGTCTGTTGTACATGCGGCTGTAGGATTTGCCATTGGCATACAACATTAAATAGTCGTAGCCAGAAAACAATGCCAGTTTTGGACGTGGCTTAAGTTCGATTTGATGTCATATAATAACATCATAATTTCAAGTAGAAGGCAAACATCCATTTTTTTCTAATCTTTTCAGTACAGAGTGTTTGCACTTGTTTTGGACACAAAAAAATGCAAGATAAGCATGTCGTTAAGACTAACATAAATTCACAGAGGGCACATAGAAAATATTTAGAACTTTGAGAAAAACTCCACAAAAATTTAAACAATATTTTAAGAAGATATCGCTTACATGGGTGATGGGCTTCAAGATTCCAGAGGCTACGCATTCTGCAAATTATAAATAAAAAATATAGATTCATATAAAACCACAGAAACAACAACTTGGCAACATATTTTACGTTCACAATGTTTGTTCTGAATTTTTCCAATGTTTTCTCAAGCTGTATCATTTCCCTAACATTTGCAACAATATTTTGTCAACATTTTTTTTCCTAAAAAAAAAAAAGGAAAGTTTTTCTGAAAATAGGAACAAAAAAATCCAAGAAATTTAACTTCATGGATACGATCGGTCTATCTAGCCCCAAAGACTCAACACTCCATGAAAGTTATTTAAAAATATTATTAAAAACTGAATAATAGGTAAGTGCAGAATTATCACTCACGTTCTATGCCCATCTTTTCCAACATATTCCAGGTGGATTTCCGATAATACACAACTCCGTTACGGCGTGAAGAGGTCTCGGTGACATAAAAAGCAGTCTGAAAATAACACACAATATACTACAATCAAAATAAGCCGCCTTCTTCAAGATCATAGAGGTCCACACAAAATAAAGGATTTCATCCCAATGTCTTGAATAAGTCTGGTTTATCCAGAACCAAGACATTCAGGAAAAAGCTGTGCTGTTGCAAAATGTTCCAGTGCAAAGTTCAAACTTTAGAAGAAAACCGTTCGTGCAGTTCATTCCCCTTTAATTCACAGTTTGCGCAGATACACCACAGTGATTAATTAATAGTAAAATACTATAATCGCTTGTTGGGTTCCTCCTCACCCTAACGAGAGCCATGATATAGTCGGACATGATCCACGCTAGTAGACTAGACACCATCTTCTCCTGCATCAAGGCGTCAGAGCGACAGGGTGAACGACCTCCAAGCTTCTTCAGTCGAGTCCAGTCACAATCCTGTACCTGAGGAATACAAAAAAAACCAAGAACTTTGTCTCTTTTGAAAATATATTTTGTCTTGCATAATAGACGTTATTAAGTCAATGACTGTGCTGTCAATCCACTGTTTATTCACCCTGTGCAGACATGCAACTTGGAAGAAACAAAAAATGAGGAAACTCCAATCTTTACAAGACTTTGTACAGTGTTTTTTCAATTTTCAATATTAGTGTGAAGTGAAAAACGAGGAAATCAGCTGATACGAGTAAAAATTGCATGCCTGCCTGTGGCGTCTGTCACATTCCTAGACATATATTTTACACAGAAAGGATTCTAAATAATAAAAAAAAAAAATGTTGTAGGGAATGTCATACAAAATTTTGAAAACTGTGGGGGAAGTACGGTTAAACAAAATAGAAGACACGAAAGAGGATAAACCACTTTCCCCCAAAATACTACTTGCTCATGTTTTAAAAAATACAGTAACAACAAAAATAATTTGCTCTTTACGTTAATCTTCTTCATGAGTTGCTCCAAATCCAGTTTTTCGGTTCTTCCCAGCTTGACAAACTTCTCCACGAATTTGAAGAATGCCTGGCGATTGTGCATGGAGCCCCACACTGGGAATGGAACGGCCCTGATCAAGACCCCCCTCAGGAAAAGGAAGACCCTCCAGGGTTCATTGGTGTCATTCAGCAGGTCCTGTAGGGTGAGCGACCGTTCACATGTGACCCCATGACTTGGGGTCGGGCAGTGAGCGTCCAGAAGTGCAGTGACGTTGGTCTTCCTGTTGAACAAACAGTCAAACAAAAATTTAGACCAAGTTGGAATTGCTTGCCTATGGCTGGCGAAATTACTTTGCCCATAGAAAGTGCAAAATTCACTTTCCAAAGATGCATGTGGTAATTGCCACTTTAACGGATTCGAACCAACCAGCTGGTCCAGCAAGCTCAGTGATCCAGTGGCTGAGACAACTGCACTAGTAAGCAGAGGATCAAGGTTCGAGTCCCACCCAAGCAAGCTGTGATTGTATATTTCTCTTGCAAACTCTCGGATGGCCTTAAATCATGAAATGAAATTGCTTTACTTGTGAGCAGCCAGAATGTCCTTCAGTAGGTTCTGCATGGGGACGAATCGTCGCCGTGTTCTGCTGATCTGGGGAAATCAAAGAAATCAACTTTGCTTAGTATATGTCAAGCGTTCTGAAAAAATAATACGGAACTGGGCACAGGCTGTAGTGAAGAAAAATGCACAAAACCAAATCAGGGGATTTTTTTTCTCCGGTTTTCAGATATATTGATATCTGTAATCCTTGATAGGTCTTGATTTGATTGATTTATTGCTATTTATATCTATTTTGAAGTGTCGTGGTTCTTGTGCTCAAAAACATTAAAATACATTTTACAGATATTTTAAAGAAAAAGTATAACAATCATGGAATAAAACAATTGGCATCTTTCATATTCACGACTACAAAAACTCGAAAGTTAAAGGCCTTTTTCTCAGTATTTTACTTGTTCGACACTGTTGATAAATGCAATCTTTAAACAGTCATGACTTGTCAATGGAATGTCTGATTGAATTACAACAAATTTTATTGTAAGGAGAATTTTATTGTTTTTCCTAATACCTGCAAACCCTTATTTCGACCTCTGTCCAATTCTGTCTCCTTTTGCCAGAACGCTTCACATCTATCCGTCCCTGAAGGTTTCCTAAAGCACATTTTAAGTTCCTCAATGTTTTTGCTTTACCTTTGAGCGGCCATTTTTGGTCAGCTTCTGTTCTGTCAATATGCTGCTCATTAGTTTCTTTGCTCCAGAATTACTGGCCGGCAAACACTCCAGACGATCTGTTAATCAAAATAAAAACATGCCGTCAAAACTTACAAAGAAAGTTTCTGAAACACTGCATTGACATGAGAGATACAAAATAAGGACAGAGGGAAGTATTTGGAAATCTTACGTGTCTTGGGGAGTCTGCCACAGCCTTTCTTCCGATGACAGACACTGGCCATGGGAAAAGTTACGGACGCCAAGTCAGAACTGTTCCCAGAGGGGTTAGGATGATGAAGAATCTTACCTGGTCTTGAGATCAAATCACAGATCGGAAAACCTGTAATATAGGACAATGAAGATTCTTCCAGCATATTTCAACGAACTGACAAGGCAACAAGTACATAGAAATTAATTTAACTGTTTGATGGATTGATTGCGTGAATACTGATTGCCCACTAGATATCAATTGATGGATTAATTTCTGTTTTGACAAGTTTAATAATTGACGATTCGATCAGTTAATTGAATGACTTTAAATCAGTTAATTTAATTGACATTAAATTATGTGGCACAATGTAATGTAATGTAAGATACACAGCTAGATAGAAAACTCGGACTGACAGACTTACCACACACTTGGATGTAGCACGACGGGGGAGCAAACAGAAACACAGACAGGTTGACCAACAAATGGAGCATGACATCATCGCCAATCCTGGCCAATAGGAGCTCCCAATGAGGCATGTTGACCAGTGTCTGATTGGATTCGGGAACGCACCATTCATTTGTCTGAAAAATTAAGCCAATCACGAAAAAGTTATGTTATGTGTAAATTTCATCGATAATTTCACATGATGCATAAGCATGTTACAGTAAATTTAAACTGTTTACGAAATGGTGTTCATTAACACATTTTGGTAAAAGGCTACACAAACTCGATCATGAAATTTCGAATGTCTTTTTTAGATGGAACTTCAAATATCAACATTTGTTCTGCCGACAGGAAGAACACCTGAGTTTGGGAATTGTATTTCAAATGTCAAATTTTAAATATCTTTGAAAGGGAAGAATACAGTTTGCCAAGTTTCTGATGGTTGGCGATTTACCTGGGACTTTCCAAACAGAAGGACATTCTTATTTTTGGCCACGCAGCGTGTTTTCAATACCTGAACAGCAAAAACAAAATAGAAAAATATTGGATGGTTACTCTAAAAAATGTGTACATTGTATCCATGCATAGTAATTCCATAAACTAAAAATACAGTAACGAACGTAATTAAAAATATTGTTGACACTCTGTGTAGTAGCATCAATGGATAATAATGTGCGAAAATGACTGCATTTATTCAGTGACTATGTGCTGGCCGATCAACCTTTTCAGCAAAAAGTTTTGTGTCATTCAAACTTTAGTCTTTGTTTTGTCCGCATAGTAATCCTCACCTGTACAGATTTGGTTACCACCTCCGCCTGATGCAAACAATGCCTGAAGCTCACTGGTTCCTCAAGTTGCAAGGTACCATCAATCTCGGCCAAGATGGTGGTTTGTACAAAGGAGCGAAAGCTGCCATTTGCAAAGATGTTGAGCAATTAAAAAGTTGCAAAATTTTGATGAGAGCATAAACTGTTCATTATGCATTAGGAATTTTGACTTCCTCAAAAGGCTTCAGTTAGAGATAAATGGGACAGATTCTCCATGATTTTGTGCAAACCTACCCTACTTTGTCTCGGGGTTGAATAAGATCCGGGCAGCCGACTCCTTCTAGATATTCTGATAGAGTGAATGTCCTTGGATAAAGTTTCTTCAACACCTCCATCTGAGAAAAATATAATGTTTCCATAATTCTCTACTCGAACTTAATTCACTTTTCTTTCTTTCTTATCTGATCATTCCTTGTTTCCATTTCAACAAAAAGAGAAATATTTACCCATATTCATTTATTTTACTTCAACGTTCACTCTGGGCCAGTAGCGCTCGTGAGTAATGTGACTGTTGTCATGGTAAAGAGGGTGGTAAGACTTGACACATGCTTCATGTCGAGTTTTTTTTTTTATAATAAATCATGTGTACACTTTTCATTAACTTTAACTTTACAAAAAATAGGGTCATTACTAAAAAAAGTTTGCTTGAGGTTGTATAAGTCATTTTGGAACGATACAAACCGTGTAAGAAATTTGAAAATAGAGGGGTTCCGAGGTTCACTTTTTTGGGTTTTTTTACCGATTGAAAACGAGCAGTGCAGACGATCGTTAAAGTGATGGTGATTGCGTGCTCAACTTAAATATTAAACAAAACAGAAAAACGTTTCCAATTCTTAAAATTACCTTTTTGACTAAATGCAGGAATCTATGTCGGTCTCATTATTGTTAATTTTCGAAACAAACGTCTACCATGAACATATTTGCACGATTTAACCTGTTTTTAAAGTTTCAAAAGTTGTGTTTTCTTTTTCATATGCACCGCCATTTTTAAAAACCATCAGTCAAAAGAGGGCGCACTTCGGTATGTATTTTCCAACTTCCGACCAATGGAAGAGTGATTATTTGTGGTTTCATTAAAACTTGTTAAAGTCGCGATGAAAAGCGGAAAGATTTTACGCCAAAAAACCTATTAATTCTTAAAAATGAAACTGATACTAAATTAAAAAAAAAAATCAAAAAACCAAACACTAAAACCCCAAAACAAACCCATTTAAAAAAAAAAAAAAAATTACAATAATGAAGAAAAAAAAATAATAAATACAATGAAATCAGTAAAGCACACAAACAAACCTGATTTTTTTAACTGTTGTATTTATTGTTCTTTCTATTTCAAGAATCATTTGTTTCCTTTTAAAAACAGTTTTGGTGCATAAGAAATAAGTGCACAGTGTGTGTAGAAAAATACAAGACGACCATGAACGGATCTTCAGCAAACTACGGTCACAAAAAAGATCAATTACTGCTTCGAATAAAAAAGAATATTCATTCAAATTCTGATGAAAAAAAAAGCTATTTCATTATTCCATCCGGAACTAGGATATGATTTTAAAAACGAAATCACTTATAAAACAAAAGGTGATTGAAGAAGAATGTTCTAACAATTTAATATTGTTTTCTACTTTGTCTACAAAAGATTTCTTAGTAGTTACACTTTTAAAGGGAAAATAATATTACTGGCACTAATAATAAAAAAATTGTTTTGATTATGGAGATGTCCAATATATGAGTTGTTTGTAAGAGATGTCCCTGAATATGGCCTACTTCATCTTTTGTGTTGACATATTTTCCTCAAGTTTTCATAAATACGTTTTCGATATTGCAAGACCCAAATGGGTCTATAACAACCCAACAACCATTTTCAACAAATTCATAACAGATACAAAACTTTTTGTGTAATTAATAAAAAAACCCAAAACGATCAACCAAATGATTTGATTCTTTGAGGGGAAACCCTGTGCAAGGCATTATAATAAATTAAAGCAAATAACCACTTACATTAACTATTGCAAACGTAGCCAAAAAGTTAATTTTTTTTCAAAAACAATACTGCATATTTTTGCCAAGCATCCCTGATTTTGTCGTTTTGCCAAGAAAAAAATGGCAAACTGCTTACTATAGTTGAAGGAAACGCAGAGGTCACTAAGACACTTCTCTGCCTAGCCTCCCTATTAGCTCTTACGAACCATCACAAGTGTGTCAAATTTGATAAGAATATCTTCACTGTCATAAATAAAACATCTGAATCTCCTAGAGATTTTCAGACATACAACCTGGTGCATAAAATGTATTTGATATGTCATCCGTAGACTTCACCAAATACTTGTTTTCCCAAACTCTGTTTCAAAAGCAGAACGGAACTGCTCAACAAAACCAAATTAACTGGTGACCAATTCTCGTCATCTCCTGACGACGGGCAGAGCATACTATCCGAAACGTTGAGTCCCTCCGGTTCTTTTCAGAACCACACATACTCACAAAAGAGATTTTGCCACATGGTGCTACCGCAACAACTGACCTTAGGATCAATTTTTTACCCACGTAAATATATTGCTTTTTTTGCAAACGTCAATACGTCAGCATTTTAACAAGCGAGGTCCTTGTTTGGCCGACTTTTAACCTGTCGTCCGAAATGAGCAAAGTTTCTACAAATATTCCAACTCCGTCTTAAGACCGATATCTGAAGAGAAACAACATCTTTGGCTCAGGCTAAACTCTCAATGATCATTATCACCAAAAAGGCCACAGTTTTATGGCACTGTGATGTACAATATTTTGACACTTTACAATTGAAATCTCAAAATCTTCTAAACAGAAACACGGGCTAAGATTTATTTTAACAACTTGGCAAGTGCCAATACAAATAAAATACAAAACATTTTTTCTTAGAATATAAATCTTGTGCTGATAACGGTGATAAAATTTTAAATATACATTAAATAACGTTCATAACTAGAGGGAATTTGCATTTCTTGATAATATTTAAAGAAATAAAAATGAGCTAATCAAATAAGAAGGAATAATTCTTCCTCGCTACAAATAACCTTTTTCTTATAAATAACATTAAGAAAAAATAAGAAATTTTCATATATTACCAATGGTATTTACATACTTTTGGCTAAAATAGTAAGAGTGCTCCGTGATAATTCTATCTATAGAAAATGGTCCCTTATTGAGATATTTTTCCTTGATTCACTACATAATTTTTTCCCAGTTTAAGTTGAAATATGAAAATGTGTTTAGTTTACAAATTTTGAATTTTGTGGTCCCTTTTTGCTAATAAAAACTCAAGAATGACTGACATAATTTGGTCAAATGTCAATTATAAATTGCAACACAATGATCCCGGTTGGAATGATAGTCATGATATAACACGACAATTGACATTACCAGAGATGATACTCAGCCTTAAAGAAACGATAGCTACAGAACATATGTCAAATTCTTTTCTCTAAAATGGGTACGTTTTAGACCCAAACTAAACGTAAAGAGTAAAACACGAGGTGACATATTGACTATGCTCACCATTTTTATCCCGTGCACGGATTTCTGTTGGACATTTTATTAAAAAAGAGTAAATAAATTAAAAGTAAACAGTAAAGACAAACTAAACTGTGATGAAAAAAAAAAAACTTTGAAATCAATGTCAAAAAAGTAATAAAAAGGCTCTGTTTACACAAAGCAATGTACAATCAAAGATCATTAATCCTAAATACAGGTGAAAATGAATAAATATACTCAAGTCTTTAACTTTGACTTTACTTTCTGCAGATACAAAATAAAGACTCTCTTCATATTGAAACTTCAAGAGATGTATCAAAAAGGTTAAATACGAAGTTCAAAATGACAAGGTACGAAAAAGTAAACTCGAATTTCGAAAAGTTTCATCTTCAAAACGTTTATGAGTGAAAGGCTGTTTATTCCAATACAACACTAAGTTCACTTTAGAAAAAGATTGACTACATCGTACCAATTATAAGAACCAAACGCCCTGAGTGCAACATTACACAAATAGGAATCAAACATATGGCATTCCAAAGCCACATGATGTTTGGTCAACTGAACAGAAAGGATCTTGGTGCAAAAATGCGCAGACAGGAATCGAACCTACGACATCCATACTTTCAAATCCACCAACAGTATATACACTCAATCGCTCAGCTTTTTTGTGCTGAAATGTCCTCACTATCCATACAGCACATGTAGTCGACACCCTTTTCCATTTCGGCCTTACAAAAGAAGACAGCTTAGTGTTTTATATAATCTTTCTTTCCTTCTAACTATAAACCTGGCCTTCACCATCATAGTCACAAAGATACAAAACTTCAATAATCCCCCCAATTTTCAAAACAACAAGGCTCTTTTAAATGTCAAGATCCTACAATGTACAATTGGAACAGAGAACTCTGAGACAAGGTTTGTCCTTTTTCTTTTCAAATACAAGGCTCTGCTTGAAAACTGTAAAAACCCAGTTTATTCTAATTCAAACAGCTTAAATGGGGCAGATCATAAAAATTGGTGTCTGTCAGTTTGAACAATGGTTTAAAAAATAAATAACCGATGAAATCGAGTCTCCATTTGACACAAGTTCATTCACTTTTCACTTTTCTTCTCTAAGTTCACTTCCCACTTTTGGTACATCAATCAAAAACACAGCATTTGTTGTTGTTGAAGGGCCATGATTCAGCCCCACTATTCGGCAGTGCATGAGATAGGGTCCTGCTCCGTTCTCTTGCATATAAGATTCTGCTCCGTGACACACAGCCGATAGCTGTACGACGTTGGGGACTGTCTGCTGGGCAACACGCCATCGCTAGCTGTATGACGTCAGGGGCTGTCTTGCTGAGCAACATGCCGTCAAGCTGTATGGCGTTGAGGGTTGTCTTGCTGGGCAACACACCGTCGCTAGCTGTATGACATCAAGGACGGTCTTGCTGGGCAACACGCTGCCGCTAGCTGTATGACGTCCCTGGCTGTTCACTATCGCGCTTCTCTAATTCCTTGATTGCTTGTTGGATTCGCTTGATGTGGCCGACTTTGGTCACTCCAATGTCCTGCGTCAAAACAAGAGACAAAACACTGATTGGCAATCTGCAATATGACAATTGAAGTAGGCTGTAATATTTTTTTAAATTTTTTGATCCGTAAGGCCTAGCCCACTGTTCACTGACTGAGTCAGTCACAGACTGCTTGGCTGACTGAGTATAAAAATGTTCTAAACTGAGACTTTCAGCTGCAGCTCAACTAAACAATCCTAGTCTTAGATTAAACTATTTTTGTCTCTGGCCAACCTTGAGGTCTCGTCTCTCCAGAGTCAGCAGCTCCGATCCACGGATGTCGTTGCGGATGAAGTTGTCCCGATACTCTCCAAGGGACAGACTGTCCAGCCACAGACCAACCTGCAGAGGAGTCCAGGCTCTTGGTGACTCACCCGAAGCTGAAACAACATTTTTAAAGATTTTACAAATTGAATACAGTTACTCTTTATATATTTCTTTCCTTTATTTATGTATTAGTTTACTCACATTTACTAAAAAAATTGAACCCGGGTGGAGGGTGTTCGATTGTACTTACAAGCTCCTTCTGACGATCCCCCCGGACTCCCTGGTGCGAAGGTAGACTTAAACTCTTTCTTAGTCGGTTTCTTGAAGCGTGACACCATGGGAAGCTTGAAGCGACCTTTGGTCCGTTTGATGTAAGTATCCGGCTGCTGGAGGAATGAAAAACAAACAAACATTACCAGCCAGGGACAGCAGGGCCTTGGCTACGGCTAGAATTGCACAGACGCCTATGGAAGCGGCTACAGCCAAATCCCATAGACCCATGTGTCTGAAACAGATGTTTAGAGCTACGACTACGGCTCATATCAGCATGAGGATTTACACAAGGGATGAATTATGATGATACATACTTTTGTCAGAGTTCATTGAAATAGCTTCCGACTTGACTTGAAACTGGACGACTTACGATTCGGTCATGTCTGGTTTCAGACCCAACATTTCACCCTGGGTAACTGATAAGCACTGTGTGCTCAAGTTATGAAACGGTCTGCAATGTCTTTTAAACGAAAAATACGCTTACATGATATTCCTCTTCGGGGAATCCCAAAGCGCCCTCTATCAGCATGACTTTACGCAGCTCTACGTCCGTTGCGCTGACGGAACTGTTGAGTCGTGTTAAGATCTCGTCGCCGAGGCGCGTGGTGTAGGCCTTCGCAGCTAGGAATAGACTGGTCTCGCTGTGAAGGTTCCGCACGCTGCTGACCAGCTCCATCAGCGCTTTACGACTGGTACCCTGCAAAGGAAACCAAGGAAATCAGCAAACATTGGTTACTTTTTACTTGATTTGTGATATGTGTTGTAACTGCACAAATTTTACCCAGCTATAATTGGGAGCAACACACTTATCTGTGGAAAGAAGCTTTTGAAAAGGGGAAAGACTGCAACTTTTAAAAGAGTTTAGACATAAAAATGGGATACAAACGTTAATGGAGACTTTGAGATTGGAGTTTTTGGATTTAGGCTCACCTCTCCAAGTTTTTCACTGCCCCAGAATCGGTCCATGGTAGTCGTCACAAACTGTGTGTAGTGCATCAGGCCAGACTCTATTGCACGGTTCTGTTCTGCTGCTCTTTGTATGCTGGAAAACAGAAATCACGAATTGTTTCAGAAAAGATTTGGCAGCGCTATTATTATGAGAACCTTCCACCAAAAAAATAATCAAAAGTGGACATCTAAGGTTAAAGAGTTTGCCATGAAATACCTTTGAAAGATGAAATAATTTGCCAGGAAAATGACAAACATTTTTGATGCCTTTCTCGGATAGCCAATAACATACTGAAATCTGACGAACCTGACCAAACGTCTATAGATGCTCTACACATCTACAAGATTTTTGTCTAATTTGACAAAGTTTTTGCAATTATTATCACCAAACACTTTTCCTAAATTCTGATAGAGAAATACTCCTCAAAAACCATGAACAAAATAATCCCCTCCACTACTTCTCATTCGTGGTTCTTCATATAACATAAGGTTATATTGAGTAACATTCCCCAATGCGTACCATGTGACTAATCCGTTGACAGTCTCGCAGAAGTGCCTGACCAGCACCACCTCTTCATCTGACAACGGCTGAAGCTGTTTCCAGATCTTCTTCCGATCTGTCCAGGACTTCAAGGTGTTTTCAAAGGCCTGAGGTCAAGAGGTCAAGAGGTCAAAGGTCAAGAGTTCAAAGGCTAGGGGTCATATGAGAATCCGTTTCAGCATTCTTAAAAGCTTATTGGTAATTGAAATGCAATATTGAAGAAAAATATTTTTTTTTTAGATTTTCAGCAACTAGCCCCCTCAATGAGTACTGCATAAAGCAACTAATTCACTGACAAACAGCGCCCTCAACGAGTAATGCACAGAGCCACTCAATGGCAAATAGCGCCCTCAATGAGTAATGCACAGAGCCACTCAATGGCAAATAGCGCCCTCAATGAGTAATGCACAGAGCCACTCAATGGCAAATAGCGCCCTCAATGAGTAATGCACAGAGCCACTCAATGGCAAATAGCGCCCTCAATGAGTAATGCACAAAGCAAGTCACTGACCTTATCTCTGACCAGCATCTGTGCCCTGTTCTTGTGAATGATCTTGACGAACCCCGGCGGTTGCAACCAGGCCTCACCATCCACCTGCACGGGGACACCCTCATCCCCCAGAATGGTGATCTTCACCACGTGACACTGAGAAATCAAAAAAATGGACAACGGGTCACTGGCAATGCATGATACATATCCTACAAGTAATTCACTTGCATTGACTTCTGAGATCATAATGATTTATCACTGATTGTCAACTTTAAAGAAATTCTTCCTTGCATGATTCACAACCTGAGATGTACAAAATTCACATGAATTGAGTTCTTCGACTGTAATGGTTTAATCTGTCATTTGTCAACTCTTCAGAAATTCCGACATGTTCATTTGAGGGTTACCTAAGGAATGCCAGTGCACCCCGTTAATGAACTCTCTGCCCAATTTTGTGCCAAATATCAGGACACCATCCTTTCCGACTTTAAAATTTTACGACACTGAAATTGTTCACAAGGTTTCCAAATCAAGTCTTTTCAAAGTTACAATATCAATATTGTCATGTAACTGACTGAATTTGAAGCTCATCAACAAAAGAGGTTTGGCAACACTACATGAGAAAAACGGGGGAAATCAAAGTGTGCCATGTGTGACTGCACTTCATGAATTCAAGTCAATCCATTTATTATTCAATACCATTAAAAAGCATGAAATTCTACATCCTGTATGCTAAAGACAATATTACGAACTATATAATTACACAATATGAAAATTAGTTTACAGATGAGGCGGTCATTACCTGTGCTATCCTGTGATGTTGCAGGGTCATCATACGAGACACAGCGACCGCCATCTGCATGCCGCCAAACACGGCAACTACCTCCAGGATGCGATCGTCAAACGAGGGCGCTGCAAAGGTCTGAAAAATAAAACGAGTTGCAACTGAGTCAATAACAAACCAGTCGTAAGTCAGGTCGTAATAAACAGGGAATGGACAATGACTTGAGACTGGATGACTTGTGATTGACTTGTGATTGACTTGTGATTGACTTGTGATTGACTTGTAGTTGACTTGTGATCGACTTGTGACTGACTTGTGACTGATTTGTGATTGACTTGTGATTGACTTGTGATTGACTTGTGATTGACTTGTGACTGACTTGTGACTGACTTGTGATGGGCTTGTGATGGGCTTGTGATTGACTTGTGATTAACTTGTGATTGACTTATAAATGACTTGTGATTGACTTGTGATTGACTTGTAATTGACTTGTGATTGACTTGTGATTGACTTATAATTGACTTGTGATGTGTCTTTTCATCTGACTTTTGATTCTCTATGAGATACTTGGGATTGACTTGTGATTGTCTTCAACTCACCTCGTCTTCTTTAGTGGTCCCCCAGAAGTTAGCCCCGCCCATGTAGCTTGGAATGTTTAAGACCACAATGCCTTGCAGGCTGGGTAGTGGAATCCGTTGACCGTCGCATTCTAACTGGACCTTCTGCTCCAGGTTGCGATACGTCCGCTGCAGGAGTTCCTTGCCACCCAGCACGCCGTACCACATCATGTTCTTGGTCCGGCTATGACAATGACAAATGACAAATTATGACAATATGACAACTACATGTATGACAAAATATGGCAACATGACAATTATGAAATATTATGATAACAAAAATAATATCACTGTTATCATGACAATTATGACAATTGTGATTCACATGACAGTTTATTATTCTCAATATTAGAACAATAATCAAAGAAAATTCTAGAGACAAAATTACAACTAACCAGTGACAGATGACAACAAAAATGTGACAATGAGTCACGCATGCAAAGACAGAATTTACAATGGAAAAATACCTTCGACTCGAAAGCTGACAATATATCACAAAATATATCAACTGTATAATGTAAGTCCTCAACCAAGAAAAAACGAAACCTGAAGTGTGTGAACCGACCTGCATTTCTCGGGATGTTCTTCCCGTTTGTTGTGGAAGTCCAGGGCGACTTTGGCATCAAGACCGATACCAAAGTAGTTATTCATCACACACGTCTCGGTATAACCTTCACTATTAAAGACCAAATAAAGAGAAACAATTTCAATAAAAGAGAGCACTTCACTGACAATTGTACCTTCGCATTTGCAATCAAAGCTTTTACCTACTTTGCTGCCGTGATACAATTTTTACTGTGGAAAGCCATGAAATGGGTGGAATAGTGTTTTATACTTACACAGATTCAATGTCTTGGTCCATGAGGGGTGAGGCGGCCGCACACAGCGCATCAGCGTTGGCTAGCAGGACCTTACTGATCAGACCAGCTCCCATGAAACCACCAGATAGACCACTTATACCTGACAAATATCAGAGCAAAACATCCATGAGTATTGGCTTTGTGCATCAACGATAGAGGGTGCTGTTCACAACCGTCAGCTAGCAGCACTGTTCTGACCACACCAGCTTTATTGCTGGCCTTGGAATTTCACGCAATCACAGTACACATGCAAAATTTATAACAAACATAGATTTTGTTTCAAACTTTGATTAACTTACTTTTACTGAGCATTGGATTTCCTCTTCCTAAACTTGGTCCCAAAAGTGTGTCCAAACCTAGAAATGCAGAAAACCATATAAAATCATCACTTAGCCAGTATCTTCATGAGACGTAGATTTCACAAATACTGAACAAAAATTTTAAAGAAGTAAAAAGTTTTGATAACTGCAAACCTGTGTTTGCTAATTAGATTTTTAAACACACTAAAGTTGAATGGAATGCATAACCTAATATTAATATTGAATGCAAATTAGGAAAACATGGCAGAAAATTAACGAGCCACCACCAGCTTGGATATGGAAGAAAAAAAGGGAGAAAAAAAGAAGAAGAAATTTGAGGTAATGACTCTCCACACACTCTTGCCATCTGAAGACAAATACGTAAAAGTCTTAGAAAGTGAAGGTACAACAGCACTTTGTTTCACATACGCTGCTCGTGGGCAGTGATTACAATGTGCTTTTGGTTCTAGAAACTCTCAACTTGTGAAATTACAAGACCGTCCTACTTCTCTATCAAACTTTTCGAATCCGTGAACAGCAAAGTTGCCATGATGCTCTGAGAAAGTATGCTAGCATGCCATTGTGTCATGATGGAAAGTTGAAATGACGCTCAAAACAAAACCGCTTTTCCCTCTACAACTTGCCTGGTAGGAATGATATATTCTCCATGCTACCAAAGCGATGAGCCAGGCCCACAGGGCCTGGGGAGAGGGTACTACCGCGGCTAACTCGGCGAGTCCGAGGCGACTTCAGCTGCTCTCGCTGTTCTCGCTCTATGCAGGGTTGGCAAGGATGAGGCGAAAGATGAGCATGGATAAGTTATCAGCGATGAATTGATCCAACATGGAAGCAGGATGGAGGACAAGAAGCAAAACAGAAGGGGAAATTTGAGCTTTTTGCGAGATATGGATGATTATGTTAAAAACATGAGATGGTCTAAAGGAGTAATATTAATTCCCACCACCGTAAAAGTGAATATGTTTTTCTTTTATTTGAAAAGGGAAATGTCATCAGCTATTTCATGGTGTGTAAGCCACTTTGGGTCAAGAGCCTTACTTGCAGACTTGTATTAAATGGTACATGATGAGCAAAGGAAGATTATGTAAAAGCCCGCAATTTTTGGGTCAAAAAAATAGCTTTGGAAGGGATGGGATTAGCAGTGAAATGCATGTTAGAGGCAAGCCCCACTGGAGGCAGGGTCTGGGGGATTTCCCCCTTGAAATTTTAAAACCTTAAACTGCTATCCCCTTAGATTTGCCAATAAAACAAACAAGATCGGTCCATGGGGAGTAGAAGTCTGGTTGGAGACCTACCTGCTTTCTTGCGCTCAATCTTGGCCTTAGTAGCCGAGGTGAAGACAGAGAAAGATGCCTTAGGCTCCTCCTTACCATCCCCCGTCGTAGTCGCCTCTGCTTCTCCTTCCCTGCCTCCTTCCTTCTCCATAGTCTCCTCCTCTCCTTTCTCTGCCTCCTTCTCTTCATCGGGCGGCGCCACGACAGTGATGCTGGGCTGCGTGGAGGATTGAGGGGAGCCCTCTGTAGATGTGGTTGCCTTGGTGGCAGAAGTGGCGGCTTTGTCTGCTAGAGCTTTTGCTTTGGCCTCATGGTGTTGCGTTTGGGCATTCTGCTCATCAACAGCTGATTAAAAAACACATAAAGGTTTCCTGTGTCTTTAAAGATGTCTGCTGCAAATGACCCAAAACATCAATACCACAAATTTTTTTTTTTTAAAGATTATCACTTCCCTTTCACTTTTTCTCCATGTTTATGATATCTTCCAAACTACATCAACTTCCAAAATGCAGACTGCTGCCAAAAATATATTATGGTCAAATACGGGATGCTACCTTTCTCCGTCTGCTCAATGATCTGTCTGACGGCCTTCTTGAGACTGTTAGCGCGAGACATCAAGGCATCGCGAGGCTTGAAGACTTTCGCTGAGGTTGAGGGTCCAGTCATCTGCTCCAGAGTGTCTCCATCGTGAAGCGGGTCCTTGGAGGAGTCCTCTGGTGGGAGGGGCATGGTGAGGGAGGGAGTTGGGGGGAGGGTGCCAGGAGGGATGGGCGTGGCTTGGGCCTCGTCTTCAAGGGTTTGGAGGAGGAGCTTCAGTTTCTCGTTCAGAACGGCACACTGTCAGGTAAAAGAAATCAGATACAAAAACGTGTAAGCCTGAAGTCTCTGACCATTTCAGATTGGCCTTTTAAGAGGCGCACCAAACCAATAAATATCAGAAACAACTATTGTCGACCATTTTTGTACCAAAATTGGAACTGAAATCTTACCTTGTCTTTCATGATTTGAGCGTCCCCTGATGGGCAGCTCTGCTCATACGCCCGGCCGACCTTCTCAACGAAATCTTTGACAGTCTCACATAATACCCTGACAAAATACGTACAGAATAGCTTTTTTTAGATGGGCATTATCAAGAAAGTGAATTTGTAAAATATAAACCAATCAGTCCCTGTACCATCCCCAAACCGCCCTAGCACTGTATGGTTTGTGGATTCATCAGGAAATAAATACAATGTAATACAATGTAATACACTGTAATACAATGTAATACAATGTAATACAGTGTAATACAATGTAATACAATGTAATACAATGTAACACAATGTAATACAATGTAACACAACTGCTTATGTCTATACATACTTGGCTGATGATATCACATCAGTGTTCTCGTCACAGTGTAGTATCTTTGTCAGATGAGCTGCCACTGAGTTTTCATACGCGGTAATCATCTCCTTGTCTTTGCTCTCGATGGAGTCTGAGACGTCTAGACTATCAGCCTTGAGGTCTATGGCCGTCCCAGCCGGCCGTCTGCTGCCTGGCAGAGGCAACTCTTTGGTGCATATACTCCATCTATCAAAGAAAAAACATTGCTGACTAGTTTGTCATCATACCATATCGTGAGGGCAATGTAATTTTTCCCACATATTTAAGAGTGATTTTCATCATAACTTCAGTGAAATATACTAAGGGAGTTCTCAAACAGATTTTCAGCCATTTTTCCTTCAAAAAATAACCTCTAGTGTTCACGGACAGTCATTCTGTGAGGTTAACAGTCCATCTTAGCGTTTTCTGTTTTTTTCAACTCAACATCTTCCTTTCAGAGCATCTCTCCCCTACTCCGATCCATTACAAGTCAATCACAAGTCGTCAAGTCCTGAGTCATGCATCACAAATTATTCAAATCAACTGTGACAAATGCACTTCTTTGTTATTGTACATCCACTGTCAACTGTGATTGAACTTTTGAATGGACTTGTGATTGACTTGTGATCGGACTCATGATGGACTCAGCAACAAATCCGCCCTGTTTACCTATCAAGCATCTTGGTACTGGCTCTCTCCAATTTATCCAAGATGGTCGGGAGTTGATTGTCGTCATCGAAGGCTGTTCCCCAGCCCAAGACTCGGGCGAGGTCGTTACCCGTACCTAGAGGTAGGACACCTATTTGGCACTGGACGGAGCGAAAGAAAAACATCATGAGTCTCATAAATTAAGCCAGACAGTTAAAATTCATCAGGAGGTTTCAGAGGATTTTGCAGGATTAAAAAAGTTAGCATCAAGCCACTGGTCTTTTCATGGGACGTGAAGCCACTTTGAAATTAGAGTGCATAGGCTGTGACACTGGTTTCTTGCAAAACAGACGAAGCTATCAAGATTGAAACACAAGGTTAATATTTGTGGCAGTTGTACCTGTTTATGAAGGTCCAGCTTGTCGATTTCTGATAACACCCAACCGATGCTGCCGTCACCGCCACACACCAAGATCCTGAACGTGTCAAAGTTCTGGAAAAGGCGTAACCTATCACAGAAAAAATATGCAAGACACGACAAATTGACCTAACATCACAAAAAGAAATCAAAACCAAAACAAACCAAGAAAACAAAAACAGAAGCTCACCCAATATGCGGCCCGCTGTTCATGAGATCAAACACCTGAGCTGGGTTGAGGAGTTGCTTGAACCGACGTAAGAATTTCACCCCCTGGTTGTCGCCACTCTTAGAGTTGACGAAGACAAGCAGCGGGCTGCTGCAGCCTTGGCGGGTGGCCTGCCAGTAACCGTCCGAGCTCATGGAGTTCAGAGAGATAGGGGGAAGGAGGGAGAGGCGACACTGGCCTAGGGGACATTTGGCTGGGAACTGGGTCTTGCAATGTGTGTGCACCTGGCAAAGAATTCCAACATAAAAATTGTACTAATTTTCAATGTTGAACGAAGAAATTCACTGGTGTGGGGTTTGTACCTGGGACCTCCAGATTGCCGTTCCAGTGCTCTACCAACTGAGCTATCCAACCCTAGGCACCTCCAATCCTGTAGGCGCAGGACGCTACCACAGGTCTTATCACACACTGCACACTTGGCACTGACTGGTAGGTTACTACTAATCAACAACTCACCATGGCCTTACACCATAGGCACCTCCAATCCTGTAGGCGCAGGACGCTACCACAGGTCTTATCACACACTACACACTTGGCACTGACTGGTAGGTTACTACAAATCAACAACTCACCATGGCCTTACACCATAGGCACCTCCAATCCTGTAGGCGCAGGACGCTACCACAGGTCTTATCACACACTACACACTTGGCACTGACTGGTAGGTTACTACAAATCAACAACTCACCATGGCCTTACACCATAGGCACCTCCAATCCTGTAGGCGCAGGACGCTACCACAGGTCTTATCACACACTACACACTTGGCACTGACTGGTAGGTTACTATAATCAACAACTCACCATGGCCTTACACCATAGGCACCTCCAATCCTGTAGGCGCAGGACGCTACCACAGGTCTTATCACACACTACACACTTGGCACTGACTGGTAGGTTACTACAAATCAACAACTCACCATGGCCTTACACCATAGGCACCTCCAATCCTGTAGGCGCAGGATGCTACCACAGGTCTTATCACACACTACACACTTGGCACTGACTGGTAGGTTACTACAAATGAACAACTCACCATGGCCTTACACCATAGGCACCTCCAATCCTGTAGGCGCAGGACGCTACCACAGGTCTTATCACACACTACACACTTGGCACTGACTGGTAGGTTACTACAATGAACAACTCACCATGGCCTTACACCATAGGCACCTCCAATCCTGTAGGCGCAGGACGCTACCACAGGTCTTATCACACACTACACACTTGGCACTGACTGGTAGGTTAACCACAAATCAACAACTCACCATGGCCTTACACCATAGGCACCTCCAATCCTGTAGGCGCAGGACGCTACCACAGGTCTTATCACACACTACACACTTGGCACTGACTGGTAGGTTACTACTAATCAACAACTCACCATGGCCTTACACCATAGGCACCTCCAATCCTGTAGGCGCAGGACGCTACCACAGGTCTTATCACACACTACACACTTGGCACTGACTGGTAGGTTACTACAAATCAACAACTCACCATGGCCTTACACCATAGGCACCTCCAATCCTGTAGGCGCAGGACGCTACCACAGGTCTTATCACACACTACACACTTGGCACTGACTGGTAGGTTACTACAAATCAACAACTCACCATGGCCTTACACCATAGGCACCTCCAATCCTGTAGGCGCAGGACGCTACCACAGGTCTTATCACACACTACACACTTGGCACTGACTGGTAGGTTACTACTAATCAACAACTCACCATGGCCTTACACCATAGGCACCTCCAATCCTGTAGGCGCAGGACGCTACCACAGGTCTTATCACACACTACACACTTGGCACTGACTGGTAGGTTACTACAAATCAACAACTCACCATGGCCTTACACCATAGGCACCTCCAATCCTGTAGGCGCAGGACGCTACCACAGGTCTTATCACACACTACACACTTGGCACTGACTGGTAGGTTACTATAATCAACAACTCACCATGGCCTTACACCATAGGCACCTCCAATCCTGTAGGCGCAGGACGCTACCACAGGTCTTATCACACACTACACACTTGGCACTGACTGGTAGGTTACTACAAATCAACAACTCACCATGGCCTTACACCATAGGCACCTCCAATCCTGTAGGCGCAGGATGCTACCACAGGTCTTATCACACACTACACACTTGGCACTGACTGGTAGGTTACTACAAATCAACAACTCACCATGGCCTTACACCATAGGCACCTCCAATCCTGTAGGCGCAGGACGCTACCACAGGTCTTATCACACACTACACACTTGGCACTGACTGGTAGGTTACTACAATGAACAACTCACCATGGCCTTACACCATAGGCACCTCCAATCCTGTAGGCGCAGGACGCTACCACAGGTCTTATCACACACTACACACTTGGCACTGACTGGTAGGTTAACCACAAATCAACAACTCACCATGGCCTTACACCATAGGCACCTCCAATCCTGTAGGCGCAGGACGCTACCACAGGTCTTATCACACACTACACACTTGGCACTGACTGGTAGGTTACTACTAATCAACAACTCACCATGGCCTTACACCAAAGGCACCTCCAATCCTGTAGGCGCAGGACGCTACCACAGGTCTTATCACACACTACACACTTGGCACTGACTGGTAGGTTACTACAAATCAACAACTCACCATGGCCTTACACCATAGGCACCTCCAATCCTGTAGGCGCAGGACGCTACCACAGGTCTTATCACACACTACACACTTGGCACTGACTGGTAGGTTACTACAAATCAACAACTCACCATGGCCTTACACCATAGGCACCTCCAATCCTGTAGGCGCAGGACGCTACCACAGGTCTTATCACACACTACACACTTGGCACTGACTGGTAGGTTACTACTAATCAACAACTCACCATGGCCTTACACCATAGGCACCTCCAATCCTGTAGGCGCAGGACGCTACCACAGGTCTTATCACACACTACACACTTGGCACTGACTGGTAGGTTACCCTCGAGCCACTGATGAGGGGTGGAAATCTGGAAACAAAGTTAAAATTTAGACTCATCAATTGTTGGAGATCAAATGGGTTAAAGTTTGGAAATGTCACAATGCAATCATGTTATAGGGAAAGGATAACAAATTGCAGCTATATCAATATATGACATAAAGATGCCTCGTCTACTCATAACATGTACTTGGTCATGCCATAGGTACACTATCAAAAAGTATAAGTTTTTGAGAAATTGGCATTTTCTGGTAAAAACAGAAGAACAAAATTAGCATTTAATGGAAACATGGAATTGATGCAGCGTTCTTCATTTCTTCATCTTGTGCTTCATGAATCTGTCACCCCCATGAAACACACTGTAATCCTTCAGTGATTGAACGATGACTGCGTGTTCGCCTCCGCAAACCAATCAATATTCATGTCATGAATGGCAAGCGAGCCCACTCAGGGGAAATCCCCAATATCAGATTCTTCCAAGAAGCTTGGACTTCTATGGCCACTTTCTTGACTTCAAGCACTTCAACAAGGAATCATCATCAGGCAGTATATGAGCAACGGGTGCTGACAGATTTAGTTCACACACCCATCAGTCTGAATTGGTTTCTAATCAAATCAACGAAGGGTTTGGGCACTTCAATCATCATTGCCATCATCATTTTTCTGTCTGTCGACTATCACTAGTGCTGAAGACGGACAGAACACCCTTCTCAAGCACATACCCCCCTTTAACCCCCCCCAAAAAAAAAAGGGGGGGGGAGAACCAATAGGAAAGTCCGACAGATCTCCTGTTTTCATCTTTTATCAGTTGCTTGACAAGATTGCATCCGCGTCAAGGAATACCTCTTAAAAAGGTCAAGCTACAAATAATGCTCAGCTGTCGACTGAAATTACATTTCTTGGAATCTGCAAGTCGGATGCGGGGAGGACAAATATGCAGTGTATTTCTGGTTTGGATTAGATGAGCATTTTAAGCATCCAACAGGGGTTGAAAGTGGGTCTTAGGCTGTTGACTGACCCAAAAATGCCTTGAAATAGATCTACGAAACAAGACGTAGTTTTCTGAAGTCAAGGGAACTAAATCTGCTCAGGATTGGTTACCATAGGCCAAAGCTTTGCCTGGTGACAATTTGAGGAATTCTGATAAACAACTTGGCATTTTTTTTAACCAAGATTTTTGCACCCTGTAACCTCCCTCACTCCACTGATAATATACTGAGATTTAGAAGTAATCGGGAAAGGAAATTGACACCTTCCCACATGCAAAACAACAGCGCAGTCTTATGTCTTGAAGGTACAAACAGCTATTGACTCCCCTGACACATCTTGCCTGACACATTTTCCCATTAATGCCAGATGTCAATGCACAACATTATTGAATAACAGTGAGTGTTCAGTTGCACCATGTGACAAATCTCTTTTGTGGGTTTGTTAAGTTCTAAAAAGAAAGGGGGGGGGGGGGAAGCGTCTCAAACTTGCAAGAGAGATTTGACACATGGTGCCACTGCAATCTTACTCTTACTGCTTACTTCAACATGCAGACCTTCAAATCTTATCCAAATTATTGAATGGCAACAAAGGTAATACAGTAATCATTAAGAATCATTTGAATGTTTCAACCAAGTGAATATAATTACACACATTCGCACATGTTAAAGGATTTGACATTCCGGAAGCGGAACAAGGAACCATGTTGTTAAAATGTGACCCAAGTCAGGAGGATGAATTCCCTTGAAGCCAAAGACAGAAGTCGAGGTTAAGAATCCTCAAGAAATACAGAGGGGCTACCTCCCTGAAACGGAATGTTTCAAGCTGAGGAGGTTTCCGTTAGGAGTGAAGACTCTTGTGGAGAGGACACGTCGCATGCTGAGATTAAAAATTCATCTGCAAATGCTCGTGCCAATTTAAAGCGACCGCATTTGCCTGCATTTCTTTCCTTCGATTCACATCCAACCTTTTTTTTGACAAATTTTGCTTGTCAATTATTCTTCATATAACTCACGGATTCTCTTTCATATCTCCAATTTTATATTAAAAAAAAGTAGGCCGCTCTAAACTTTTCCTTTCTGATACTGGAAAGAGCTTTATACAAAATTCAAACATCTCCTGTGTCAGTGCAATCAATCAAAAGATAATAATGTGTTGAGCCTCCTGTCATCAAAATTTAAGAACTGTCTCCGATCAAATACAGCCAAAATTCCTCATCCTAAAATATTGATTACATGTAGGCTCAAAAAATCCCTGAAACGTGTTTGTCATGACAAAGGCATTAGATGGTGTCAAAAGGGCCCTTTCAACTGCTGAGGGAAATTTGATTATGAATGTTTTAAGAAGTCATTATGGCTTTGAATCCATCAGTCGCATGTATGTATTCATCTCGTGACGTCAATGCCACGTTTTGGCCCCCAGCATGTGGTCACGTTGCTTAACACGAGCATGTTTTCCATCATAGAAACTTACAAGAATTTACTTTAAAAAAAAACTTACAAAAACAACTCAGAATGACGTTGCCTGAGATTTTGTTGGCTTTACATGTACAAGTTCTTACCCCCTTTGAAATAAGCAACACTTTTTAACGTTATTGTCAACATTTTCCCCCAAATCCCTTGTTCTCTTTTGTTTCTACTAAAAAATCAACAGAAATTTAATATGCTCCAGATTTTTCCCTAGAAGACATTTCCCTAAATTTGTTAAAACGATATTCCAGGAAAATAACATTTTGTGTTTAACTTACGTTTCCGGAACTGAGTAAAGTACGCAAAGTGTGCTCCCTTGAAAGATGGTATTAATTCAGGAGAGCAATATTAAATTTAATATATGCGGCGGCCTTACAAAATGAAAACAGGCACTCCAAAATGAAAAGCATAACAGGGCATCTTAATAAACCAACGTTGTTTGTATTGAAATTTCTATTAAAGCACTCCAGGGAACAGCACCAAAGGATGAAAGACAAAAAGATGGTAAGGGGGCTATCACGCTCCGACGGGATCATTGCACGTCACGAGACAGCGTCCCTATCATCAGGCTTTAGTAGAATGAGACGGGTAGTGAGGTAGTGATGGTAGCAAAAATATTTACAACAGCATGCAGAAAAGCTTTAAACTGACAGTTTGCATAGAAATTCAGATTAATGCAGAAACTTTCTTTTTTGTTTTTTGCTCTCTCTTTTTTAAACAAGGGGGGGGGGAATCCACTTGTGCTGAGAAAATTGGTATTTGGAAAATGTGATTACTGGCTTTTCGACAACAAAATTCTGTGTGTGCAAGACGACACGCTTTCTTAGAATGCAAACGGCAGAAGTGGCATATCAGAAAGACAATCTCCACAGACAGCATTTTTATTGACTCAGTCAGTGTCTTGCTACACTGCTGATGACCAATTGACAGACGACATGCCAACAGTATGATGCCACAGGAAGTGGGCCAAAACCCACGGGAGGTTTAAGCTGAATATAGCTCCACGAGAGTCCTGTAAGTAAGAGCATGGTAAGAGCGATTTTTTTTTGGGGGGGGGGGGTTTAGTACAACTGCTCACGGTTAAGATGATGGATCAGGAATGGTAATAGGGGGACTGTATGGGAAGTAATTTATTGCGTATTTGAGGCAAGTGGATATATGAACTTACTTTACCGAGTATTTTGGGATGTTTTCCCGGATGTGTGCAAATATTTGTCAGGGCAGTGTTCTAGCGCTGTTTTGAACGGTCGACTTAAAATTTCACTGAATATTTTCCAAATTCTTGAAATACTGTACTTTATTTGTCTCCGGCTGTAGTTGTCTCCATTTTGAGGCCATTTTTGAGGATGTACACTCTTCTTACTATTCTTTTTTTTAAATTTGTTGCTTAATCTGAAGACTAAGCTATTTCATTTGATGCAGTAACTGATTATCGTGAAACTTAAGTGGGCCTAAAGGCTCTCAAGTTAAAAAAAACAACCAAGTATCTCCTTTTGTGATAAACAAACTTCTTAAGTCTTCCAGACAAGCTTGGTTAAGTCTGCCGATAAGAACCCTAAATATAGTGAAAGTGATTACCGGCCAGACGGGCACTTGAGAGTAAGGATTTGTGTCTGAGCTGGTGAGTATGTTTTTTGTTCAATTTGCTGCATTACGTTGCGACTGTTTCATGTATGCTGTCTTCTCCGTTATGATGGCTTGATAACATCTAAAAGGAGTTCTAAATGTTTAAAAAACAAATGAATAAATAAAGAAAAAGAAGTGTGTTCACCCTGGCAGTAAAGTACAGGCAGGGTCATTGGGGATTATGTAGCATAGAATGAACGAGTGACATCAGTCTATTGCATCAATGCACACCTAAATCAGTCAAATAAAAAAAAAACATATCGGTAAGGCCAAAAATAATAATAAGTCGGTCTCTGGTCAGCGCGCGCGTCGATTTTAATCATGCGCGTCAATCTTCTTTTTTTTTCCAAAATGTACCTCTATTGCTGCACCTCCTCAATTTTTTCTACCAAAGAGCACCAAGGAATGGGAAATTGCACCAAGGCAAATGATCGAAAGCACCAAGGCAAATTATGGAGGACACCAATATACATGAGGACACAAAAAAGCAAAATAGTACCCCACCTTGTCTGTACAATCCAAGCTTGAAGAAAAAAAAAAAAAAAAGTAAAAAAAAAAAAAAAAAAAAAGGCCGCATCGCCGCGTCAATTCCGGAACTTTGGTCTGACCAGAGACCGAATATTTTTTTTTTTTGGCCTAACAGAGCCTGATTTCAAACTTCACACAGCATTTTTTGTACCCTTTGTTCAATCAAAGATTTGATATTTTGCGAGAAAGTTACATCAAATTCCTAAATTGGTAACACTTAAGTAAGGAATACCGTAAGCCATAAACCTCTGTGGCTAAACAAGAAGTAAGATGTGTTGGGGATATTGGGGGAAATACTCTTTTCTTAAGCGTACGGTTGAATGGTGTATAACCATTCCTTAAAAAAAAGTTCCCCTGAAAGTTGTTTATGTACCTTTCATTTGTGAAGTGTTTATTACTTTAAGCAGGAATGCATCTTATACTTATCTGTATAAATGTTTTTATGCCACTTGAGCTAATCTAAGTGGGTAATACATGTAAACACATGTGCAACACGGCACAGTGGTTCAAAAACGTGACTAGCTCAAGTAGTTGACGGTCAACTACATGTACATGTACACGTGTATAAAACACGTGTTTTTATCCATCAACAACTTTATACTTAAAGGGGCCCATAAAATGAATTTTTCTTATGAACTTATTTTGTGCACCTTTCTAATCTCTTTTTGGTTTATTTGATTGAAAAGTGCACTTCTTTAAACATTCTAAATTGTCCATGCTAAATTGTCATTTCAGGAAGACACTGTTAAGTTTAGGGGTTTTCTGTTCAGAGTAGTACATGTACTACTATCAGTAGTAAAAGATCACAAAATATACGTAGATGCACTTCCATTCGATCTCTAAATCTGGCTTTTTTCATTTTGAACTCTGGATCCATTCTTCTACGAGACCCTATCACATACGTGCATAGAGTTATTTTTAGACACAGCTTCGATAGCCATTCCACGCCCAACCTTGCTTTCAAATTTGCAGTCTCCGATGTCAGTCCATTACTGAGAATTACATCCGTCTTGGCTACTGAGAAAGTCCTCCATCTTTCATCAGGTAAATTTAATAATACGGCAAGATGCAAATCTCAAATTGATTTTCTCTTTCAAGGAAACTGTCTTTCCTTTCAACCAGGAAATCTTTCTTGCTAATACCCCTGAGTGGATATGGAGACGTGATTCTGGTCACGATAAATTCACGACGCCACTACCTACTATGTAATTAATAGGAGTGCGTGTGTGTGTAGTTCAACTGATCATAAAGTGCATTGAATGATGATCTGAGGGAAATGTGTGAACAGACTGTGTGTACTGAAGGGGGTGGGGCAAGGAGCTTGGGAATGGGGGGGGGGGTTGGAAGAATAACTGACCACCCCTCTTTCCTTAGTTATTTATATGTTCATTTTGCAAAAAAATTCTAAAATTCCTTTCATAAAAAAAATTCATAAACTCTTGCAAATCGTAGTTCACTACTTTAATAAAGCCTTTTGGCTTAGTACATGTTAGTGTTGACTTCAACACCTAAACTGCACTCAGTACCCCTCCAAAAAATAAAATAAAAAAATTAAGCCCATTTCAAATTTTCTCAGGCTTGGTTACGGGGTGCAAATCCTTCAATATTTCCCCCAACACAACATCCAATTCATAGAAAAACCTACCAAAAAATGATTTTCTTTAATGCTTATTTGTCGTGGTCAAGCTTAGCTAATTTCAAAACTTTTTCTTTCTACAATAGTCGAAAACTTGACCAGCTGCAACATTCATTTTCATATCTGAACTCCAGTGACAGCAATTTTGTCCTTTTTCCAGCCAAGGTTAAACTCAATGAGCACGTAGACCATATCAGCATCCTCTCAAACAGTCAGCTGTTTGGACTCATCTTGAGTGCTGCTTCAAAGCTGAGGAACGCATCCAATGGATTATAAAACCCATCCTTCAAGTCATAACTTTTCTGATGAGCTGCGCAACTGTCTAAGAAATTTCTTTGAGTATTCCATCTCGGAGACCCAAGGCCAGATACCGGTGTCGAGCACGATAAGAAATCTTTGAAAATAATGGAATGCTTACAGCTGCAAGATGTAGAGATCGTCAACTACGCGATTAAAAACTGAAATGAAAAGGGAGGAGACAGTTTATAGTTGTTCACCAAGGCTGGAAGGAAGACTATCAGATGCCGTGGTATTTTTATTGACCTTGGGTTGACCTCGATGCATACATCATCTGTTGTTGCTATGCCGATCGAGAGCAGACAGGGAAACAAAGCTGTTACAGAGCCTTGAAGAGGATTTCAATTTGATGAAGAAAGGAAAATTTAACGTGGGCCCTAAAATGTTTTTCAAGAGCATACGATTCCAGATGATAGTCTGAAAATTCAGGTATTTTCATGAAATGCTGCATTTACAATGTACATGTAATCTCCTCTTGCACTCAAGAAATCTACTGAAAGATTAATTCACCTTTTTTTCTTAAAATACGAGGAAATAGTTTTACTCAATGTTACAATGTACATGTACTTACTGTTCCATCGTCTTCTTCAATGATATCTTTGCCCACTGATGCCAACGTCGTCCATTTGCAGTTGTTTTGGGCACGGACCGCACAGCGTTTGTGGGCTTTAAATTTGCATACTGAGGCAAAAACAAAAAGAAAAAGACTAAAAAGCTGACGCAAGTCATTATTTTAAAAAGATTTATAGTCTTTAAACTTACTTTCTACACAAGGCTAATGAGTGAACTTCAAAATTGTGCTTCCACTGAAAAAAATATAAAACTTTTTGAAAGCGATCAGCAGTCACCAGTGCCCTTTGATATGGGGGGGGGGGAGTTACAAGCGAGGGGTTTATAAACACTCCAATGTAGAACTGGTCATGCGAAGTACGTAGGTGACACAGCGCCCCCTACTGTTCCTGTTGGGAGAGGATACGTACCTTCACAAGAAAGCCCGTGTGATGTAACGCCAGACAGAGCTTCCCTACACACATTGCAGTACGTAGGCCGGGCGTGTGAGCAGGCATACCAGTTGTGCATCCCGGATAGCATGTCACGCATGTGCTCTCCTTCCTAAAAGAAACAAAATTTTTAAAAAGTACACATTAATCACAGAAAAAAATCAGATCTTGGTAAAAATGTCCCTGCGACAGTCCAATATCGAACAAGTACCGATCGTTTCCCATGTTTATTCCAAACCAGGTTAAAATTGACTGATTTGGGAGCTATCCAGTTCTTGACAATTTTCAGTGTGAACGTCATATATTGTAGACTGGCAGAGAGTTTGGCCTTCATCTACCAATCTTTTCAAAACCCAAATAATCGATTCACAGAAATTACATTACAGTATTTTAACTATACATACAGTTACACATACATGTACCGCGTACATACTTTTTGTATAATACATTGTAACTGGATCATATGTAGTAAAATTTGATCTCAAGTAATATCACTGAACGCCGCAATCAGAGTTTTTCCGCAAATTGCAATTGCCACTTTTTGCCACTTTTCTCCTTCCTTCATCTTGAGAAACCTTTTCGCAGATGACGGAAAAATATCGCTAGAAGGCCAATTTACAAAATAAGATAGAACATAAACAGCAACTGTAAAACTATCCTTTAAAAGGTCGTGACTATCAAACAGTAATGGATGTCCTCTGTCCACGGAGCGCGGAAGAAAAAAAAAGAAGAAAATCTCTTTGTAATTTTATCCCTGCGTCCTAATGAACAAGAGACCCGTGTGCTTTTACATTGTAAGGATGAGTGAATCCAGGACACTGAAAGATTCGCTTGCTGGATAAATAGGCCGTGTAATACCATGTTGCTTGACTTACAGATGGGGCACGGTAAAGGTCCTTAGAAATGTCAAATGATGTACTGATAGAGGCACTTTAGTGTGTGATTGCCGGCCCGATAAAGAATAAAGAAGAAATATGTAGTACACAATGGGTACGATACATGTACAGACAGAAGACTAGCATATTTGAGAGCTCAGGGGTTTGTTAATTTTTGTAGTAATAATAATAACAGGTTCTTATACCGGTATAGCGCTTTTTAACTAAGATCATAAGCACTTTACATTATCATGATTATTATTACCCCCAATCATTGGGACAATTAAACATTCCAAATACCATCTCAGCTCCCTGGGGAGTACACAGCTGGGGGGGGGGGGGGGGGGTGCTGCCTGTTAGGCACAAGGTTACATCACCAAGGTTTGTGTTTTCATTTTGCACATGCTCTTGCGCGTGCCGAAAGGAAACACGCTGAAGTTTAAAGCGTAGCAATACACTGCTTATGTATCCTACAATCGTAGCGATATTTATACATTTTTACCATTCAGGGTGTAATTATGCACGTAGCCCACAGCCAGCTCTGACTACAAGTCACAAATCACCAAGTTATTTCACTGTGTCTGGGCCGCTGTTTATTTCATACTGTCACGGGATGGCCATAAAAATGAACGATAGTAATCGTTAGAAAACTTGAGATGGTATCTCTTTTGGCGATCACACCACTGCATTCCTACACACGCTCTATCTCAAGAGGGATAAGATGGATTTCTGACGGCCTTTCTGCTAAACTGACAGAGACATATGATCAACTGGATAAACTACTGCTGCAAGTATGCGGCAAGGTCATCTATGTTCACATCAAAGACGAAAATGTGAAACATCACTCAATCTACGTATCGAAAAAAAAATGTACAAGCTCCCAAATTTTTGTGGTTGCTATTTAGCCACTGCTGGTTGCTATTTAATTGTTAAATTGATTCAAGATTCACCACAGTACTGAAATCATCGACATTCCAAACACAAATTGCATCCTGAGAATATTCATCTTGGAATGACAACATGCGTCAGGTATTTTTCCTTAAGCTATCCCGACATTATTCTTTACGTCTTTTGAAAATTGAAAAAAGAAATTGACTCATTCCTAAGACTCTTCCAATGTGTACACGTATGCAAACATGTATAATTTATCACAAAATATGGCAAAATGAATGAGAACAGAAATGTATCATTTCTTTCTGGAACAAATGGGGATATTTAACGAGAAGATTTTTTGAAGACAACTGTTTAATAATAACATGATTTGACAGATTTTAAATCTACAAAAATATTATATACAGGCACAACGAAGTTCAAGCCAAACAGAATTATTACAAATACAAATTACTTTACCGCCATAACTGTCAGGCCCAAGGCTGATGATCTTTCACGAAATAATCAAGAATGTCTCCCGTAGTTTCGTACAAAAATTGTTTATGTCTGCAAAGCCACACCTTGATTCATGCCTCAAAACACCACCTGCGGGTTTAGCTGTGGCAGAAAATCAACATTACTGCATCCACGCCGACGCTGAGTCGTTACACTGACCAATAATCAAATTTACAAGACCCTCCTTGCTTGCAAGCCCCACCGAACCTCTTCAAGTCGCAAGCCTCGCACGTGACGGTCCTTTCAGAGATCTTGATTTACCCAACGGCGGATCCAGCTGGCGGCGATGCCACGACAAAAGACTAGGATCAATATTCTTTTGTTTTTAAGAGGCTGTCCACTGAACTCGTTGACGTCAAAACCCTTTTCTTGATTCAATCAACGCAACGCAAATACCCGCACGTGCCAGGAAGACTTAGGTAAACCCAAGAAAACAATTTCCTCTGAACTGCTCTCCCCATTGTTAGTTCAGTCCCAGATTTTACTAGCCAGCGGAGCATTAATTGCCCACTGGGTTGTGTAATCAGCGTGTAATATTGTTCAATTACAGGTTTTTTGTCTGGCACTTTACGGTCTTGTTTGGCATTAATGGACAAAAGCGAGGCATGAGCTTTCACACTGTAACACAATTACTGTTACAAGGTTTTGCGATGTTGTGTAAGTCTTGGGCATTGTTGTGTAAGTCTTGGGCCACTTCAAAATAAAATACTGATTGTAGTTTGATCAACTTTCCAAAACTAAATTAGGGCTTTTCTTTGTCCTTACTGGCTGTGTTTGCTGCTAATTAATACAAACTTTTCATTGCAGAAATTTGTGAAAATTCCTGTAGAACATGTAATACAAATCTTACAATACATTTATTATCACCTTTATAAATAGGTTTTTTTTTGGGGGGGGAGGCTGATCAACACAAGCTTTTTCATTATCAGAATAATCTATTAAATCTGCATTATCAACAAAATAGATTGTTTTTTCTGCAAAGGTTGATTTTTCAGCTGCAATTGTTGAAATAAAGGTACGTTTGTATTCGAACAAGTACACAGTCATTTAATTCAAGAACAAATACTCTACACAGAATGACCACGGGGCAGAATAATAGAAATTTCCAAAGCCTAAACGTTTCAATCATATTTACACAAGTGAGGACCTATATACATGTAAGTGTTTGCTTGCTACAGACTGGATTATTTTTCCAAACCAAAATGTGACTAGAATGAATGGTTTGGCTTTGAACACAAACACATGCTTTCAAATAACAACAATTCACAGGGTAACAAAACAGAATGCTGCCTTTCCAATAACATTACTTTCTTTAAAAAAAAATGCATGTTGGGTGGCGTGTACAACTTGTTTGTCAATATCAATTTGATTACTTTGATGGAAGAAAAGAAGAAAAAAACCAATACTGCTCCTCGGAAAAGTCATCTGCAACCAAAAAATCCCAAACCCACCCCAAGAAACCCTGAAAACCAAAGCAGTGATGTTGTGAATGCGTACATGATGATTTCAGTTCAAAACAAATCTGAGAATAACATTATTTCATGACGCTTCTTCTGACTGACTCTGCAATTAAAATTGAATGGCTTCCTGGCCCACACGTGTTTACCTAATTTAGCTCTCTTCGGGGCAGTAGTTTCAAATCTAATGGCATTACTGGCCTTGTGCATTGGTTTCAGAGGTAAAGACAAAAGAGATTGAAATTAATTATCAAGTGGGGGGGGGGGGGTAACAATCATTTGACTGGGACACACTGGGAGAGGTGCAGTGAGCAAGTGGGATGCAGTATCCATGGATACCCATTACTGGCAGTGATGGTGGTTGTCATGGTGATGAGGCATCTTATCTCATTTTTCATTGGTCGGTCTTCAAAGAAAGGCAAAGTGAATGTAGTATCAAGAAGCATACATGGCAGACTGGTGAAACTGATCCAGGAAACTTGTTTTCTATATCTCTTCAGAGTATTTTTATGAATTTAAGTTACCACTTGCCACTGAACATTTCTGGCTATAGAAGAAAAATGCATCTAAACGCCACATCATATATGTGTCAGGGGCATAGCCCATCACTATTTCTCCAACTTCGCTGTATTATTAATTTCTTTTACATTTGGTGGATTTCCGTAAAAATTCAGATGGATTTTTTTTTTATTGTTGATATTTGACCCCTTCTTCATTTGTGATTCTCGGTCAAGGTGCATGTAGAATTTAAACAAAAAATGTTTGGACAGACATGTGACAACGAACGTCATAAACGGAATTAGATTGCTTATTTAATTAGGCTGCTCACTCAACCAGTTCAAATCGTTTCAAGTTATAACTGCTACTTACAAAATGTATATACTTTTCCAGACAACAAAATTAATCAGTCGGCATCCTTGGAAATACAGGAAGAGCCTAAATGACAGGGCGGGTGAATAAAACACGACATGATGAATTCCACACGTCTCCTAAGCATTGGCCTTCCCTAGCTCTGTGCCTAGACCATAAAGTACACGTAGATGATGTCTACATGTGTACAGCACTAGGTAGAGAAGGAATGGCGTATAGTATGCAGGGTGTCGATGATTCTTGCGTATTTAACCCCCTGGAGGGTCAAGTGATTCATTTACAATTACATACCTGCTCAGCATTTTTGGGTTACACTGCGGTAGTGTAAGTATATTCTTCAAATCTGAAATTTCTTTATTCATGAAATAATTTCGTCTCTCACTGCCTACATTCTATCTGATTTTTTTTTTTCAAGGAGTGAGAAGAGAATATTGTTTTACACCGGAAATTCTTTACTGACATAAAGAAATGTTTTTAAAACTATTTAGGTAGTACATGAGCCAGTCAATGATTGAACGCATGTCTTTAACAATTTGGAATTGTGAATTCTATAAATCGTAGATATTTTTCCAAATTACTTTGAGGTCATCTACCGGTATAATGACTAGTTTATTCCACGGCATAAATCCGAATTGTACTACTTATTCGAGGGTTAATACACACACGTATTTCATCTACAAAATCCATTTGTCTTTAAATAAATTAATCAATATTGAACTTTGGTTTAGAAATCTGACTTGATTCAATTTACTGATCAATACCTAATATCAATCAAAGACTACACACCATACCGGTATATCATATAAGCCAGATCATTGAGTGTTACCATACAAGACATACAGTCGAGAATTTCTATACACCCGAGGACAATGCTTTGTGTTTCCTATTGTCCCTGTAATATAACACTCTCCCATAGACTAAGCACATAACTGTACGATCAAGGACCGTTTTCAACAAAAGACCCAACGCTTGAGGACTGAAAGGAATTTTGTCCTCCCTTTGTGTGTCTGTCCTCTATCGTACTGACATGATGTATCGCACACTGATCAAAAAGAAATACCAAGTTCTGTTGTCGAGTTAGAGCCCCGCGTAGCGCCATAGCAAATTCAAATTTTCTCCACAAAAACTTACCGTCTTGCCCGAGTCTGTGTTATCACTGTCGGTTCCCTCCATGCTGGACTCTTACACTACAAAGATACTAAGCCTAAGAGAGAGTACAGCCGAATCCTAGTCAATGGAAGCACTTTGCTGTCAACTGTGAGAAATTCAGTGATGAACTAACCGCACATCACACGTGAGCAGTACATGAATAGTATCTGGAGTCAATGACAGCCTAGTTACTGTCTGCCCGATGTCTTACGTGTCCAGGTTTTTGTAAACGAAGATGGCAGTGTTGGTGATGATAGTGAGGGAGGAGGGGGGGGGGGTGTAATTAGATTGATATTTGGATCAGTCCATTAGTGTGGCGGGGTAGTGTGGGCGTATTGGCAAGGGTTAATGGCATTGTGGTTCATTGCCTTGTGGTTTTGTGAAAAGAACGTACCGGTATCATATCCAAACAAATGGAATTATCCAAGCTGTACTCCTTTCATGGCTATACATGGACATGCATGCATTAATTTTTATCACTTTTTTGTATCAGTATGTATTTCCATATGCACAAAAATGTTTAAAATCTGTTTGGGACAAAATGTCTAAAATTCACACAATAAGGAATATGCAGAAATCTGAAGCAGCAAATGAATGGCGCTGTTGTGCAGCATTCAGACATTTCCTCAAAAAAGAAAGAAAAAGGATAAGAACATTTTGGGCATTATAGTGAACATACGAAACAAGATGAGACAGTTTCTATTGCACCTTTGAGTTGAGAGGCCACTTAGCTGTCGTAATGATTGTGACGCAAGTCTCGTATTCCTACGTAGTCACTTAACCTTGTTAGAGCCAGAACCAACTCGTCAACTTTCCCACGCAAACATCATCAACGTAATATCCAACAGCATCCTGTTTCATCCGGCCTGAATCCCTCGGGCGATGGAGCTTTACATAATGCCATGCTCAACCACTAATTGTAGATTTCACTGTGACTCCATAAAGTTATTATTAGAAGGAAGGCGTCAGTAAGAAAAAAACAAAGCAACCTCGCTTGTTTGACCCTTACAACAAAACAAAACAACACGTTTGTCAAAGCTCCTTGTCAATGTTCTCCGCGACTGCAGTCTTGAGGGAAACATGAGATCGATAAAAAAAATCTTTGAAGCCAGAGCATCATCGTAGCAAAACTTCTCATGTGCCTTGGTGGCAATCAAACCCCTGTTTGCCAAGTCTGAGCTCTTCAAGGAACAGAGAAAACAAACAAACAAACAAACAAACAATAACTCCACAAACAAACAGCTGTCTTACCTCGTAAAAGTCTCTGTTAGCCACTGACTTGAAGGCACTGATCCATTCCTCCATGTCTTTGCGTGTATCCGTGCAGAGGATTAAGGTACGGAATGGCGTGATGACCTAAAATCAAACCATTCAGTTCACATCATTAACAGGTAATCAAAATACGTCATAGAAAAGAGTCAGAGAAAAAATGGAGTGCTGGAACATTACTGGACACTTTTTGCCCAGAAATCAATGTTGTATTTGAGTACTGTTTCAAAATTGTACTCCTTTAACTAAGAAATGCTCACCTTAATTAACTCAACATTAAGAACAGGTGTGATCTACCGTACGTGAAAGCGTGGTTCAACCTCATTCCTGGCTTCTACTTCTAACTGCCAGTTAAAAATAGCGTGGACCATTTGCAGAGTGGAGCTATCCAAAAAGTAGCTGACCAAATTATTGTTGAAAAGCGTACTTGGTTTAAAGGTAGTAATTGAACTTAACTCCCTGTGAAATTACTCTTTCTGGCATGCTGTTACTTTGAAGAAAACTATTAAAAAAAGGCCACTTCCAAAGATGTGTCAAGTGACACATATTTGGATATTTCCATTAGTACATGTAGTTGGTTTGTAATTGGGCAAATCCATGAATGGGTACGTGCAAGCATTGAAACGACGCACACGCAGTTACACAATGTACTACATGTACCAGTATGTATTATTCCTTGGTGCAGTGCGTGACATCGTGTGGCTGCAATCGCCTGAATGAGAATGTGGTCCGAATGCTGATTTTTGGGCACATTTCAAAATATAACTCGGCAACTTTTGAATTGCAATCGAGATCCCAGAAAATTGTTTTCTTGGAATATGCAGCATTCACAGAGCTGAAACTTCACCAGGTTAGTAAGATCATCAGGTTTTTAGATTTTGAGCACTTTTGTTGCTTCAAACGAAAAAATGCACAAACGACAAACGGTCCTTTCTAAGACGATAAACCTAACTCACCCTGAAACTGTTGTTCACATTCTTGGTGCTGCTCTCTGCGACGCTGATTTCTCGCAGGTCAACTTCCTCGAAAATATGAGACTGGAAAAACAAAAACAAATTAATTGGAGAATAAAAAACAAGTATAAAACTGTAAAATACATGTATAAGGCCGAAAAAGTGACGTCATTAATGCCCTTAAATTTATAAATTAAAGTTGGTTTACGTGCAGGCAGGATTCGGTTTCATCTGGAAAAATTGAAATATAGTAATCAGGAAAACACATTTGCCTAAGGCTTACAGTCAAGGATGTAGGCACAAATTGTTTGTTTGTTCCTTCAAAATGTGTTCATTCACTTACATGTTAATTGGTAGGAAACATGTCGCCAATTTATCATACTAGCAAAATAACATTCAAGATAAAGAACACGAACAGAAAAAAATTCTTTTTGAAATTTAAATTTGAGCAAAATCAGCTGAGAGCAATATCACAAGTAATTTCAAGATTTGGTACATAATGCCAAAATCAGCCTTCAAGCCTCAATTTTCAAGCACAAAAGTCACAAAATTACAACTTTTTAAAACAAATTTAATTATAATTTAAATTTTATAATTACCTTACAATTTTTATAAAAATGTTCTTTTGTTGATTTAAAAAGAAAGTATACTATGTACCAAATATATTAGTTATGAAGAATAAATGAATAAAATTAAAAAAAATTAATAAACGAAAAAAATTCATTCAGGCTTAGAAAGTGCGTCTGCATGGTTGGATTTAATTTTTCCGCTGATGTAAATCAAGCAAAAACCTGACATCATTGAAAACTCAGAGACATATTACAAGAAAAGTGCATTTTTCCCCCCTGTGGTAGATTCATATCCAAATCTCGTCAATATTGATTTTATTCAGAGTTGCAAATTGTGAAAATAAGAAAAAGCCACCGTCGGTCACCCAGGTTCCCAACTCCCACACGAGGTGCTGTGGGAATATTTTATGCACACGTTAATTGACATGTTAATGTAATTTATTTCTGTGACCTTTACCAATGCATAAATGCAATCAATTTAAAGCCATCTCAGTATTCAAACTGCACATGTTTCTATCAAGATTCGGCAAGTTTTCACTTCAGGGAAAAACAAGCTCGATCAGAAATCCGAAGCTGTGGGCCAGAAAATGAGTGTTCACGCATGAGTCACGTGTTTGTGCCATGTACTTTTGGGAAGGAGTGTTTTGAGTAAAAACTCAGCTTTTTGACCCCAGTGACCCCATGATGACCTTTGACCCCAGTTTGGTCATGTGACATGTTGGGGCTGGGCTGCTGATACTTTTGACAAAGCTTGGACGAAATCGGTCAAAATATGTAGGAGCAATAGACAATGTCAACGTTTGTTACTAACTAACGGAGAGACATGATGATTTGTTGGGTTGCTATCCCGCAGCTAAAAAAAACCACACAGCATACAAATAAAGAATATGCGGGAAATGTAAGCAAATCTGTAATAACTTCAAAAAACACCCCTCCCCTTTTCAAATCTTAAGAGCAACAATAACATCTGGATGATCAAAATATTTGTTTTAGACAGAAATTGACAAAAATAAATCAGAAATTAAAAACAACTGATGTAACGCACGTCTTGATAATGAGGATCACATAAAGATCAACTGCTCTATCAATTCAGATTATGGGCTTAACTCATGCAAGTCTGCTGGTAAGTTTAATGCAACTGATTCTAAATTGTTGACATTTGGATAATGGGATAATCATTCAACTCAGAATCAAGTCACGTATATAGAGCAAGTAGAGAGTTAAAATTTATCAGCACACTCACTTTGCCGGGGAAACTTGAAATTCATTGTCTTTGATTTACATTTTTAAAGAGGCTTGGAAAAGGGATTAGCATTTAAATTGTAAGATTAAAGAGCACTGAAATATAATCTTTTTTATGTTTTGAATTCTTGGAATTTTCAACTCAAGTCCGTTGACACCTTCACGCTCAATGTCAAATCAAGTGATGAGATACACAGGAATCAACAATGCTCAAGAAATGCAAACATCTCTTGTATTGCTTCTCGATTGAATAAAGATGGATTTGCAATGAGAGTTTAACTGACTTGTGACTATACATGTACATGTACATGTATGTACTTGGCCTTAGCCATCCACTTTGCCCACCACACACTTCACTTACCGTGCTTTCTTTGGCATAATAAAGATTCCGCCCTTTCAGTTTGAAATACCGTCGTCTCCATCTCTGAAAAAAAAAATAGAAATTATTTTTTTTTTATTTTGAAGTATTTATTTTTGAGAGGGAGAAATTTGAAAAAGGGCACTTCTCAGGTTTGCAGCGTTGCTAATGTTGCAAGCATCGTGACTTTGGGCGTGATCCCTGGCTACAAGGCTTTGAAGGGTTTAAGGCTTCTGACTAGCGTCCCTTGATAAACACAGACGGCGACAAAATGGGAAACTGCAATTTACAAGATGCTAGAGCACTCTCAGCACTATATGGTATTTAAGAGTTTGTAGGTTAAAATCATATAGACATGTACTTTATTTCTTTATTGAATCTTATATTATTTAAAAGTGAACCTATATGTTGCTGGTTCCCTTTGAGGTTTATTTAGTGCTAAAAATGCACTAAGAAAATTTATGAAAATTTCAGGCACCCTCATAAAATAGAGAATTTTTCAAGTATCACTAATTTCAATAATTGGGAAATTGATGGAACTCAAATGCTAGAAAGCTTAGTGGTTTGACGGTATTCATGCTTCAATGTATACAAGTGTGTTTACAACACAACTTGGAATTCACGTTCTCTAGGTACTGAGATCTTGGAGTGTGCTGTCTACACAGCGCCCTCTGTTGACAGAAGTAAGCCAATCCAACAAATGCAGCTAGCACAAGATACTTGATGAAGATGCAAAGTGGAATGCTGCCCTCTATTGACACCACAATGCAACTGTTTTGCAAAGCTCTCTCTGGGAACAAAGCCAACAAATTTAAATGATACAAATTTCCCAATAAAAAGTCTATATTTATGCCTTATTGGTAATTAACCTAATAGATTAAGATACGGGTAGGCCTGTCGTATGAACAAATGTCCGTCCATCTATTACAACCATGCATCATACTCTTTAAAAAGAACACCGTATAGTTGTGTCCACAATTGGGTCATTTTTATCTACCATACATGTACGTGTATTTTGTACTGGTACCATCAACGTCAATGCCCAGTTTAGAAATGGCCCAATTATAACATCATCATGCAAGTTTACTCTCCATAATATAATCTGGCTGTGAAAACAGGGGGAAAACGCCCAAAATAAAGGGGATGTCTAAAGATTTCAGCGATTGCTGCTTGAAATTATGAATGCATTTTAGCTTGAGTAACTCCAGCTCCAATGCTCATCAGAAATTAGACATACTGTAAAGCTGGAGCTAAAACTATGTTGTAGATACCAGACTCTAAGAGTAAGAGGCTCTACAAAACGGGACTCTGTGTATCACAAAATGGTCCTTTTCCCCTCTATTACTCCCAACCCAGATTCCATTAAACATAATGATATATTTTTAATGGAATCTGGAGGGAAAAAGGACCATTTTTTTGTGATACAGATACATGAAAAGAGGGTACTGTTTTTACGGCCTCTTCGTTAGAATCTATTATCTACCTTTACAGTATACATGTAAGCTCCAGCTTGTTGAATTCCTGATGAGCATAGTAGCTGGAGTAACTCAAGCTAAAGCTGATACAACAACCAGAGATTTAAAGAAAACTTCAAAGATCCTTCAGCAAAGCAGGAGATAATCTTTACTTTTCAATGGACAGAAATTCCATTGATATATTTTAACAAATGACTCACTTGGACTGGCCAATGTCTCTGTGAAAGTCGACATACGTCAGCCATATGGTATATTTGTGTCATATTGTGGCAGACCGCCTTTGAAAATAATCTTTTCCATTTCACCACATGTCAGAAGTATCAAAATACAGTTCATCAGGAAAAAAGGACACTGCGACGTACGTACACAGGTCTGGGGGGGGGGGATGCAGGAAAACGACAATCCACGTGTTTGCGATCCAGCCGTGGAATTTGTTTTTCATGTTCCAAAGCAGGGCACATTCATTCGTGATTGGTTTTTAAGTCCGTAGACATTTATATATATCCTTTTTAAAACAGATAATCGTTTGTCTCGGATATTGCAGCTGCATGTAGGATTTGTTCAGCATCTGATGGATTTTTTTAAAACGATTTAAGTGATTCCATTTCAACGATAGCACAGCGTAAAAAATGCTGTACATTAAAAAGCTGTAAACTGTGACTTTTGATGGAATTTTGAGTCAGGCTTGTACAAATTTGTTTTTATTCCGGATTACATGAGCATGTATGCCCTTTTCTCAAGTGATGTTACGCACTGTACAGCTCCCTGCTTTCCGAGGGCTTGAGTTATAAAATGTAACAAGCAAACCTTGGGTATGACTTCCAAGAGAATGTTACAGCTGAATTGAAAATACTGTAATTTTTACAAAGTTTCTAATACTTGAATCTGCTTATTGAGTTGCCTATTATAAATATCACATCATTTTAAAAGGAAAATTAGGTTAATTGCTTCAGTTTGATAGCTTCGTAACAGGTGCTATTATCATAAAATGGGGATCATCTAATTGGCTGAAATTTTAACAAAGTTGAATGCAATTTAAATGTTTATTTCATGAGTACCGGGGGTGGGGGGAGGGTTCAACGAGAAACGTTCAACATACGTTTTATGAAACTTGTATGGTGATATCACGACACATGTACAAGGTATTAATGATGAGTGCAATGAAGAATTGCGGCGCCACAGATTTTTTATCTTTTTATGAGAGCAGCGCATATTCTCTTCATATTGCCAGCTCATTAATGTTGCATATGTGCTCAGACATTAATGTTGTTGGGGATTACAGGTCTTAATGATGGCTGTACATTTTTAATGTGATTCACAGTGGTATTCTTCAAGTTAGATGCGACAAATCGACTCGTGTTGCCAGTCAAATAATAATGACTGTAGATGGTTTTAGTAAAAAAACAAAACCCAGCTGTGCATCACACGGTAACTTCTAAAGGTCACTTTGAATTGTACTTTAACCCTTACCCTACTAGACCCTCCAACGCATGCCAATATGTGCCTCAAGAAAATCTCCTATGTTTTTTGCATGGCCCTCCAATATCTGCCATGTCATTTCAAGGGTAACTGGACAGGCATTCCAATACATGCCACAGAGAACAATGAGAGTCCTCTGATAACAATCAAGTGCCCCCAGCTGGTCAGTATCAGGCACCCTCCAGGGCCTCCAACTCCTGCCAATTGGAGCCTTCACTGCTACATCAAAGTATCCTCCAATAAACTGCAGCTGGAGGGCATTGGCATAACCAACTGACATGCAGTAAACTACCCTCAGAGAGTAAGGGTTAATACAACTTTCAAAAGTGAATTTGATGACGTCCAACATTTACTGGGATATGGACAGGATTTAAAATGCATTCAGCTTTTGTAAAATAGCGGCGTGAAAACTCGCTGTGACGTCTTTGCTGAACTCAGCTGTGCAATAGTGGCCCACCTTTACATGTACATGTATGTCAGTGCAATTTGTCAAACATTGACAAAGTGGTGGCAGCTCTTCCAATCCCTGTTTAGATATGTCCTTGAGCAAGCAACTTTACCACAATTGCTTTCACCTGACCAAGAAAATTAAATATTTTGAAAAGCTACAACATGTACATGTACATGTACAAGAAAAGGAGTAAGCGTTACTACATGTACATTGTGCATGTATGTACATAGCATCAATGTTCAGTTTCATCCATTGGAGCGTGAGAGATCGCGCCGATTCCCTTTAATCCAAAAACCAATGCTCTGCGCCGATTCGCGAGCGGAATAAAGCCGGTGCTAAATTGAGCAGAAATTGAATTACCTCAAAGGGGCCCGCGGCCTCAAACACGTATTCCTACCTCCCTTAATGCCCCGATGCTGCAATGGCGTTAGCGAGAGCGTTAATGGCCTGGCCTTCGGGTGGTTTGCTCGCCGGGGCACTACATGTAATTCATTACATTTGGCCCCGTCGGGCCAGTTGCAGTAATTTTATTTATTTGTTTATTCTTTTCATTCAATGTTAATTTGGAGTTTGGACCCGTTTAGAGGTTGCAACAAAACTGAATGTGAGTTGAAACTTGGAAATGACAGCTTCCCGAAGTCCAAGTTCCTAGAAATTCTTAAATAATTTTTATTAATGTACTCGTGCAGTAGATTAATAAAAATGTACATGTACATGTTCATGGTACATGTAACATAATGTAATAAGCGAATTCGTTATTCCAACTACACATGTGCACATCAAGATTTGCCAATTTTTCTTTCGGGATAAAAATGTCATCCTTTGCATGCAAAAGCAGCTGGGTTCCAGCAAAATCGAAGAGATCATCGTGTTCTGAAGTATAACATTTTGCAAAAAACCTTTGGACAGCAAAGCATTTTTAGGTGTCTTGTGTGTCGAAACGTTTGTGTGAATGAAAGTTCCATCTCTTTTTGATTGCACGAAAAATTGCACAGAATGCAGATTTGGTTACCACGTCCCCTGTAGCCTTGTGAATCATTTATCCATCGTTGAGTCTTGCTGTGCACCAGACTATATTGGAATACGGAACTGGCTTATTTCACATCATATATACTATGTATTCATAAGGCCATTCATTTTGTCTTGACACACAGTTCCGGTGGAGTTAAAATCGGTTGCCAAATTTTTAATTCACATACAATGTAAATGTGAATGCACGTTCACTCAAACTCAACACACTTTCTTCTACAAAAAACCCCAACATCATGAACAGGTGCTCTTAATACATGTACATTGCAAAAGGGTTTAGCTCTTACAAAATCTCTTGTGTACTGCTGCAAAGATTGTCTTCGGTACATGAGGCAACATACTGATAGCTCCACAAGTCCATTTGGAACACTGTCTTAAGTTACACAATTTTGACGCAATCTTACTTCCCTGCCACACTTGAAACAAAAACTCCTGCCCGTAGGGTAAAATCATGAAGTGGGACCAAATAATAGGCGAGTGGAAAATCCGAACAAACACACTCAAGTCGATTATAAGACTTAATATTTTGACCACGTCTCCTCTTACAAATGATTTTTTTCTCTCTCGCTGCAGCCGAGCGTTGCGCAATGAAATATGACACCCATAATGCAATACTGTCCATCATCATTCCATCCCTTCTCACTGAGTCACTGAACTCGTTTTTCTCGGAATGAAGCAGTCGGGGCAAATAAAAAAGCTGCAACGGCGGGGCTGTTTTCCTCCGGGACGGAAAAGCTCGGTAGCTCGGTGCCTTGAGTTCATCACCCGGTCATCCAAACACGATTAAAAAACATAGAAAGCCAACCGGAGAGACAAATATTAAAAGTGTCACATCGGTTTGCTGAAATTCTATTGATTGTTACACGCAAGCTGCAACACTTAAATCAACACCGTCCACCTCAACCCCCCCCCCCCTCCAAAAAAAAAAAAAAAAAAAGATTAGAATTTGTGTTTACGGGGATTTGCTTGTGTTAGAGAGTTCGGGCACTGAATGAAACTGCAGTTAGCAGGAGGCACGGAAGGGGAAGCCTGGGGATGTTGAAAGGAGACAGAGGGAAAAGAAAGAGAAGGGAAAGAAGGGGGGGGGGGTAAAGCAGAAAGTTAAAGTTCGCCACTCAAGGGGAAGAGTTGGTACATGTAAAGGTACGGGACATTTTCAAGCTGATTGCGCAAAGATTGGATGCCTCGTAGGCAATGGAAAGCAAGTGAATGCCCTGAGAATTTAGCAGTGAATGAAAACATCCACGTATTCTCCAGGGCATGACTGCCCTTAGCTGCGTGGCAATAGGTTGAGCGTCTCTTGATGTTTGGACGGCGTAATGACTACATGTTTGTGTCAAACTTGCTTCAGATCAGTTCTGTCGGCATTGTTACTGATGGGCTGTAAAGTAAGATGTCACTCACAGTACATGTACATTGTGTTGTCAATTCTTTTTTTTCATACAGCTGCTTCCAAGACTTTAGCCCCAGCTGAACAATGCTTTAATAGCAATTGTTTTGTTGGGTTTTTTTTATTGGCAGGGGCATGGTCAATTGTACACAGAATATAAGGCTTGGAACTGAAGCTAACAACCCAATCATACATGTACCACCCAAGAAATACGGTACATCTCAAAAGCAAATCAAGACTCCTTACAACAGAAGAAAATTCAAGTACATATGACAAGGACCCATCAAAATGTGACAGACAAATGCAGATCAAACTATGAAAGAGAAAATACCGGTATGAGAGAAAAACGGCTTCAGTTGTACGACATCTGTCTGGATTGGGATGAATTACTCATCAATTTGTCAGTCAGCATAATTACATTGGATGGCCGGTACAGATCAACCATCTGTACCGGTACTAGCCAAATTGGATGCAACAACCATGCTAAACAAACTATGCTCTGGTCATTTTTCCCTTTTTTTTTTTATTCAACTGTTTCGAGGGACGTCGTTTATCCGAGTGCCTGTGTAGATCCCTGCTGAGCCAGATTTTAAACCCGACCCTGACGACATGTGTCCTGCCGGTAATTGGTTTGATTCTTGTTTTACCCAAAATCTTTTTGTGCGTTGGGTAACAGAAATCCATGTATTAACTTTGGCTATTCCAGAATTTAAAGTACATACTGGTGGATTGCTGGCAAAATACTTAAGCTCTTCTGCACTTTACATATTTATCCAAATTTCCAAGACTGTGAAGGAAAAAGGAAACACTTTTCCATCCTAACTCCAAGTCTTTCCGAAACCCACTACAAACTCTCATTAACAATCAAAGTACAAAGTACATTTACAACATGTAGGCCTATACATACATATAACTACATTGTATTTGTCCTTTTCTAATGAGGTTAATAATTATCTAACAACCTGCAAATTTTCAGACAGCTCATGTAATAAAACTCAAGTACTGTTTCCTTCTTTCTATCAATTCCAGGAACGACAACACTCAGAAAAGATAACTTGTTCAAATTTCACCAATTTGGGTGTACGTACATATGTACCGGTACGTGTGTATCCTATACTTTTGGAGCAAGCTGAGAAAATCTTTGCGCACATTGCACATCTTCATGTAAAATCTGTGAATGATTTTGCTGATGACATATTGTACAATGTATATGCCCTGGATTCTACACATAATTAAAACACATGTATGGCTGTTAATAGTGGAACCAAATTGACAATGTGAATGATTCGCATGGTGTGCATGGGTTGAAGACTTAATTGGGTTGTAAATCCGGGGCAAACTTGTGTTTATGTCAACAAAAGTGTTTAATTTGACACAATTAAAACAATTTCCCAGAACTATTATTTTCTTCTTATTATTACATACGGTAATACCATATATAGGGGTGTAAAAATACGAAATGTTCCACTCATTTCCAAACACTTCCATTTGCTTTCATTTTATTAATTTTATTTCGGGGAGGAAGTTGAGGCACTACATTGACATATAAAATGTAACAAGCTACATGTATGTATGATACCGGTACATGTACCTACATGTACAGTACATGTAAAAATGTCATACATGGCTTGGGATCACTAAATACCATGTGACACAGCAGCATCAGCAATGCTGCAAAACCTGCCGAACAGCAGCCAAGGTTGCAGCATTTTATTGCAAGTTATTAAAACAAGATGCAATCAAATCTATTTTTATCAAATTGTGCAGATCATAAAGCTACATGTAGGACTACTCACCTGGAAAGAACTGGTCTGCTTCATGAGAAAGCCCTCCTTGATGCATGCCTGTACAATGGAAAAAAGAGAAAAGAAAATTCCGTTTAGAAAATTGAGTCAAAAGTCCATGCAAAGAGTAGTCTAGGATATGTGAGCAGATTCGGGGATTAATTATGCAAATCAAGACTGCACCTTGACCTCGAGATTCTGGCCATTCAGCGGGCGCCTTCTATTGGGTCATCCGTAACCCGTTGTTGTATTACAAAAACATGGTAGCCAAATTGACCAATCAAAAGCTTAGTCCACATTTCTGATTGAAATGACGTCACGATTTCTAAAGTCGACTCCGATTGGCTGGCGCGGTAGCATACAATTTGCATGTTGGGATATATCAGACGTTCAACCGTGGCTTTGTACACGTGAACGTCTGATCACCAGACTATGCAAAGAAAGGATTATTTACTTTTTACAAAATGTATACAAACACTCTGCTAACCAAAACATGTACGAACCTATCTGCCATAACATGACCTGCAAAAAAAAAACCCAGATTTTTTGTACATGTAATATTTATATATAGAAATATTTTGGACCTGCTGGGCTCAACTTCATGTACATGTATAGAGCCTGAACGAAAATCAGCTGGTAACCAGTCACAAGCAATATCAACTGCATGGTATTTTAGCTGGTAACCTGCAGTTGCTAAGCAGATATTTTCCGCCCTTAGCAGAAAATGAAAATTGGTCCAAACGCACAATCACTTTTTTTTGTAACATCCCAATTTCAACTCACGGAGGACTCGGGTATGCCAGAATCTCTCCTAAGCAATGTGTAGCTCATCTCACTCCAGCGCGGAACGACGTGATACAACATCTTCCCGTTCTCCTGTCTCTTACAACCTTCGATTTTTCTCAGCAAATGCACGTACGCAGGGCTCGACACAGTGAAGGCTTGGTACTATGGAGCACTTCTCTTGCCTCGTTGAACGACCGTAATTAGAATGATCAATACACCACGCAGCGATAAACAGATTAACTTTAATTGAGTGGTCGTTACAAACACCTGTTTCAGTTCGCTGGACTTGTTACGTGGTTACCAGTTTCTGATAAAGGAAGTTCTTTCCTAATATGCATTGGCATCAAGACTTTTCCCACTTGGAGCATATGTACAAGCACATTGAGAATCCACGCTCACTTGCCTCTCACATGAAAGAACCAAGTTAAGCGTTGTGTACGCGTACAATGGGGAGGGGAGATGTAAAATGACAAAGTACAGGTATGTATAACGTCAAAAGTTCATTCTCTCCCTAAGGATGTGTTGTTCATGAACATTCCTCACGTTATCCAAATCAATAAAATTAAAGCAAATGCATGAATCAGCAGATATTGGAATCCCACAATTCACTGCAAAACACATCACCCCTCCAGGAAAAAAAATCGAAGTTTCATATTTCGTTGTCCAGGAAACGACTGCTCAACTCTGAATCGATGTCAATAATAGTAACTTCTTCAGACCAATCTTGGGAAGCCAATCAAGAAGCCGACGATCACACAGGAGTGCCTACAATTACTTCACCAATCAAGATCCATTCAACAGGACTAACTCATACTACAATGATGACTTGCTTCTCTCAACTGATGCGCAAGGTTTTCCTCTTGAAGATTTTAAAATAAAATTATTTCATTGCCAGGACTTTTAATCTTAAAAGCATCCACGTTATTGAGATGTTTTATCCACCATTCAAGAGCAAGCAGCACTGAATGTCATGTCAATATTCCATTTAAACACGACAGAATCTTTAGGAGCTGAAGATGATTTCAATGATTTCAAGTGATGAGTGTTGCCTTTCTTGTAAAAACAAAAGATAATCCCTTTGGGTTTAGTGCTGGAAAATTCCACAATAAATGTCAGCTGATGAAGGGGTAAAGTCAAGTAGCTCCACTTGAAGCTTTTCAACAATGTAGGAGTACATGTAGGCTCAACACCGATATCTTCACCAAAGATCAACACATCCCAAGGAACAAAGACCCAAAATCCGCCGGCATAAAACTCTGCTCCGAGTGAAACATCTGAAGTGAAATATTCGCCGATATTCGACTGCTGAATTCATAAAACTGTTGTTCCTGTTTGTGTTTCCCTACATCGCCTTGTCTAACTATGATGCTTACTGACCCTACAGAACCGGTACTTCATTTCTAGCAGTCCGTCCTCTGCAAGGAAGGATGGGGAACAAAACTAAAAACAATTCATAACATTGGATGCCGTTGTGATGATGATTGAAGATTGACTCATCTCAACACACACAGAAATACGCAAATCTTCAATCATGTAGCTCCTCTGTCGATCCGCTGCACGGGACAAAACATGCTCAGGAAAAAGTTCACTTGCAAATCGGGCTTTCTAAAATCAACACAGCCAAGGACGGAATATATCTCCAAGATGTATTTCAATCACCTCGAGAGAGCCTCAGAGCGTGACTACGTATAAATTTCCTTCGGTCACAGCCTTGTATTTTCATGAAGACATCCTGGAGAAAAAATCCTGGAGATTCCCCGATTATTAACTAGAAATCAAACCTGGCAAACAGGGTTTTTTTTGGGGGGGGGGCCTTCCAATGGAGTACTCAATCTTAGAATATATGTTTAAATAAAATAAATTCCCTAGACACAGCTGCAGGAAGTTGTCTTGAGAATGCACATCTTTTGTGACTACATGTAACGTGCATCCAGGACATTAATGTTACCAAGTTCGCTATACACATGTTGCAAGTGTAGATGGATAAAGCCGACAAATTTGAAGTATTTGAGGTCGTGGCAAATCCCAAACACGTGCACAGGTAATTTCCATTCGCCATGGACTGATAGTCCTCTGGTAATGTCGGCGTGGTTGCAGATTGGCACGTGGTCTGTCTAGTGAGCCTCTGGGAATCGGAAAGGTTTAGTGCGGGGGCACTGTTGAACATCACAAGTGCATCTCAAGTGCCGTCCACCTGTCTGCAGAGAATCTCCATAAATCTCTCTCAAGAAGTACGGTACGGCTCTCAGAGACCTGTGTGGCAAGATACTGCAGCATCATCTGCACCTCGAGTTTTTTCTTTTAAAGATCCTGTGAAGCACATATGTGCACACTGTCAGATGGAGGAGCATGCTCCCCGACGCACGCTTTATAACGTCCTCTTCTGCCAAGCGAGCACGGTTCACTTGCTTTGAACTCAATAAACAAAAAGCCAAGATAATGCATTCGGCGGCCTTGCCACGCGCCCGGCAAGCCCTGGAGAAGTGAAATGATGCGCGCGAGAGTCTTAAAACCTGACAACGTTGGGGAGGACAGAAATAAAAGCTGGCAGAAACAGGTGTGGGAAGTTGATGCAGGCTGATGGCCCAATCTGAAAGGCCAGGAGGACAGAAGGTGGCTCCATTACCCGGGACTTTTTTGTGGAGGGATGGAGATGCGATCATCACACAGGAGACCGTTGCCACGGCGAGTGAGGCAAGAGGAGGCAGATTTCTGCTATATTATCTCAGTATCGCTAACGTCCCGAGGCAGATTGGTGGAGGAGGCAGAGGAAGATCTTAGTCGTTAACCAGAAATCTAGGAGTCTTTCCCAGATGAGTCCCAGGCCCCATCGGGGCCATGGCCAATTTAGCTCAGTCCTCCTTTCCCCTTAGTTTCTCCCCCAAAACAAGAGTTGTGGATGAGTCCCTAAGATGTTACCGACACTCCAAGAGACTGTGGCATAAGTCGCAAATTACCGGCTCTCACTTCAATGCCTCATCAACCTTCCCAGGCCTCGACGGCCGGTGTTTATTGCCCTCCACAGTCTTAGCGAGAAACAGCTTAAAGAAATGAGGTTTACGAGGCACGGCGGGACCCTTTGGTTAAAAGGGCCGGGGCGGTGATCTTTTCCGCTCTTGCTCCGGTTTCCGGCAGTGGCAAGAAAGTACAAACCTCGACCGCGGTTGTGTGAAATGCCGGCGCATCAAGTCATGCAGAAGTCCAGAATAATGAATAGTAGATTAGTCCCGGTCCACTAGATTAATTGGATTTGGATGCCTTCATGTTGTACCGTTAATTGTTCTTCACCAATGACACCCTCACAAAACACGAGTGGTTGCAAAAGGGACTTGACAGACCTAGCGGCCTGACCTGTTGTTGCATCTAGATTGATCTTAGCCTAAGAAAGATCAGGTGAAAGGTAGCAGGCTCATTCAACACCTCCTGATAACCGGCCAATTATCAAGTCTTATTAACAGTGTGAGCCGGTACTGGTCAGTGGATGCCGATATACGCATGTTTATTTTATCGTCGCGATGTGAACGGAGTGACACCTCTGGGTCAAATCTTACTATTTATTACAACAGTGCAGTGACTACTAATGTCAAGTCCTTTGTTTTCTTCAATGGAATAAAAACTGTTTAGTGTTTTAAAGGATAAGTTCTATAAATATGTACATGACACGGTATGTACAACTAATGTACATTGTAGACATAAATAATTATGATTTTACCCGTAACATCTTTGGTTGTGCACCAGGTGACCGACAGCAATGCATCCAAGTCCCACATACATGTACGAATGCCTTTTTGTGAACTGCTTGGGGGAAAACATAGTGTGTTCAAGTGAATATTCCCATGTCCCATGAAAAAAATGCTAACATATGTACATTGTGAACATGTACATGTACATTTGTACACTACGTACATGTTATACATTTTACATGGTAAAATATACATGTACATCACCAAGTCAATGCGTGGGCCACACATTCAGGTGCAATGTACTTATGGGTATGTACACATCACATGTACACGTCCAGGTACGTACCCGCACGCCTCCAGATAAACACCATTCACAGAATAACAACTCTTCAATGTGTAGCTGTTTTAATGGGCATTTTTATAGAGCGCAGGTGAATGGCAAAAACAAAATAGTTTTCTATTCCGAGAAAGAGTTACTTGTACATGTACGTTTTCATTTGGAATCTCAAATTTATTGGGCAAATACATTGCAAAATGTTTCACTTGGAACTTAGCAGTGTTTTATACTGCATGCCCATGCGGCATACGCGA